CTTATCTTTTGCAACTTTATTGAGGAGATAAAATATTAAAAAAAGAATAAAAACGGATTAAAACTATATAGTTAGTTAAAAGTTAGTAAAATAAATAAAAAAAAGACCGTGTTACAAGAACGATAATAATTATGTGTATGTAAATATGTGTATATGAGAAAAATAGAGCGAGAGAGAGAGAGAGAGAGAGAGAGAGAGAGAAGGAAAAAACGAACAAATGAATGAATGAATGAATAAAAGTGTTAAGGAATGAATTAAAAAAAAAGAGAGTAATAGAAAGAGTGAATGAGAGAGAGAGAGAAGAAATTGCATTCGATTTCATGAACTCGATTTGCACTTGTCTATTAAGAATTGATTTTGTTAAATTTATCGCATATCGATTAATTTTTTTTTACTTGCACGCGCCAAGAAAAAAAACCTTTTAATGATCCTTCAACAAATTATATATTCGTTTATTTTATCTTAAGTATTCTATACATATATTAATTCATTACTATTATTAATATTATCCTTATCATTTTTTTTGGATTAATACTCTCTTGAAGAAAAGAGAGTGGCTTTCCATTTTTTTTCGTTATTTTCTCATTGCTCTTGGTTGTATGTATGTCGATCTCTCACTCCCACCCCCTCTCTCTCTCTCTCTTAGTATTACTCTTGTGTCCTCTTTTCTTCATTTTCTATTTATCATCTCTTTTCTTGCGCTCCTCCTTCTTTTTCTTCTTTTACTACTATTACTACCACTACTACTACTCTCGAAAAGGCACTTAGAAGGAAAGCGTTAACGAATAATATCAATTCTTCGCGGTCGGTCATGTGCCGCATTTATTTACCGAGCTTTGTGCAATTTTCTAATATCAATAAACTAAATGCGCGAAAACGGCTAAAGTAGGTTGTATGGCACTTGCGAATCGATTGTTTGTCGTGCTTACGTCATTTCCCGCGTTGAGCGAGCATGCGCAGTCAGTAAGTGAGGTTGTTTAGATGCGCTTCCGGCGTCTTTAGACGCTTTAGGCTTTGTATCTTTTGATGACGGCTAATAGCTAGTTGAGTGATTTTTCGCGGCGTACAGAAAATCTATTTCGCGCATGACTATACGGGCTCGTACTTTGATCAGCTTTTATCTTCTTTTTTTTTTTCTCTCTCTCTCTCTCTCTTTATATATTACTATTTCCTTCTCTATTTAGAGTAGTTGTGACCTATGAGATTGATTGACGCGTATACTTGGTGGCACCGACCAGTGGTCAAATATTAAATGTGTGCAGTTCTGACATAAGAATGTTCAACTCTCGAGCGTGTCAGTACTGTTGGCATATTACGTCATGGCTAGTAGTGGGACAGTTAGTAGAGTAGATAAGCCTAAACTCTTTCTCTTAAAACTAAAGACGGATTCTTAAAGAAACGACTTAAAAAACAACAACAACAACACGATTCTTATTACTATATTAAGACAGATTAACAGAGATATATTTATCTATTCGTTAACGTTTGTATGTATGCTTACTGCGCCAGATACTATATATCTCTATATTATATACATATATATATATATATATATACAATATTGTATTTATTATATACGGTATACGTAGGATTTCAACACCCTAATCCGCCTGTAATCCTCCCTCTTGTTATTAATATTCATAGAGATATATTACTAATTTAAATAGCCTATATTGTAATTTAAATATTTTACAACCATCCTCAACAGTCCCTCTTCAATACCCCCTTCTGCTCCTCTCTGTGTCCCTCTTGCTGTCTCTTCTCTTTCTCTCTCTGTGTCTCTCCTATTTCCCTCTCCATCTAACTCTTTCTTTCCTTTTTAAAGCCCGTCTCTCTCTCTCTCTCTCTCTCTTTGCTTCGGCGCATAAAGACGTAAACTAGCCAGATGTAAAGTATTTACGTTGCCCAGCATATGGACACTTATGGCGGTGAGAGGCGCGCACAGTGGGCGGACGGTGCAGGCGGAATGCGTTTGGTCCGCACCCGTAGAGAGATCTTTTGCGTGTACGCGTGATTGATCGCATATTGTAACGTTAAATTTTTCCCTTTCTTTCGTTTTATATTCTTATGTGATTTACCTTTAATAAAGACATTATTTTCAGGTTGAAAAACACATTGAATAGATAGGCCTATGTGCTAATTCATTTTCAAGTATAATTCATATATAGAGTACACAAAATATCAAAGATACAGAATAAATAAGAGATCTGGCTTTAAAATACTGTATATATAGTTAATGTCACTAAATTGGACGGTATGCTGGAGAAACATATTTAAACGAGCATTTAAGATGTCTATGTCTATAGAGGCGACGCTTTTCCGGTTAGGATGTTTTTAGCGCGGCCGCGAGAGACGCCTCGCGCCAATTACTTTTCGACGTGAGTAAACGAGCACTTTTCTATTGTGCGTCAACAGTATTCGATGCGGCCTTCTCTTTATAAGCACCATTCACACCAAGCTCACCGATACCAGTGACACCAGACTCGTTAATGAGCGAGCCCTGTTTAAGCCCGTTCCGATGCATTCATATTAAAAAAGAACGCTGTATAGATATAAATATATGATAAGAATAAATGATAAAAAAGAGACAGTGAGAAAAAGAGATAGAGAGAGAAAGAGTGTCTATGGAAAAACTATGGAAGAAATTGATAAAAAATGAAAAGAGAAATAAAAACTTGAAACCCTCTACCTATGTATTTAGTTATTTATCAACTCAAATATAATTACTCAGCCAATTAAGTCTGCAGTATAAAAACGGTCGAGCGTAATTGATTAGAAGGATTAGTAGTCGCGAGCGCGCGCGCTTGCTCGTGCGCTCTGCCGATTTATAACACCTCCGTGGTCGTTGGCGACTTGACACTTTTTAAGGATACACTATTGTATATCCGCAAATATAAAGAATAATAGACAGATAAAAAGATTTATCATTTATAACCAGCTATACCTTAATTATATGCCGTATATAAGGCGCTTATTATAGGAAACTAATTGCTTTCTGAAGTGTGTGCAGCTGGCAAGAGCCGCCATGTTAACATGACGTCACGCCCGCTCCGCTGCTCAGTAATTAGCGTCATTACAGTGGGCGTCGGTAGGCGGGGTAGGGGGCGGTAAGATGACATTGACCTCCTGATTTCTCGACAATTTCCACTTTCTGTAATTTACTTGTTTTTTTTTCTTTTTAATTTGTTTAAGTGAACAGAGAAATAAATTTTATCCGATTTAAATCAACCTCTTCTGCCTCTCCCTCCCTCTCTCTTTCCCGCACTCCCTCACCCCCTACGTCCCCTTATGTATTAATATATATGTATATATATATAACTGGAATACACCTAGCAGTTATACTCATGAGTTTTCTCCACTATGTATATATCGTATTTTGAAAGTAGATACTTGTATATAAAGTAACAGTTTATCAACAAGTCGCACGCTATATCTATATAACTACTAACACGTATACACGCTTTCATACATCTTGTTATTGTTTGTTGTTTATCAAATAAAAACAACAGTCATAATAATAATAATAAAACTTGTAAACAAACAAACAAATAAATAAACAAGTTGAGATGTAAAAAAAAATTGGAATAATTAGATGTGGCGGTGACAGAGACAAGAGACAAAAGAGAAAAAGAGAGGGAGAGAGAGAGAGAGGAAAATAGAGGGAGAGAATGCTAAAGAAAGAAAGAAAAATAAACGCTATTAATTTTGCTTTAAAGGATTAACGCGAGTATTTTTTAGATGTTACAGAGGCGCCATAGAAGAGGTTGTAAAACTGTAAAAGTTTATCGCTGCGTACTGTTTGCGTATGTTTTCAATGACCGTTCACCGAGTATTGTAAATATAAATGATGCTTGTAGACTCGGCTCGTTATTATACTCGAGAGATCCTTGTCATTATCGCCTAAACGCTATGTGTGAATTTAGACCTATAATTTTGGTATATTTATAAACATATTTAAATCCGTAAATAACTGTTGAATGTTATACAGTAGCTGATGTTGTTTTAGATAATATCTCTTCCAATTGACGAATGTTTCAATTATAAATATAGATTGTATTAGCTGTTGATTAGTGTACCAAGTTTGTTAAGGCCTTCATATATTGATATTAAGTAATTTATATAGATATTTATAAGGATACCGTAGTCTTAGGCGATTTGTGTTTATGCGTTAAAATCTCTGCTAACACTGACTAGTGTCGGGTTATCGTTATGTAAAGAAAGGCTTTATTTAAATGCTCCGCCCTTTTACTATGGGCTTTGTAAATATAGTTTAACTATTGGAAAAGAAAAAGGGAGTAGGGGGTGACAGGAAAAGTATAAAAAAGTGGGAAAAAGGAAAAAAAGCAAAGGATAAAGTAAGTGTCTAAAAAGGGTCTGTGAGAATGGGAACGAGTGAGGGAAAGAGGGAACAGAACTATATACTATATATTATAAAGTGGGTTGGAAGGTAGCTCGATTAGATATTTGACATTTCAGCCGTTAAAGGTCGGACGGGAACGGATCGATAGGCGCTAATTATCGAACGTAATCGCAAGGATTTTCTTTCTCTTTTTTATGAAAAAAAATTTCCAGCTGCGTTACTTTTCCTTGCATCACTGATTTTAGGGCGTCGATTTAACAAGCTCCTATTGTTTTTAACGCTCTCTTTTACCACCCGTTCGAAACTTTCTCACGATCGTCCGTTATAATCGGTTTATAACGCCCCGCGCGTCTTCTATACGCAAGAAAATCTCCGTAGAAAAGCTTATATACGTCAGAATTGTATACAACATTAAATATGTAACGCGCCAGTGCGCAGGGAGACAGTTTTATACATACAATAATATATAAAATATATATATATATATATGTATATATATATATATATATATATATATATATATATATATATATACGCACTTTGTACGTACAGTGTATACACATAGATATATAATATATATATATAATAAATATATATAAATACATATATATATATATATATATATATTTATATATGTATATTACAGAGAAAATGTCAAAAGAACGGTAATAATTATCCATAACATAAAAATAATAATAAGCGTTTCTTCACCAGTGCGCAGTTCGTTGGCTTAACAAATAAGGCGAAGAGGCCATTACCCCAGCATTACCGTAGCTCGACAAAGAGGGTGAGGAGAGATGGTTCATAGAACTGTCCTGCTGAACTACAGGAGCCATTAGTGGCGGTTGATTCTGAGAAGGCAGTTGAGGAGTGTGCCCAGAACCGTTGGGCGTTCCTTGTTCGGAACTACTGCAATCGCTGCTACTTCCGCCACCGCTATTTCCGCCGCACGGTTTTCCGTCCTTGACCAAGACAGGCACAGCAACACGACGAGGAGACGTTTGAGCTGAATCGCGAGGAGTGGATTCCATTTTTTCCTTATCCTTTTGAGCTCTTTTCATCTTGTAACGGTGATTTTGAAACCAGATTTTTACCTGTGATAAATATTTATAAAAATACATATTAAATAAAGAATTTCAAGACAGGATTAAGATTTCTATAATACGGAAATGGCAAAAAATAACGGATGAACATACCTGAGTAGGCGTCAAGTTAATCATGGAAGCCAAATGCTCTCTTTCCGGGGCCGACAAATACTTCTGTTGCTTAAATCGCCTTTCTAATTCGAATACTTGAGCTTGCGTGAAAAGAACTCGCCGCTTCCGCCGTTGACTTATCGGAAATTGCATAGCAGCACCGGGTTTTCCGTCCAAACCAAACGCCGACATCGACCCCATTCCGGCAGTCATACCGCTCATAGAGCATGATGATGGTCCGCCCATTAGGCGAGAAACTGAACAAATAGACAGCGGGATATTAGTGATAATGTAATCCGAGAGTGAAAAAGAGTAAAAAAAAGAGAGAGATAGATAGAGAAATAGAGAATGTTATTCAAGTAACAAATACGCGTGATTTATGCCTTATATCAAAGGAAACATTTAATAGTAAAACCGAGGAGGGAGGGCTAAGGGAGGTGCCCGTTAGAGGCGAAAGCAGCGGGAGGTGCGATCGCAAGTTGTGCGATAGCGTATGAACATTAACGCATAAAAAAAGGCTCGAATATAAATGAACAGATAAAGAGAAACAAATAGCAGAAGAGTGCGCACGAGACAGAGAAAAGGGAGGGAACGAGGTAGCGAGGGGAGGGGAAAAGTGTTTTTTCTAGGGCAAACATTCACTCACAATAAACGGCAAATGACACGTTTTTATGCATCATTGATTACATTCGCGAAACAATAGACATTCTATTTTTTCATGGCCTATTCGTACTATTTTAAATATTTATAAAAATAGGCTGAATTATGCATTATTTACCCTAAAAATGAACTAAATATATAGGAAAGCGTCTAGTCATTTCAATAAGTCTTCCTTCTTTCAATTGAATAGGAAAGAGTTGATATGACGTGCTTTTACCTATTCATAAGGGAATAGTAATAGACTGGATAGGTGTAATAGTTAAGTACAATCTAACGCGTCCAACTTTTCCCTTGTCCGTAAGTTGACTCATAGGGCCTATAACACGTACGATAAAAAGGAAACAATTGGAAGTAAATGAGAACGCTTAGCGTTCCTACTGGGCTTACTCTCGCCCTACTTATGTGGGTGGATTTAATTCGATGGGCGAGAATAGACTGACAGATAGAATGAAGAAAGGACGAAGAAAAGATAAAGAGGAAAGACAAACGCGACCGAATCAATGCAGCAGCACAATTAGATGTTAGGAAGTGAAAGGGTCGGTCGAAGGGCTGTCAGCGTTTATCATTCTCACGCCTTTACAGACGATCGAAATGAATTAGGCGTCTCCGTTTGTTTTTCCTTACGCCCTCCTTACGAACTTTATACATCAACAATCTATAAAGATGTATTATTTCTCCTTTATCTTTTCTCTTTCATAGAGTAAATAGGGAACGTTATTTGTAAGTATAAAAAATCTCTATCTCTAATTCAATACATCTATATACTGGATATATTTGCGTAGGGAAGCTCGTAACACCTGCGCGAGCGTAATCTGCGAAGCAGGTAAAACTTATCAAAGTGTCGCCTCTAAAACTCAGTTCAAAGTTTCGATATGTTGTTTACCGGAAGGACGAGAAGCGATAAGATAACGATTAGCCTCATCCTTATCTAACGCTACTGCCTTTCGTTAGACTTTCTGGAGACATTTCGAGCGGCCAATAAAATAATTTATATATAATATTTCGCAATAATTCGTACGTATATACGGTTTTATTTAATCTTTGGAAGGCGGCAAGTGAATTTTTGCATTATTCCCGCTAAATAAGACGTTAGTTGTAGTGATTCTAAATGCGTAAATATATATTGTGAGATAAAGAACCCAGGTGATGTTGGGCGAAGAAAGTAGGTCAAGTGGGCACCGTCGTTTGCAATAAACGGCCACTGAAGCGTCAGGCGCCCGCAGCAATGTTCCAATTGCTTTTCGTATACAAGCGAGCTTCTTCTTTTCACGACTACACTTTGCTGTGTATATTTTTTACGGCAAATTATCGTTCGCTATTGTGTACATAAACTAAGCGTCTGTTTCCTATATAAGTATTTTTATATATAGGTATTAAAAAGCTGAAATTTTTCTCTCTATTGTAATGCTTATAAATCGAACAAAGTTACTCAGGCCTAGACTGCATAGCTTTTAAAAATCTTCGCATATTTCGATCTAAGAGAGGGATTTGAGAGAAAAGATTAGGCAAAAGAATTTTTTTTTCTATCATCCAGTCCATTCTGTCTATCTTATGAAATTTTTTACGACTATTTGCGAATATTCTCACTAATGAAAATAATCTGGAATTGCGGTTGTCCGCTCACATCACAGAGATATTTAAGTATTAATTGAATGGACAATTGACCCAAATAGAGGAGGGTACTTACTTGCAAATCTAGGGTCGGTAGCTGCGTTGGTTCCATACCAAGAAGAAGTCGAATGGCGAGGATCGGCGGCGTAATGAGAAAAGTCCGTTGAAGCGCTATTGCAGTATTGAGTAGGAAAAGCTCCGGCTGGACCAGTGGCAGCAAATTGGGGCATATAGTTGGCATAAGGATTGGCGGCTGCCGGATTCATCGTGTTCATATTGCTGTGCGGTTGTTGCTGCTGTTGCGAATGAGGAGGAAGAGGAGGAGGAAGAGGCGGTGGTGAGACTGATGAGGTTCGGTATTGTATAGCGGGAATGTTCTCTTCAATCGTAGTCCTTTTGTAAGTTTCTTCGATCGGACTGAGAATGTCTGTAACGGAGAACGGAGTAGTGTGAGGCTTTGGACTGAGAGACATTATCAAGTGGCCTCGCTAAGAGCTGGTTATGCGATGACGAGAGCCGTTCACAGTTACTCGCGGTATTGCGCATGCGCAGCTCCGCCCATTCGAATACATTACAGTTACGGCGTCACTCACCTGAGTTAACCGGCGTTCGTTAGACGGTCGACTCGCTTCGTTTTGTAAAAATTTACAGCACTATAACTTATACCGCTTACCCCGACCAAATGAAATGTTGACACTAACGTCGCGCCGATTAGGCCTGTGGAGGCGGAGCCTAATCTGCTCTTCGAATTCAGTAGGTCGCCTCTCTTTATATTTAATTAGTAATCTGCGTCTATTACACGGTAAATACCTTAGCCTGCCTTTATATATCTGTTAAGTACGTTCGAGTATAGTTATCGAAAAAAATCAGCGTTAAGTAATTGTATATAAGGAGTATATAATAGATACTGAATATCAGGTACACTGCACGTTTATACGGATATTATAGAATACTGAAAGAATAAGAGAGAGAGAGAGAGGCGGACAGACAGTCAACAAGACACAGAGAGAGAGAGAGAGAGAGAGAGAAAGAGCGGACAACAAGCAACGAGAAAGAAAAGGTTAGAAAGTAGTGAGGCATACCGAGCATGAGCAAGAAACGGAAGATATCATGAACGTTTACATGTTTTTTATAGTCGATTCCTTCCGTTCTTTGTACCCCCAGCAATGTTCGAAAAATAATTAAAGGAGAGCTTAAAAGTTTATAATGTGAGCGCCGTCAATATAACCTAGTTCTCTCAGCGGGGTATAAGCGCATTCAGAAGGAAAAGGCGGAACATTCTTAATAGAAAAAGACCTATATATATAGGCACTGGGATTGAAAAGAGACGGTAGATCTTTATTGGGTGGTCTATAGAACGATCGAAGAAAATCGAAGGCGACTTTGATCACTTTCACGCCTTCTCCGAGTCGACACCTGTAATTACGTTCGATTTAGCAATTAATGATGTATTGTTAATCGATGTTGACCGCCTAGCTGCCCTCCTCCCTTATACTCTTCAATACTAGCCTAATTGCAGGCTGAGCGACGCTGAAAACGAACGAATTGATACAGAGATATAAATAGTTGAACTGCTTCGCACCAAAACTACTAATTTCCCATTTAGAACGGCGTGTCTCTATTTCATGCACTAACGCCTGCGCTCAGGGGGGTCGGACGGGTTGCGGTTGTACACCTGTGCCATTCTCCATCTATTATTAATTATAAACGCAGTTTTCCCCTTTGCAAAGTTTGCCGTTTGCCGTTTGCTGAGCGACTCTTGTTTACCTACTACGAGCCGCAACTTCAAAGCGAACGCCTAATACGATGTGTACACAGCGCATAAGACAATAAGAAATGACGGCTAACGTCGACGTTTCCTGCTCGGCGTGGTTTGATCAAAGACGCTTGGGCGCCGTCTAATGAGCGTTTACACGTGCGCTAGTCGTAATGAGACGTCAGTAGAGCAGAAAAGTTTTTGGGAAGAGAGCTAATTCAAACACAGACAACAAGACATTCGAACGTGTCCCTCTGTTACAAATCATCGCTTTTTCGCCGCTAGCCACATTCTTCGAGGACGCTTCTAGGCCACTTTCGCGCCTCTCTTCCTTTCTATTTCTTCTTCTACTCGTAGACGTTCATTATTTCGAAATCGCCGGCATTCCGAGCGTTCATTTTTTGACGCGTCTTTGACGTTTGACACGGCGTCAATACGGACGTCATGCAGGAGGCGACGGTTCATAGTGGGCGTCTTTTCTTTCATTACAATTTGTACCCTTCAATATCTTCCTCGAATTAATTGTTTCAATTGTACAAATTTCCAATAATCTAGTGGCATATGGCGCGAATAGTAACGACATCTACCGCACTCGATAGTTTCAGAGAAAACTGGTGCAAGGTTGAAATATTTCACCCGGAGATTGACAACGCGTCAACTTTTCATTGACTTTTTTCACCTAAATTCTTTAAGAAGAATTTATAATAAAAGAATGGGTAAGGCATTCTTGATTCTTAACCTAAACCATTATTTATAATTGATCCTTATAGCAGCTTCAAATAGCACAACATGCCTCATTTCGGCAGCCTTATTCGTTCTTTTATTTGCTATTATGCAAATTTACAAACAACAATTAGCAGCACAGCAAAGCATGACGATTCTTGGAGGATTTTTGGGTTCTGAATTATTTGTTTTGGCTATTACAGCTGTCTCTAATTTTGAAATGGCTCTTTTTGGTAGCAATTTCCAAGCGAAACTATTCCCTGAAGGTAAAAATACGCATGGCATTTTTTAAGGAGATTAACAAATTCATTAGACCTTCTTGTGTTTCAGTTTTCGGTTGTTTAGCGATTTCAATGTTCGCCTCGGGATTAGTACACCGAGTATGCGTTACTACTTGGTAAATATTTCGGCTTATACACTTTAATGAGATTAATATTAAATTTCTCAAATCACTACAGTTTCCTCTTCTCAGCACTCGCTTTGTATTTCATCAATAAGATAGCTAATGCAAAATATGCTCCGAAGGAAGTTGCTGTTAATTTTGGTAAAGGAAAACGAAAGAATTAGTGTTAAGACGATACATCTTCTTTACTCTTGTTCTCTTTGCAGAGAGTTTAGTTTGTAAAATTACATAACAATACAATTATTTGCTATAGTATTGTATTTTCGACAAAGATATACAAAAACAGTTTAATTTAGGCGTAATAGTTCAGGTTGGCTTTCTTCTTCGCTTGAACTTCGAGAATTGCATCCATATAGTCTTCATGCGATAGTTCTACCGCTCCTCTCCTCAAAGCAATCATTCCCTGTTTGAACAGAATGTCATTTTATTCGCACCCTCTTAAGAGAAACAAGATTGTTAGATCTTACCGCTTCAATACAAACGGCTTTACATTGAGCGCCATTGAAGTCGTCTGTACACCTTGCCAATTCCTCAAAATTAACATCTTTGCTAATAGGGTAGAAATTTAATTATAAAAGTTATTTTAATTAATTAAATTAATTAAATGTGCTTACTTGACATTCATCTTTCGCGAGTGAATTTGCATTATTCTAGCTCTGGCTTCTTCATTCGGTACGGGAAATTCAATTTTACGATCCAATCTTCCAGATCTTAAAAGAGCCGGATCTAGAATATCTACTCTATTGGTAGCGGCAATGACTTTGATCTTTTGGTTAGGTTGAAAACCGTCCAGTTGGTTCAATAGTTCCAACATTGTTCTTTGTACTTCCCTATCTCCAGCCTTTTCGCTATCAAAACGTTTTGTACCAATAGCGTCCAATTCATCGATAAAAATAATAGCGGGTTCTTTTTCTTTAGCTAAGGCGAATGCGTCGCGAACCAGCTTGGCACCATCACCTAAAGGGCGATAAAGAAAAACCATATATTGAATTATATTTAAGTAAATAGATAATCAATTTATAATATTTAATTAACATTTCATAAATTTTAGAAATATTTTTAAATGCCAAATTACCTATAAACATCTGAACAAGTTGCGGTCCAGCGAGTTTCAGAAACGTAGATTTGGTTTGAGCAGCACATGCTCTTGCTAGAAGAGTCTTTCCGGTCCCTGGTGGACCATATAAAAGTACTCCTTTCGGCGGTTGTATTCCCAAGGTTTCGAAACGCTCCTTATGGGTCATCGGTAAAACGACTGCCTCGATAAGTTCTTGAATTTGCTTGTCAAGACCACCAATGTCACCATACTGTTCGGTTGGTCTTTCGTCAACTTCCATAGCTTTTACGCGGGAATCATATTCTTGTGGTAGAGTTTCGAGAATTAGATATGAATCTTTATTAACTCCTACTAAATCGCCAGGATGAAGACTCTCTGGTTCCACGAGGCCAATGACAGGTAAAAAGTAAGTTTGTCTTGTTGAAGTTTTAATAACAGCACATTTTCCTTTCCTTTGAGAGTCAAGGTCGATGTTTGCTCCTTCTTCAGCTGAATCTTGAGGATCAACATCAAGCAATTCGATAACGTTCGATACTAAATAAGGAAGAGTTTTGTTAACTTTTATCTTTTCTTTGTTTTCCTTTATTTTATCTTTTTGCGCTGCTAATTCATGATTAATACGCATCAATTCGGATTTCATTATCTATTATAATTAGAAAGTAATAAACAGAAGGACGTTGCCTTTAAAAAAATCTCCTTACCCGTATTTCATTATCGAGTAATTTTGTTCTGCTTATGATATCATCATTAGACCAATTTAAAATTTCTTCACCTAAAGATTCCTGTATAGAAGAAAATGATATAAATACGTTTATTGCCGATGTTTATGAACCGGTAAAGGAACGTGACTAAGGTAAAATTCAACTAGCAAAAGAAAGACGAAAGAGACCATTAAGAACGGCAAAATCAATTAGATATATTTTAGGAAATTGTTAATTTTAATTAGTATTTGTTACAAACCTGGCCGTCATCCCATATGGCAGAATCATCTGTTTTTGACATGTTTTTACCAAATTGTATACACGGTTAGACGGATCTCAGCGAAAAGTAACCGGATCTGGAACTATGGCGAATGTTTTACGAATGGGTGAATGTCAAGGTTGTAGTGAATCGGCACTATGGATAGTAACGAAACTCGAGCTAGCGATCAAAAACCTTGCAGAAGTTGCGTCGACTTTAAGACTTGGATAAAAGCTCAAAAAAAAAACCGAGCAACTGAAGCGAAAGAAAATAACTCAAATAATTTGAATAGCTCTAATAGCAAATTTAAAGATGATTCTGTTCAACCGGTACTGTATTTCATCATAATAAGTTTTTTGTCATCAGCTCTAAATAGCTTTTACATAATTTTAACTTAGACCACCAACACAACCTCCCAATTACCGCCAAAAAAAGAACCTATTCCATCAAATACATTAAAGACAGAAAATTTATCAAATAGTAATTCTGAATGTCCAGTTGACAGTGAAGAGTTAGGGAGATCTGGATGGACCGTTCTTCATACAATGGCCGCTTATTATCCAGAAAATCCTTCAGAAAATGTTCAAAAAGATATGAAAAATTTTATGACACTCCTATCAAGATTATACCCTTGTAAAAGATGCGCTAAAGATTTACGAAAAGAGTACGTATTAAATTAGTCTAGCTGTTTTTAAATGAACAAAAGTATCATATTGGTATTCTTTTTAATTTCTAGTTTAAAAGATGATCCTCCAGATGTTACTTCCCAAAAATCACTAGCCAATTGGATGTGTAATTTGCATAATAAAGTAAATGAAAAACTTGGAAAACCTCTATTTGATTGTAGTAAAGTTAACGAACGTTGGAGAGACGGCTGGAAAGATGGAAGTTGTGACTCTTAAAAATGTCTATAAACAAATAAGCTTATTAATAGGAATTTACTCGAAAAAGAGAAATAAACAATCATTCAACTTAAATATCAGGAAATGTGACTATTATATAAGAATGATGTTCTTTGATACAATATAAGATTTATACATTATTTATTCAATTTCATAATTAGTTTTAAAAAATTATACGCCCGAACAGGGACTTGAACCCTGGACCCTCAGATTACTTTGAACCGAAAGTTCTCTTAAAAGTCTGATGCTCTACCGACTGAGCTATCCGGGCAGTTAAAGATCTCAGTTATCCTAATCCCAATTAGCATATTTCATTTAAAAAATTCTAACTCAGAAAGAGTGTTATGAAATTTTCAAAACCATACTAAATATATTGGATTTTCAAATTGCCTTTGTTAGTTTAAAAGATTTTCGAATTACTTTTTATGGCAAAAAAAATTTAAAAAAATATACGCCCGAACAGGGACTTGAACCCTGGACCCTCAGATTACTCTAAACTGAAAGTTCTCTTAAAAGTCTGATGCTCTACCGACTGAGCTATCCGGGCAGCTGAATTCAAGTTTGAAATAAAACCATTACAAAAGAGACTGAACTTGAGTGAAAGTTGAAAAAAAAACTTTTAACGGTACAAAAAAAAAGTTTTATTGAAAATTTCTCATTAAAACCTATTTTTTTTTAATTAAATAAGATTGAAATTAAAAAAAATATACGCCCGAACAGGGACTTGAACCCTGGACCCTCAGATTACTCTAAACTGAAAGTTCTCTTAAAAGTCTGATGCTCTACCGACTGAGCTATCCGGGCAGCTGATAACGTAAGAATTAAATATTGGTTACGAGTGATTTGCGTAAGACTTTATATCAGGACAAAGCAAAGAAAACAAAACCAGTATCCAATCCTAAAAGTATCCACTTTATATGTATGCAACAAAAATATAGTGTGGGTGAATGTACAAAAATTGAACGCCCGAACAGGGACTTGAACCCTGGACCCTCAGATTACTCTAAACTGAAAGTTCTCTTAAAAGTCTGATGCTCTACCGACTGAGCTATCCGGGCTTCTGAAAAACTTGTCGGTAATTATTAGCTACGAAAACGAGCTTAGGCCAATTGTATGCTTAAGAAATATAACTTGTTTATTGAAAGAAGGTAAGCTGAATATGAACTTCATTTCCAGATATAATATAATGTTTGAAGGCCTACTTTCAGTTTACTGTTTAACAAACAGTCTACTGCGTATGGAATTTATTATGTAAATTTCAACCACCACTCTAATAATGTCTGAAGTTTTTCTAAGGCGTTGTTAAATGTATAATGACTTCTTGAAGGTAATTGTAAGTTTCAATATTGAAAAAATACATCTTCAAGAAGGGTTTCCTTTGCAAGAAAAGGACACCTGAACAGGGACTTGAACCCTGGACCCTCAGATTACCCTTAACTGAAAATTCTGTTAAAGGTATGATGCTCTCTTTTTATTTAAATGAAAAATTAGCCGAAAAAAGAGAAGGTCTTGATGCTAACTATTTTCATATATAATTTCCATTTGCATCAAAAAATGAACGCCCGAACAGGGACTTGAACCCTGGACCCTCAGATTACTTTAAACTGAAAGTTCTCTTAAAAGTCTGATGCTCTACCGACTGAGCTATCCGGGCTTCTGAAAAACTTGAACCAAAAAATTTCCTAGGACACGCTTAGAATACTTTTTATTTGAATGAAAAATGAGCCGAGAAAAAGAAGGTCCTGATACTAACTATTTTCATATATAATTCCCATTTGCAACAAAAATTGAACGCCCGAACAGGGACTTGAACCCTGGACCCTCAGATTACTATGAACTGAAAGTTCTCTTAAAAGTCTGATGCTCTACCGACTGAGCTATCCGGGCAGCTGAAATTTAAGGTTGAAAAATCTCATACAATATGCCCTAACTATTATTTCCTTAAATAAATGTACAAAAAGAAAATACTGTGTTTTTTTATTGAATTCTTTTCATTTATATTATCAATTTATAGCAAAAAAGACTTACGCCCGAACAGGGACTTGAACCCTGGACCCTCAGATCACTTTGAACCGAAAGTTCTCTTAAAAGTCTGATGCTCTACCGACTGAGCTATCCGGGCAGTTACGAATCAATCTTAAAAGGGATTTTCTGAAGCTATTTCACACAAACTTCATTAAAATATATTCAACCCTAAGCCTTAATTAAACGAAGAGATTAAAATCATATATGTAGGGATTTAATGTAAATGTATACACTGAGTAATGTTTATAGAAAAATAAAGACTTAAACAAGGGCTTGAACCTTGGACTATTGTAGTGCACTTAAGTTGTCCGAACAGTGTGGGACTCTAACAAATGAATTACCTTTCCAGCGAATGACCTCCAAGTATTCAGCAATTCATAAAATTTAAACAGATTTTAATCCTAGAGAGCAACAATTGTGATGTTACATTCGAAAATCTCTTTAAAATAAATAAGTTAAGCTAGATAAAAATAAAACAAAAAAAAAGTAGAAAAAATTGAACGCCCGAACAGGGACTTGAACCCTGGACCCTCAGATTACTCTAAACTGAAAGTTCTCTTAAAAGTCTGATGCTCTACCGACTGAGCTATCCGGGCAGCTGATAAACATCATTTTATTTGAAAAATTACCAAAAATTAAGATTATTTTAATATTAATATAAAATTTCGAATGTTTATTTAATTTTAATTAAATGGATAAATTACTTAATGTTGCTATGTTGAAAAAAAAATAAAAAAAAATTTACGCCCGAACAGGGACTTGAACCCTGGACCCTCAGATCACTTTGAACTGAAAGTTCTCTTAAAAGTCTGATGCTCTACCGACTGAGCTATCCGGGCTTCTGTATTATGGCAATGTTTTACTGTATAAGAACACTGACTAGTCGTAGTTTTTTAGCATAAATAAAATTTTTTTAGTGGGCTTTTGGGCTATTTCGATACACTTTTGATTATTAGCTAAATTATTCCTACACTTGTTTAATATAAAATATATTCTTACTTACCTGATTAGTATATAAAAGAAATGTAATTCTTTATTATTGGTTTTAATCAATTTATTATAATAAACTATAACTAATCGTTGACAGCTGCACGGCAAACTATGACTGTTCTGTACAGTGCTTGGATTTTTATCAGCTACGTTTAAATGACAAATAGAAAATAACTATATACTGTGTTACATATGTTAACTCTCAGAACTTGATTGCAATAACATAACAAACCGCGTTGATATTAAAAATGTTTCTATCATTCATCAGTCTGTTTACGGTGTCTCTGTCACCGGAAGCGGAATTCTGAGCTAAAAGTTTACAAGCCGCTTTACGGGTTAAAAATTTTGTTGTTTTCTTCGAGTTTGTCGAATAGTTACGACTTAATCGACTTTAAAAGATGTCCGGTAGATTACCAGCGGTTGTAATTGACAATGGAACAGGGTAAATATAAATTCATGACATGTAGTCATCTGATTTATAAAAATTAGTCAATAACGACTTCCTGATACACCCCACTTTTAGAAACAAAATGTTTTCAACGAATATAATGTACTTTACAGCTATACGAAAATGGGGTATGCTGGAAACTCAGAACCACAGTTCATTATACCCTCAACTATAGCAGTAAAAGAGACTGCAAAAATTGGCGATCAAGCTACTAGGCGATTAGCAAAAGGAGTTGATGATCTGGACTTTTTCATTGGGGATGAAGCTTTAGATGCCACTTCATATGCTGTTAAGGTATAGCATTAGATATAAAAAATGTTCAAGGCTTTATTTGTTATTTTACAGTGGCCTATTAGACACGGTTTAGTGGAGGATTGGGATTTGATGGAGCGTTTCTGGGAACAAGCCATCTTTAAATACCTTAGATGTGAACCGGAGGATCATTATTTTCTCTTGGTAAGTTTTTATTATTAGAAAAATGACATCGAAATGAGTAAATGTTCTTGCTCTTCCGAAGACTGAGCCCCCATTGAACACACCGGAAAATCGTGAATACACAGCAGAAATCATGTTTGAATCGTTCAACATTCCAGGACTTTATATAGCTGTTCAAGTAAGTTTCAAATGTTGATATCTTCATCAAAAAGTTATATCCACTTTTTAAAAATTTATTAAAGGCTGTCTTAGGATTGGCTGCTTCATGGACGGATCGTCCTCGTGAAGAGCGAATTTTGACAGGAACAGTTATTGATTCCGGTGATGGCGTCACACACGTTATACCAGTAGCTGATGGTTATGTAATTGGGAGTTGCATTAAGCATATTCCGATAGCTGGTCGAGATATCACAGCATTCATACAGCAATTATTAAGAGAGAGAGAAGTTGGCATACCCCCTGAACAGAGCATGGAAACAGCAAAAGCTATAAAAGAACGTCATTGCTACGTATGTCCTGATATTGTTAAAGAATATGGCAAATACGATAAAGAACCGGGTAAATGGATAAAGCAATTTCAATCACAAAATGCCATTACTAAACAACCTTTCACTGTCGATGTCGGATACGAAAGGTTTTTAGGACCTGAGATTTTCTTTCACCCAGAGGTAAAGTTATTTAATAACTTTATTAAATAGATATATATTAAAAACGAAATCTTTGTTTTTAGTTTGCTAACGCCGACTTTCGCACTCCAATTTCTGAAATAGTCGACGAAGTCATTCAAAACTGCCCCATTGATGCACGTAGAGGCTTATATAAGGTAAAAATATCTTGTAAACTGTTATTTTTACAGAAATAATTACAGAAATATTTCTTTCTCAGAATATTGTTTTATCTGGAGGTTCAACAATGTTTAAAGATTTCAATAGGCGTCTTGAAAGGGATTTGAAAAGAGTTGTAGACTTCCGAATGAAAACTACCATTGAGTTAAGCGGAGGAAGGCTAAAAGTAAGATAATAAATATCAATCGTTTTTAGATAACGAGCTCTATGTAAACGTTCATTTTGTTAATTAGCCAACGCCCATTGAAGTTAAAGTTGTAACTCATGCCATGCAACGATACGCTGTCTGGTTTGGAGGTAGCGTTTTAGCATCAACGGTTAGGATTTAATAAATTAAAGAGTGAACTTTTTCTTAATTGACATTTATTTTCTATACAGCCGGAGTTCTACCAATTTTGCCATACAAAGGCCGACTATATGGAGCATGGAGCTTCTATATGCCGACACAACCCAGTGTTTGGAACAATGTAATTGTGATGAATAATTACACATGTATTTTTAATATGCAAATAGACTTCTATAAAGCGGCTCGCTTGTATTTACTTTTTTCGTCCACCTCTCTCTTTCAGTTGTAATTGTAACGTAGCTCCAGGATTAAAATTATAGTACGCTAAAGAGAACTGATCCTTAACAAACATACCATCCAGCTGCAATTTCTGTTTACCAGCTGGAAGGCCCAATTCTTCATTCAATTTTGCTTTAATTACAGAGATCTGTAATAAAAGTTATGAAATTTATTTTGTGTTTTAAAATTTATAAAAATATACAATAAAGATTCAGAGAAAAATATATTTTTTGTACCAACCGAGTCGTTTAGAGGTAATGTCAGTGAAACTATTTGACCATTTAATCGCCATTCTGATTTGTCCGGCATATGAGGAACAATAACTTTGAATGTAACTGGACTCTGTATTCAAATAAAAATGTACAATTTGTTCTTGGAAAATTAATGGACTATAAATATTTACTGGATTTTTTGCCAGGAAATCACTTTCAGGAACCAGACTTTCCTCTGTTTTAGCTTTCTTAGCTACTGGCTCATCCATCATTGGCTGGGGCATTGTTGCTACCTGAAATTGCACGCACAATTTAAATAGAATAGCTAATATTTATCGTCGCAATCACTCACTGCTGTTTGTAGTGTCACTGTTGGTACAATGGGCATAGCAGCAACAAGTGGTCTAGGTGGTCCTGGTGGTAGTCCTATAACTGCTGGTTGTCTTGCAACCATAACGACAGGTTGAGTTGCTAAATGCATGGGATTATGTACGGGCATAGACTGTGTAAAAAGAAACATTATTAATAACTGATAGAAATTATAATCATACAATAAATATCACCTTGTTTTGAGAGACATTTGTGGGCGGGGCAGATGAGATTGGGGCAGTAACTAAGTAAATAAAAATGCATTTAATCCCTGGAATATTGTTGAAATATATTATCACTCACCTGGCGGGGCAGCAACAATTCCTCCTTTAACTTTTGGCCCAATTTTGTCTTTATCCTCAGTACTATTAGAAAAAGATAAAAATTTAATATTTTTAGAATATATGCTGCTATAATTCAACAAACCCAGATTTGTGTATAGAGGCAATTTGATCGTCAATGGAAATATTTTCCCTAGCTTTTTGTGTAACTCTTTCCATGGAAGCAGTGTGACCATCCCAGATAACTTTTTGGGGTCTCCTCTCCTCAGATTCACCAATTTTCTTACCAATATCTGTTTCTTCCAATTCACCACCAACGTTGAAGATATCTGTACGACGTTCAGCTAACAGTTTTAGATTAGAATCGATTGAAGATCCAGGAGCATAAACAATTTCAGCATCTCGCTTGTCAGCAATGGCTTTGTCTCTCTGCGTTATCCATCCCTTATCAATTAGACCTGAAATTTATTTAGTGTTAAATTCACGGTTGAAATAGTTAAAAGAGTTCCGTTAATTCTTACTGTATTTCACATGGTTACTGATATTGTCTCCTGATATTTTTTCTCCAGTTAAAGGTGATACAAAATCTGATGAAGTACCAACAACTTTCTTGCTTGCTATTTTTGAAAGAAATAAAAATAATTAATATTAAAACGAAATGTGTAAATCAATGAAATACCCTTTGGATCGTATGCTTTTACAATAATATTTTCCGGAGTGGGTGGCAATGGAGGTTGATGTGGTTTGTCTTGTGGAGGAGGCGGAGGAACAACATTCTTAAAAAAAATAATTTTGATTTTATTAAAAAAAAAACACAAATAACAACAAAATGCTTACCTTATTTTTATCATCTGCTTTTTCGGTAGTATGGGCATGCTCCTCTTCTTCGTCGACGTCCATTTCAACTTCTTGAACGCTTTCTGTCTCATGCTGCACGTATTGAAAATAATCTTGAATTAGAAAAACAAGATATTTGAACTGATGATTTTACCGAAACACTTTCGTAACGCTGTTGAGCTATTATTCTTGCTCCTACTTCATCCGGAGTTGTTGGCGGTGGAAGATTACCCATTTCATTCTGAAGAAATTCCACAACTTCTACCACAACAAAGTCATGCCAGTCAACTTGAGCGTAGGATACTAAACCGCAACAATTATAGTATAAGCGTAAATTAAAAAATTGAAATTAACAATGAATATTAATTAATATTACCTCTTTCTTTTTCAGCTTCTTCTTCCTCTCTTTTCTTCAATCTTTGTTCATATCTAAACCAATCAACACGATGTTTAACCTGATCTAATACCTATTAAAAATTCACCTTTTAGTATGAAAAATAATACTTTATACTTATGAATAATTAAATTTACGTGTAAAGGATCAAAATTTTCTTTCTCTAATTTCTTCTTTAGATCTTTTGGGGGAATTAAAACCTGAATGACACAAAAAAATAGAAAATTTAATAAAATGCTCCTCTTTAAGCACAAATATTGTTCATACTTTTGTATATTGTTCTACCAATTTTGTAAAATATGTAAATAATGAATGTTGGGGTCTCAAAAAATCAAATTGGTAATTTCTCTGTTCTTTGTTCATTAAATTTGTGAGAAACTGACGACCATTTCGAGCAACAAATTGTGCTGTAAGTTTTACAACATCCCTAAAAATATTAAATGTTTTAATTAATTTTAAAGATGTTTGATATGGTATTTTACTAACAAATCATAGGCCGATATACTTGGTGGATCAGCCACAAATTCAAACTCGGCAGGAGGTTCTTTTGGAACGATAGGTTCAGCTTGACGTAAAATTTCTTGCTGTTGTTGTCGATTTACTACCTGAAGTCCAAGGCCACTTCCCGGCTGTTTTATATTTTGGTGTAAAAATTGAAAATGCAATACTTTTAAAACAAACCTTAGAGGATGGTTCTACACCTTTCCCCTCTCTAAACTCTTTAACTTTATGCTGATAGTATGCATGGTACGGATCGTTCCCATTTAAAAAGTTAAATTTAGAGTTATTTATTTCATTTTGACGAATTCTGCTTTCAAACTCCGGTCCGTTTCGGGCAACAAAGCTAGCTGTTTTATCAACAATATCTACATATGTTAAGGACAGTTACGATCCTGACAATACATAACCATACTTGAAGTACAAAAAATGGCATAAATGTTTATACTTTCACTAGATCATTGCTAAATGAAAGTCAAGTTAACACGAAATTCAAGAATTGAACGAAAATCGGTCTTAAAGGATACTTCGAACTTCTGGTGGTGGGTAAATAATACCAATAGTTGGTTTTGATGGAGCAGGAGCGCTTTCTTCGGCTTTAGCGACTTCGGCCGGCATTTTAGTCAAAAATCGTCAATATATCGTCAAAATGGCGAAATCTACTTGTTTTCGTACTTAAGTATTAGAGATACGATTTACCTAATGAAATTAATTTAAATCGGAAATATTATTAGTTTAAATATAATTTAACAGTTGCTAACAAGCTAAATATTTTATTTTCTGACTTTTTCCGAAATTAGAATGTCGGTTTTTCACTTCCGGTCTATGGCAACAAGTTAATTTGTTATTACTTATTTTATCGCTATATATCTTACAATGTCAGACTTCCTCAAAGCTCTACAGGCAAAATCTGCTATGCGAAAGTACCTTTTAGCAAAACAGGTATTTCATTTTAAACGATTTCTTGTCTACAATATATCTGACTTTTTAAAAATCTAGATGAGACTCGCAAGTCCCGACCATTTAAGAACAACTCTTAATAGCTCGACTGACTTGAAAGAAATCGAAATCGAAAGGTTGGTTGGAATGAAAACATTTTAAATAAAATTATTTAAATTTTATTTTCTTTCAGCAAATGTAGAAGTACTGGCGAACCGAAAAATTATGTTTTAACTAAAGATCAGAAGTCGATAAAGCCAAAAGATAATGTAAACCTTTTTTTCTAATTTAAAAAGACTAAATGTAGTTAGTTATTTTTTTTTTGGTGTTCAAAAATGGAATTAAAAAATTATTTCATAAATTCATAGGATGATGATGTGAATGAAGAGGATAAAGAAAAAATTTACACAGATTCAACAGCCTTCCTTAAAGGTACCCAGTCAGAGAATCCACATAATGACTATTGCCAATATTTTGTCGATTCCGGATACAGACCACAAAATTTTATTCGCGATGTTGGATTAGCCAACCGTTTTGAAGAATATCCAAAACTAAGAGAATTGATTAGGCTTAAGGACGAACTTATTTCCAAGACAAATGTTTCTCCGCAGTATATGAATTGTGATCTAGAAGTATTCGATCTAGCAGAATTAGACTCAAAATTTGATGTTATATTGATTGAGCCCCCTCTAGAGGAGATGACCAGAATGTGTGGAGCTGTGTGTGATAAATACTGGAATTGGGAAGAAGTCGAAAGGTTGGAAATTGATCAGATAGCAGCTCAGAGATCCTTTTGTTGGATTTGGTGCGGTTCTAGTGATGGTTTGGATGCTGCTAGGCGATGTTTTAAAAAGTGGGGTTTTAGAAGATGTGAAGATATCTGTTGGATTAAAACTAATAAAGAGAAAAGAGGAGGCTTATCTACACAGTTGGAAGGCAATAGTATTTTTCAAAGAACGAAAGAACATTGTTTAATGGGTATAAAAGGAACAGTTCGAAGATCTCACGACGGCGATTTTATTCATGCAAACGTTGATATCGATCTGATTATTGATGAGGAGCCTGAATGGGGTTCTCGTGAAAAACCGGTAGAAATTTTTCATATAATCGAACACTTTTGCTTAGGCAGGAGACGCCTGCATGTTTTCGGTCGAGATTCAACCATCCGGCCAGGATGGGTAACTGTTGGTCCAGAAGTCACTAGTTCAAATTACGACCCTGTGTCTTATAAACAACACTTTACTGCAACAGAGACATCTTATCTAACTGGGTGCTCCGAAGAAATAGAAAGAATGAGACCAAAATCCCCACCGGCTAAAATAGCAAAGACTGCCTCGACAAATGCTCCTAGAGGGGGAGGACGGGGAGGTTTCACTCAAGTTCCCAGATCTAGGCCATGATGTCTTTTGATATTTTAAATTAGAGTTTTTTTATCATTATAATAAGTAGCATTTAACTCTTGTATTGTTGTTTTCTCTCTTTTTTTGCTAAGAATAAAACTTTTTTGTTATTGTCGTAGGAAATGAAATATTTTTAAAGTCTACATTGTTTTGAGGTAAACAAACATCCTTTGAATTGATAAAGATAAAAGAATTATGAAAGTTCGAAAGAAGAAAGCCGTATAATAATATAATAAGTAGCACAGGGTAGGTAGAAAAAAAACACAAACTGTAAACCTTATCATTCTCCCTTTTATAGAAATCAAGCATTATGATGGCAGCCTACTCTAGAGAACCGATAGTTTATGCAATTTGGTAAATTGAATACAAAATCGTGTCAAGTGGATTTAAGGGAAGAATAAAGTGTACTTGTGGGGATAAATATATGCTAACAACCTGCCATCACCTTATTGATTACTACACTTTATATAATTATAGTAAAAAAAAATTGGAAGGGATATTGCTTTATTCTAAAACAATGTTGTATATTGAATGTAGGTGTAATATTTTAAGTATATCCATAATTCGCGTAATTGTTGAGCTGTAATTTGTAATGAAGAGTGATTCTTGTCTGGAAGTCTACGTTTGAACATTATTCGAAACCTGGAAAACTTTTTATTTGCTCCATTTAACGGACTAGCGATGATTGCAGTATGCCAAATTCTAAATGGAAATTCCTGGACAAATGATTGATATGGTTTCCTTAGAACAATTAATAATCGATCTATATGAGAAGTTATAGAGCATCCAATAGCTTTACCTGTCATATTCCATACCGTTTATGCTTTAAAAGTGTATGAATTATTTGCAGAGGATGGAATTATTTTGAGATGAAATGAACTCATTTATTTTATGAGGGAAGAAAAAATAAGATATAAAGAATGTATGTACTATGATAGTTTGCCCTAACAATAAACCCCAATGAGGAAAGTATCGATTCTGGTGGAAAACTCGGATGCTAGAAAGAATACTTTCACCCTGCTTTATATATAATGTGTGATAATTAGTATTAAATTAATGGGTGAGGATAATATCAGACCTAAAAGTGGATATTAGAGTAGAGCTCATTAAATTAGAATAAAGTGCTGGAGATTACTTTCTTAAGAATTTCGATTGGTCTCACTACTATAGATTTGTAGTATTTATTCATTTAATCGGTTTTATAATCATTGCCGGTATAATGTGCGAAATTAGAAACTTTAAATTTGGTAAACTGTCTAAGCCGGAAAATATTAGAGAATTAAGGCTAAATGTTGGCTCCTTGAAACAGCCGGAAGTTGATGTAACAACCAACCTATGATGTAATCCAAATAGTTAATTACTGAAAAAATTGGAAAGGAAAGGAAAAAAAAAATAAGCCAATTAGATATTGAAAAAAACATCCAATGAAGAATTTCTTATTCTTTTATTAATATATTTGTATTACATGTTTTTTGTAATTTCATTTCCTTTTGAACTATTGAAAAAGAAATTATTAATCTGTTTTATGACTATTAACATAGTAAATTTAGAAAGAATGATTCAACAGGCCTGTATTTTTATTGTTTATTTTTACAAGAAAATATGACTTATTATTTGAATTTATGGTCATAAATTGTCAGTTATGAATTCTGTTAAAATATAGCATTCCTTAACGAATAAGTATGGACACTACGGTAACAAACAACATATTCATACGTATTTATTGGTTTTGGACGTAAGCGAATTTATCAACACTTTTCTTGTATTATAAACAAAATTATCATTATTCGAAAGTGAATACTCTTAGTTCAAAAATGAATATGAATACTATATTGGAAGTACCCGAAATTCAAGTTGAGGAAGAAGAGTATGATTCCATCGGAAGATTAGACTCTGTAGATCTTACAAGAAGGAGTTCCATGCAGTTATCAACAACGTCTAAAGGTTCTAGTAATAGTCTATGGCATGGAAGACGTAGAAGTCGTTCTGCTAGATTAGCTAGAGTAGGGTTATTTTCTTCCAAATATTGAGATAGAAGTAAATAGTAATTCTTAAATAAATTAATTAGGCAAGGATTATAGCGTTGAGGAACTTTAAAAGAGCAGTAATTGTTGTCAGCTCTTGTTTATTCTGGTGTAAAACAAGCCACAAAAGGTAGGAAAACATTTACGCAAATTAACTTCAAAGGGATACCGATATTTATAAAACAATTCATTCGCAACAGAGTAGAAGAATTTAAAGATCATATGTTATCTTTAAAACAAGTACCAGGAGATGCCGATGAAATAGAAAATGAAGATTTACTCTTTAATCCTAGTCATTTTAAAGCAAAACGTCTAGTTAGTTTTTAGAATATTAATTAATGAATTAACTATAATGATAACATTTCTTCTATAAACAACAGCAAAAAATATCTCAAGAAGCCAAAAGAATATTACAGATGCATATGAATGATAGAACTGAAAAAGAAATTCAATTTGTAAATAGAAATATTAGCCTACATATTTTATAGTTTATATATAAATGTTACTTAATTTATCGTCAATGTATCAGCTACAAATTGCTTTAAGGAGGATAAAAGCTTTTGCAGCCTATCCGCAGAGAATGCAACAATTATTATGCAAAGCAGCTTGGTACGAATGGTAAATATATATATATATATATATAAATATATATACATATATATAAATATACTGTATATACTATATGAAATAAATAAAACATTCATTAGTATAAGTCATTGATTCAAAGAGATGCAAAAATAATATCTTTATAGTTATGATACTAAGAGGGCCATTGTTCGACAAGGACATCCTCCTCTTGCCTTTTATTTCATTCTATCTGGATCTGTAGCTGTTACAGTTATGGAAACAACACAAGCTGTAACAAGAACGCTTTGCTTTCTTTATAGAGGAATGCAATTTGGAGTTTGTCATCAATTCGATTATAAAATGTGAAAAAAATTCGATAACGTTGAATATGTCATTTATTTCAGGAACTTGCTCTTTTAACTCATTCAAAGAGGCAAACTACTGTGATCAGTAAGACTACAGTTGAACTGTTATGCATTTCGAAATTTGTGCGTTTCTTTTTCCTTGCCTTATTAATAATCTCTTATTTTATCTTATTATTTAAGGATTTTGAAGAAATCTTCATGTCTGGAGGATTAAAGAGCGTCTTAGACCCGGATCATAATAAATTTATTAAGTAAAGTTTTTTGTTTAAAAAGCTTTATATATTAATCTTAATTGTTTGTCATTCCATTTAGAAACATTTCATTCCTAAAGGGCTGGCCTATTAGGAGATTATCCGAAGATCCTAAGGCTTGTATGTTCCATTATTTTGCGTGAGTATTCTATCAAGATGGTTAGATTGTTGGATTAAAATCTTTGATCTAAATATTGAATAATACTATACTATAGACCTGGATACATTCTTGTCAAGGATAGCAACCTTTCAGATTGGATATTCGTTGTTAAATCCGTAACGTTTATACTACAACGGTATTATCATTTCAATAATCTGTAGTTTTATTAGGGTAGCGTCTCTGTTCTCAAGAAATTACAAAGAGTTGATGTTACTTTTAAAAAAAAAGGTTGGAATATTCATATGCTTTTGTCAATAGTTCAAATTTTTTTGATATAAAATTAGAAAGGAGAAATCCGAAAGATACGAAAGTAGACGACTTAGATGTTTATAAACTAGACCAAACTTCAATGTCCATTTGTGCTGCTGATTATTTAAAAATGTCTTCTCAAAAATTACCTCAAATTACACGTCAAAATAGTACAGTATTGCTGAGGAAGCCCGCTGATAAACCATTGAGGGATAATGTGGATTTAGAGATATTTTTGGACAGAACTCTTCCTGGAATGCATTCGCATGATGATCGATTAGGAATTGTTAATTACGATGAGTGAGTCATATTTCCCTTTTTCTTTCATATACACTGTGTATAAATTATATCCCGTTAGGATAATCGACAAACATAAAAGAAGAGTTCAAAAATCGGAAACAATTATCGAAAATGATGGAAATGATAATAATGGCCTACTTTCTCCACAATCTTCTTGCATTTCCCTACCTCCTGTAAAAACTGCAAAGGTTCCTATATATTTTACATTTTACATGAATATTCATAATCATTAACGAATAGGGAGCATATTTTGCGCCTACAAAGAAAAAGTCAATAAGTAAGTTGTTTAAGAGTTCATTTGGAAGGAAAATAAAGAAAAAAGCTAAAAATGTTGTTTGTAAATATTAGTTAAGAAAGCGCTTGTAAATGTGCAAGCATGGCAACCCGATAGCGAAACTGCAGCGTTACTTGGCAAACAAACTTTAACGGAACATTTACAAACATCAACCATAAGCGATAAGGAATTAACACCTGCAGATTTAGATCCAACATTTATAGTAATACAAGTATTAGAAAGATCTCAATTTTTCGTAAGACTATTCTATATACAGTATATTATATTATAATTAATATATTAAGATGATTTGAATTTTTAACTACTAGGGCGTTGCTCAGGCACTATTTACCGAACCACAGCCTAGCCTAAGTTTAGTTAGTAATGGAGCCGAGTGTATAATGATTAAGAAATCACTCTATTTGAAATATTGTAGCGAAGAGAAGAGAAGAAGTCTAAGAGAATCGGTATTTATAAAAATTCTAAAGAAATTGATTTACTTTAGTTATTAAGAAATTTTTGTTCAAACAATAGGAAGTTCGTTTGCCTAGTGACGAAGAATTACAAGAGCAGTTAAAGCAAACTATACAATGGGAATATCATAGAGCTAAAACCTATAAGAAATGCGTTGAAAAGCAAAAGAAGAGAACGAAGTTAAAGAAACAATTTGCTAAAAGCCATGCAGGTGAATATAACTTTAGAATTGGACCTGTTTAAAGCAAATGTATTATAATATTTTTAATGAATATTCATGTATTCTTTCAATAAAAAAATATTTAAATTGTTTCTTCCCTCTTATTGAAGATATGTTGGGAAAACTTGATATTAAAGAGTAGTGATTTTAAACAATCTCCATCTCTTCGTAGACATGTGCCACATATAGATTTGGATGAGTAGAGTAGGGTTAGACCAACAAAACCAACAATATGACTTATCCAGTTACTTAATATCACATTGTCCTTAAGGACGAATTCGTTCCAAGTAAGCCAAATAGCCCTCCAAAGTGTTATAGTAAAAGCATTAGATATGAAACTCGTCGCACTATCTGTTACAATCACTCCAAATTTGGACAGATTATACTTTTTACATATATAATAGCCCAGATATTGACAGACAATCGACGTTAAATAACATGTAACTGATATAACATAAGTGAAGACAATAGATTTTCTGTATTCATCTGGATATAATTCAATATCTAACAAAACCCATAACCCTCTCCAATATGTCGTTATTAGGCCTATTATAACAATCACAGTATACAAGCAATCGCACAAAAAGTGTAGTTGAAACTTTGGTTCTGTTTGAAATGCGGTCACAAATCGAAAGAATGAATGATCCTTTTTGTCCAAAGCAATCGAAATTGGACCAACGCCATTGTGCAATCTCATGCTACACATGAATAAAATGCCAAGAACGTAAGTAAACACAGCTGACTTTAGATTTACACCTAGGAAAAGCAGAAAGATTTCAACATAAAATCATTTGTAAAGAAGTTGCTAAGCGTAGAGAAAATGTAAAAACCTGAATGCATATCCCATCCGTACCAGACTCCTCTCCATAAGCAAACGAATAGGATCCCAACGATGTAACTATGTAAACGACTCATAATAAGCCATAGAAACAGTGGAATTCTAGTTGGGTTTAATTTTAAAAGTAGTATTTGCATAATATATATAATTATCAATCCAATTACTCCAATTGCCCAACACAACCATACATTTTGCGTTGTATTCTCTCCAACATATTTGTCGATTAGATGCCATGTTCCCCTCCAAAACGATATTACGAGAGGAACAATTAAAAGTAACCAAACTAGATAGTCGATAATAACGAACAGAGTTTTTTTAGAGCAGCTCATAGCTATATATAAAAGTCAGATGTATTTGAAATAAATATACCTTTATACCTTATAACACATAGAAGATATATAAGGATATATCGCTACTCTTAAGATGTATACATATTTATACAAGTACTAATTTTAATATATGTAAATATATGAGTATTGTACACTCCATTTATAAATCTATATGTATATACTAGTATATACAGTATATATATATATATATAAATTTATTAATATTAGTATATTAACTAATAAATATTTCAAGAATAGAATCGATAATAAATTTTTTTCACTATTGTGATCAAGGAAACAAAATCAGGTCTAAACTTTGAATGAAAAGCTATATGACTATGATTGATTTAGTTTAAAACTATTCAGTTAGAAAGTCTACATTATAGAAGACAGCTAGCTCTTATAAAAGTTACAATTTTAAACAGAGTATTTCTTTCGTTTTCTTTCGAGTTTTAAGGATCGTTTGATACTATATTACGCAAACTAATATATAGATATGAATTTCTATACTACTTCTTCTATCCTGTATTTTGATTAAAATATTGTCGTTTGTGCAGATTACATAGATTGTATATATTGATTTTGATAATTCTTGATACGCCTTCCCTCTCTCATTTTCTTCCTTTATGCCTTAATTTCTCCACATCACTTAATGCTTTGGCTCTATTTACAAACGGTAAAAGCGAATAATAAAAAGTCTATTTAGTTGGTAAATTCGTAGTAGAAAAGAATATCTAAATATATTCATTAAGCATTTCTTTTTTCATATACAAGAAACCATTTATTGAGACTTTAGTTAATATTTTAAGAAGAAATTTTCTCTATTAGAAACTGGTACAGAACTAATTAATTACTCTTACAGAGATTTTAAATAAAAAGTCACAGTTCTCTGTATTGATCCGGGGTCTTAGATATGAATGAAGTGGGTTAAAATGGTGGACTAAACAGAGTTCATTAACCTCCATTACATTTCACCTTTTAATTACAACATTATACAATATTTATTCTAATAATTAAATAGGATAAATGTGTAACCAAAGTACTTACGCCCAAATATGTTGTTGTAAGTCGGCTATATCTTCCGATATCTGTCTATCTGGTTCTTTTTCTTTTTATCTCGATCGCTTTCTCCTTTATCTTGCATTAGTAATTTAATATACTAATTCAATATAATACATTTTGAATAATTTGTAATTACACTATGTAGGTAGGTATACAAACATCTATATATATATATATATATGTACAGTATAATATCACTTTTATATATATTTGTATGTATAGCATATAGCGTACTCTATAAATACTTAGAAAAAAGTAGGCTGACAAAGAAAAATTATAATTTTGCTGTACAAAAATGTGATCATTTATAAAAGGGAGCCTAAGAGATGAATTCAACAGATAATAAAGATATTGATATTAAAGTTTAAACTCTGTTTATAATATTACAATCAATATATTTACAATTCTGTCAAATACAGTATTATGATTTTAATTTTTTTCCATTTAAATCAAATATGTCAACTTTATCATATTATTTCATAAAAAGTGATTGTAATTATGAATTTATTAATATGTTTATACTGGAGACAACACTTGTTGAAATGGGACTTATTACTAATAATATTCATTTATAAACTTGCTGTTGGTTTCTCTGATTTTACATTTGCATATTCAACATTAACAATGGCGAATGTTGTCTGTTTGGAAGATAGTTTGCTATTAAAAAACCACTTTTTTAAAGAAAGAATCAATATTGTTAGCACTCCAAGGATGGATGAACGTTTTACCGAAAATTGCCATTACAAAAGGAACGATAATGGTTCTATTATGATTGGAATTGTAATGATTCTGACACTTTTCTTAACATTTATGGTACTTGTATTCTGTTATACAAGTATCTATATTCATATCTATAAAAGATTGAAGAAGAACAAGATAAATTTTCTGTGTAATAATCAGGAAACACAAAAAAGAGATTTACTGTCAATAATACAACAAACAAGATCTGCAATGATGCTTTTAAATATAACATTGATATTTCTATTATCTTTGATACCGGGTTGGCTTCAAAGATTTCAACTTTATAAAATGAATCGGTATCTAAGCCATTTATTCTACGTAAATAACTCGATAAACATATTCATTTATTTAATATTTCATCAAAAATTTCGTCGTAATATCTTGAACTATTTAAACTACAAGTCTAAAATATACAGCAGCAGTCGCTAATGTTGCGAAAGCTATCATCTCTCATGATTCGTCCTAGCGCTATAAATATGTTTCATAGATACTCTACCGTATATATTTATACTGTATAAAGTTTAAATAAAACGAATCATCAATTAATATTTAAATTTATGCAAATTATTCTCCTGAAAATGGGTTGTATGTGCTGTCAGATGAGAAAAAATTCAGGTTGTAGATTAAAAATAATTGCATTTTTTATTTTTAAGAATATTTTAGGATTTTCGGCATCATGTGATTTTGTTCCTAATTTTGAAATAAGATAGCGAAAAGGAGACGATAAATAGAAGAGAGAGAGTCAGGAGGAAACTCAATTACCAGTCTAAAAGCAAATCTTCTATTAAATATAAGAAGGAAGGAAATATAAATTACAGGTTCATTTATAAAAGGGCAATCTAATGGCAAAACTGAATAGTATTCCTTAGGCAGGCAATAATCGTCAGAGATGACCAGAGAATTAATTCACGCGTGTCTACTTTAGGAGACGAGAGAAATTTAATCGAACAATCCAGTTTACACCCTACTATTAAAGATGATAATCGCTTATTAATTTCAAAAGAAGCAAATAGTAAAGGAAGCACCGATAGACAATCTACTCTAAATAATCCGCTAGAAAAAACTTCTTCCTCTCAACAGCCGAATAAAATTTTAGAAGGAGAAAATAGACCATCTATGAATGATTTAACAAATGGAAAAGAATTATTGAATCGTCAAACTACTGATGAAAAAAAGTCAGCTTATTCTGAAATAGCAAAAATCGTTGTCGATGCAGCCGTTGATGAATGTTCGAAACAACAAAATGAAGATAATCATTCAGTGGAGAGAATTGATGATAAAAATTTAGAAAAAGAAGAAAAAGAAGTGAAAGAGAATGAAAAGAGTCCAAGCATTTCGGAAAGTTCGTTAACATTGGCTTTTAAAGAACACGATATAAACTTGACAAAATCACAAAAGGAAAGTAAACGAGTTGAAATTTTAGAGAAAAGTAAGCACGTTTTCAACTTATTAACTTCAAGTGAAACTAGAGAAAATGAAGCTGCAATTAAGAAATATTCAAATAAAATTGAAGAAGGAACATTATCTTGGGCGGAAGCTTATCAGAAAATATGTAGAACTATGAATATTCCCTGTCTTATCATTGATGGTTATTTGAGGAATAATAAATTCAAAATTGGAGAGGATACTGAAGACAATATAAAGAACTTTAAACATCAATGGAATATTGTAAAATTAGATAGAAGGGATTATTGTCTGGTGGATAGTCAACTGGGAGCGCAAGAAGGTAAGATACTTGAATATGTACTTTTTCGCTTATCTTTTCATTCTTTTCCTCTCTACTACCTATCTCAAAAAAAGGTGGTCTAAATCCAGAAACATTCTACTTTAATGCTAATCCAAAAAGTTTTATATCATCTCATCTTCCTAACGAAGTTCATTATCAACTTTTAAAAGAGCCAATAACCTTAACCGATTTCCTCCTTCAACCTATATACACACCTTTCTATTATAGATACGAAATGAATACTAATTATAATGATGGAATTATTGAATTTGATAAAATACTTAAATTCAAACTATTCAAACCGGAAAAATATAATTTTACATATCAAATTTATCTTCATTCAATTTCTGATATAAAAAAAGAAATCAATTATTTAAGATACGTTAAACAAGAGAAATTTGATAATAATTGCCAATTATTTACTATTCAACCCGTATTCTCCTCGTCATTCTTCTTTAAGATAAGGGCTAAGGAAACTAAAGAGAAGTTTGAAAATTTTAAAGATGTATGTGAATATAGGCTTAATTTTATTAAAAAAAATCACTAAGTATCTGTTTTATTATAATAACATTCTACTTTCATTTTTATTGTTGTTGTTATTGTTATTGTAGATTAGCTAGAGTTATTAAGATTTGTATTTTAGTAGTAATAAATATAATGGAAAAGCTATTACGTACACACTCATAAATATTCATTACAAGCCAAATATCTCTCATAATTCCCCCTATCACAACAGAGAACTAAAATAGAATAATTCTTTGGGATAAACAGGTAACTGTTTGATGTGGCGCAGTAATCCTCATTTTCTATATATAGACAGTTTTATATCCATTAGAGCATTAATCATAAAAGGATTAAATTGATGAGGGAAAGGGGGAAAATTGGAAATTAAAGTTTATTCACCTAGTATGATAATATACAATTAATTTGTACATAACTCGAAAGATTACTTAACCCTGTCTCCCTGCTGCTCTCCTCCTCCTCCCCTTCATCCTCTTCCCCTCTTCATCTACCTTTGCATAATCAAAATCAATAAGTCTCGCTCAAACAATCTTTAATGTACATCTTCCTAACATTACAAAGTAGCCGTTTAACTATTAACAAGTGTTATCTTAGTGCTTTTTAATTTATAAATAAATTAGCAAACTTTTAGCCTATAGTAATTCATTCTATTATCAAGAAGAAATAGAGTTTTAAAAACAAACACACACACACACTCACACATAAACACACTCATACAAATTTGAATTTTCAACTTGCAAAAAAAAAACAAAAACAAAACAGTTCTTTATTGTTTTTTTTTCCTTTTTATGTAAACATTAAAGAAATAACGTTTTATAAATATTAAGTAGCTACATAACTTTTTCTCCTACTTTTATAGACAAAATTAAATGAGACATTCATTTTATTTCATTTTGTCATTTATATACATTATATAAATATTTATCTATATATTATATATAATAAACTATTAGCTAGAATATATTCTTTTTGTTGTGGAAATTCTTTAGAATGCCCTAATTACTAAGATTAGTGTAAAAAAGAAATTGCTTGTTATAGCTTATTACTCTGTAATTTACGTATAAAATTGAAATGCTTTATTCTTTTCACAGGACACGAACCAGTCTAACTACATTAGCATAATTTTAGCAGACGGTGAGCAGAAGTAAAATGGAAGTATCTGGTAATCAAAAGGCTCTCTGTCGACAAAAACTCGGTAAAGCTTAGAATTTTTAAGACAATATTAAATTTTGAGTAATATAGCATCAAGTAAGACATGAAATATTCAATAGAGAATTATGTCTCTGTAGAACTGGGAGTGTTTTGTTATCAACTAAAATCGGCTGCTCGTTGCTTTAGCGCCATATTGATTTGCATAGTTTTATGATTTTATCTGATCTGCGTAATAGCTGTCTTAAAGCTATTATAGTTTTGGATATCATTTTCTTATTGAAACTTGTTATACTAATAGAAATTGTTTGGAAATAAGAATATAATTTGGCTTTTCTCGTAATCAGTTTCGTCTGCTGTCTCGTCTGCTTAGAAGACGATCTTACCGTTTTTAAAAAACATTTTAGAACATGAAAAAAGTGTCTTAAACAAAAGCTTATGAAATGATAAACTTTACCGAGTTCGTAGGCTGTTTTAATAATTGCCAAACCATCATCAGGCTAACATCCGAGTTGAGTTGGCCACTTGATATTAAAACGGTCTAAAATATTTTTTTGAAATAGTTGTATTATTCCATAAAGTAATTTGCTGTATCCCCTTCCATAGAACCTAAAATAAAGCTGGAGGAAGATTCTGAAAGTGGTAGAGGATCTCCGACTCCTGCCTTAGACGTTTTGGCTCACGTCGCCAGTGTTACGCTACACCAGGATGGTGTCGGGGGAAAGTGCATAAGTCGCCGTCAAGCTGGATCCTTAGAAACTTTGACATTTGAACAGTTGAAACGAGTTTCCGAGAAGAGTCTTGTTGCTTTATTCACCGAAACAACAGCCAATGAACTTTCGAAGCAATACTGGTCTCATTGCAGACTGCTTCCTGATTGTAATGTGTCTTATAACAGCTTTGGTGGAGATGCCAAGGCTAAATCCCTTGTAAAACAACATTTACTTGAACATATTGTAAATTTAAGCAAGAATCCCGAGGCAGCTAACATGACCTTTGAGCCCATAGCCGTCCGTAAACGTCGTGAATCTGAAACCAGAAAGTGTCGTAAGCAAAAACCTAAGTCTCCTCGAGCAAAGGTAAAGTTCGAAGAGGAAGATCATGGCTGCGAAATCATTGAAGACGACATTGATATGGATATTACATGTCACGATCACAGTTATACAGTAATTAACAATTCTGTGAGGAATATACCGGATGTTCAGCAAACTGTAGAAATATACGATACCGAAGCCCCTCAAGACGGACCGGAAGTTACAGTTGATTCAATGGAGTCTAATTCCATACAATATGTCACTGTTGAGCAACAAGATAACGCTAATGTTGTTCATGTGGTTGTTGAGCAGGAACAAACAAAACGAGAAATTTATCCTCCTATGCCGAAATATGAAGTTGGAAGGAGTAGAACTATTGTGGAAATTGATGACGAAGATATCGATAATTTAGATGATGTTTTGGAAGGTTCAGAAGAATGGACTCGGAGAATGGCATTGCGATGTATGAGGGATTTAAGGAATAAAAAGGATACCGATTTTGTTTGTCGAATATGCAAACCGGAGAAGAGATTTACTGCATCGGCAACTCTGCTTTATCACTACAGATCCCATGCTAAAATAAAACCATTTATCTGTTTAATTTGCAATTCAGCTTTCACTAGACAACACTCGCTTAATTATCATATGCTCATTCACAATAACCAAAGTCGATTCACATGTCAAGAATGTGGAAGAAAATTCAGGCACCCCAGCCACTTCAGAGAACATAAGCGACGACATACCGGGGAGACCCCATTTGAATGCGAGGATTGTGGTAGTAAGTTTAAAACTCGAAATACCTTTAAACGCCACTTGAAAACTCGTCATTCGAAAATTTTAACTCCTCATGGGGTAATTGGTTCTTCAAATGAGGTAGAAAACTACGAAGTTGAAGATGGAATAGCTGTTTTGACCACATCAAATTGTTAGTTTTGTATAGAGCTGACATTGAACTGCTTAAATATTCAAAATAATTTTTTTTTTTTGGACTTTTTTTATTTGTACAACTAATCTCTTAGGCATTCTCTACTAGCAAATAGAAAAAGAAAAAGACGCTAGATATCTTCTGTATCATAGATACTAATTCAGCTACATTTCGATTTTGTATGTGTTAAAATTATTTAGTTTATGCTATCATTTATATAATTTTTATTTTCACGTATTTTTTCACATTATTTTCAATTATTATATTATTACTTATACGTTTTTTTTTAAATAAGATATTTTGAAACAGATAATTTGTATAAAATATCTTTTCATCTCCTACCATTTTCTTTCAGTTGTTAGCTAAATGTGTTATATTCATCAGCTTTTTCAGTTAGTGTTATGCTTAGTATTATTTTTTTTTAATTTCTTATTCTGTATTTCTTTTCATATTTTTTTTATTATATAAATTTGATAATGACAGATATATTATTTTTGTCATTATCAGTGACAAAGTTTGAAGAATTGATATTTTAATCGTAAAAAAACAAAATAATTTATTTTGTAATATATGTTATCAATAAAATCATCACGACCGTGTTTTCTGATTTCATCTTTGTTACAGAAAATACACAATATACTGTATTTACTTCATTTAAACTTGTACTTAGCAATTTACAAAAAAGCACAGTGAGTATTATAAAGTACAAAAATTGTTATTGTCAGGCCTTGTATTATGACAAATTCTCAGAATTAGTTTATCGGTCTGACTAAAATTTATCCACTTTTATCATTTTTACAATGCGTATAAATTGTTTTTACAAAATTCTAATTACCATACATTTCAAATTAACGTAATATATATTTATACAAGTCTGCAACTGGAATTAATATAATTAAATTGCATAAATACATTTTGTTCAGTATTCCTTGTTCTTGTAGGATGTAGTAATACCCTATTAAGTAAATCACGATCATTGTCAAGGTCAAGATATATTCACGATGTCTTCAATCGCTACATTTAAGGTAAATATTTTTTTATATAAAATCAGCTTGAAATTAGCTTTTATTCTCTTTGAACAGGGTTTAGTTGCTCTAGTAACTGGTGGAGCTTCCGGCTTGGGTCGAGGAACAGTAGAACGTTTTGTGCGAGAAGGTGCAAAAGTAGTGATTTGTGACCTTCCAAAGTCGCCGGGTGAAGAAGTAGCAGCAAGTCTAAAAGGAGATGCAATTTTTGTCCCAACCGATGTAACATCTGAAAGTGACGTTGGAAATGCATTGGAAGTTTGTAAGAAAAATTTTGGCAAATTAGATGCTGTTGTAAACTGCGCTGGTATCGGCATAGCCGTCAGCACTTATAATTTCAAAAATAATAAGGCTCACTCCCAAGAAGACTTTCTGAAAGTTCTCAACGTAAACGTGGGAGGAACATTTAATGTCATCAGACAAGCTGCTGGACTTATGGGAGCCAATGAACCTAATGTTGATGGACAAAGAGGATGTATTGTAAATACAGCTAGCGTAGCTGCTTTTGACGGCCAAAGAGGACAAGCAGCTTACTCAGCAAGCAAAGGAGCAATCTATGGAATGACTCTACCAATAGCAAGAGATTTAGCTATTCAAGGGATCCGAGTTAACACAATCGCCCCAGGATTGTTTGATACACCCCTATTGGCTGGTTTACCAGAAAAAGTTAGAAGTTATCTAGCCAAGTCAGTTCCATTCCCCCAACGTCTAGGCTATCCAGATGAATATGGCCATTTAGCTCAATTTATAATTCAATCACCCATGATGAATGGTGAAACTGTCAGATTGGATGGTGCCATTAGAATGCAGCCTTGAAAAAATTAAAATATATTTGAGTAGATAATTTTTCTGATGAAAATAAATATTAAGCTAATTCAGACTGTGATTCTTGTTTTGATTATTATTCTTAGAAGTAAAATAATTGATTTTACAACAGAATTTTCCTTTTTATTTCATATACTACAAAATGAATAGAAGTGTAAATTGTTATACACATCTCTTATTATGCCCTACTGGCTAAAACATTAAAAAAGTGATATATTTCTTCCTTATCATACACTCCAACCTCGGTGTTACACTCAGAGCATCGAACTGGATGGTAGGTTTCATCTTTTTCTGTCTCTTGTTTCATTCCCTTTCTTTTCTTAGCTTTGGATTGATAATGTAATTCCTCAGTTAAAACAGGGCGACAATTCATAACAAACATTGCTCTATATTGATTTGTATATAATTCGTGCCTATAAAATGAAATGAGATTAAAATCAGGATATAAAAATAAATCATAAAGTGATTATACCTTTGACAATCTAAACATAAGGTTGATAAGCAGGATGGGCAGTCTAAAACAGCATCACTGTTGGGCGGTTTATCCAATTTACCATTTTTGGAAGGCATATTACGTCCTCTACGTCTTTCATTCTCAACCCAAAGAGCGTCGTCATTATCCATTTCCGGGTCGTAAAGAAGACTGTCATTAACTTCAGTATCATCTATTCATATTCATTGAAGTAATTAGACTGATTTTAATTTAGTGTTAGAAATACTTACTTTTGTTTTCATCATAATCAGTACCGTAATCTTCTGTTTCCATTTCAGTTTCTTCTTTCTCAGCAGCAGGCTTTGTATCTTTTTCAGCCACATCTCCTGTTGGTTTAGCAAAAGTTACCCTTTTCCTTTTTTGAGGAGACTTGGCAGATTTTATAGCCGAAGGTTTTTTTTCTTCAGATTCCATGAGTGCTGCATCAAAAGAAGTCACTGACGAGGATTCTATCTTGATTTTGTTTTGACCAACAAAAACTGATGAGGGAACTAGAGAGGAAAGCAATTAGGTTATTTAGTATTTTATGATGTGAAAGAAAAAAAGAACCCTTACATGTGAACAAATATTTTTCTTGTATAGAAGATATAATTGAATCAATCTCTTCTTCCATTTCATCTTCAAATGTATTCTTCTTTTTAACTTTATTTTGTTGTCTTCGTTTAACTATTTCACCTTGAATAGATTTATTAATACTATTTTTAGAGTTCGATAAGAATTTCTCAAATTCTTCTTCATCTTCCGATCCTGATCTGGTAATTTAGAAAATTTGAGAACATTATAAAAACAATAATCAAAATAAATATATTCTTACGAGTATTTATTGTCCGAATCGCTTTCTATAGCGTCTATGTCATATAATTCTCCTCCTAGATACATTATCTTGAAAATTGTAGAATACTCGGTATAAGAGACTAATTTATTCAAAAACGAACATGAGACGTTAAATTCGCTATTTTATCGCTCTATTTTTCGTTAAAGAAAACTGGTAGTGGCGCCATCTGACCTTAACCGTTAGAGTCTATACGATCAAATACACAAGCGTGCCTTGCATCTAAGCCTGAGACACACAAAGTTGATGTGCCAAAATTTTGAATTCTGTTATAGAGTAAACAAAACTCATATTTAAAGGTAATTTAAGAGCTTTCTCACTTTTTTACTACGACACTTTTGAAATAATAAATATCGAAATTTGAAAATATTTCAAAATGACATAAAAAATGTTAAGGCACAATATTGAAGGTTCACTTCAGAGCGCATCACAAAACAGCTGTCTTTACCCTTTAGCCTTGTTTACTATAATGTAAGTGCATGATTTAACCAACTATATTTCAAGTGAAGTATAACTTCTCAATCACTCAGTGAAAGTTTATGTTAATAAAACAAATATGAAAGCCACTGTTAGTATCATGATTGTTTCATCGAAGATTTTAAATCAGTCTTCAGTATGTTTGTATGTATAAATTTGAATACATGAAAAGAAGTTTTAAACCTACAAATATTTTCAGGTAGAAAATGATATTGAAAAGGGGAAAAGTAGAAAATATGATGTGCTATCATCTTTTGCCTATTTTTAAGAGCTATTTAATGTTCATTATATATGTGATGAGTTGTATCTATAAACTCTATTGAGTTCTTTAGACTAGTTATAAACTTTTTCATCCACATATGAAAAATCCACCGTTATGTAATGGCAGGTTTTTTTGTGAGAAAGCGCCCTCTTTTGACAAAATTAATTTTCTTCAAGCAAAAGACACAACATAATCATCACCAAACAATACTAATTTTTTATGTGCTCTAGTAATATCCCAAAATGCTACTTAACTGGCTGAACAAGATGGTTGTTGTGGTGTCATTTTAGTCAGTTCTATAAAGCAGTCTGTTGAAGTTCAAATAATTATATCAATTGATATATGATTATACAAATGTAGGTGAGTTAATAATGAAAAATACTGAAGTTTAACTACATTCTAACTTTTTAAGCTTTCTGGACTTTTTAGATATGACTAAAATCAGGGACAGAATGAATGAACTATAAACTGAATTTTCAGAACCTCTTATTAGAAGTCGTATAAATATAGGGCATAGATAAATAGTTATAAATTCTTAAAAAACGGTATTATCAAGCTTGTAAATTTTGAATAAATGGCGTTTTTGATAAACAATATGGCGGTCGTCATACTATCCGCCATTTATTTCCTAAAGGCTAACAAATTTTAACTGTTTCCTTCAAACTGCTTCACAAGAGGATCTTCAAGTGAAATTAAAATACTTAAATATATTATTAGAAAGCATGCATAAAGATGTTGTATTAAAAAAACATTAATAAATGGATGTGTCGTACATATACATAAATGAACTTCATTTTCTAAAAAGTACATAGTGTAGATGGTAATATTTTTAATATTTATTGCAACAATACTTGTTTTAAATCAACGTGCAATTGCTTAATCGTTATATTAATGCTGAGCTATTCTCATGTCTGATTTAAGCAATATTTCAGTTGAAAATACTCAAATAGCTGTATACATAACATTAAAAATATTAACTGATAGGTCTTAAACTCTGTTGATAAATTATTTAAATGCTAAGTATTTTTCTAAATTATTTGAGATTTGAAAATAAAAAAAAAATAACATTCATTAAATTAACAATCTTTTTTTTTGACTGATAATTACAGATACAAAAAAGTACTATGAGTTTGTCAAAGGATGAGCAGTTTTACCAAGGTGTTGAAACTTTGTTGGAGGAGTCAAAACGGAGGAAAATCATGGATTTTTCTGTGCATATAGACAGATCATGTTTTCAACTGAACATACCATCTGAAATTGATAAACTAAAATTGTCAAATGTGTGGATGAATGAAATACGACAAACCTTTACGCCTAAAACAGAAAATGAATCTAAAGCAAATAATCGTTTTAATTGCGCAGAAAGAAATGTAGAAGCTATGGATGAGGACATAGACATAATAATTTCTGATTCCGATGAAGGTGGTGATGCTGAGAAAGAGAATAATAATTCTGGTGGTAAAGACAGCAGTGCAGATCTTACCGATGATGACTGCGTTATCACAAAAGTTCAAGGTCCCGTAAACACGTCCTACTTAATGAGTCAACAATTTGAGGGGAAAAAACTATCTGCTGATAATGTTAACAAAACATTCCCTAAGAATTTCTCAAAAGTATGAAAACCTGTTTTATTATATTCTTTTACTGGAAATTTAATATATTCTTTTTTCTCAAGCAAATTATGAAATTCGTAAACACAAGTGAACAACCACAATCCATTCCAACTGAGTGTGTAGACACAACAGAAGAGATTTCATCCAATTCCGTTATATATAGCGAAAAGCTACTGGTTTAGTATTATTATTTATTTCATTAATTCATTTTTCGAAAATACTTTTCTTATAGAAATGTAATAATGATCCGGATTTTCAATTGGATTCGCCAAAATTTCCAACAAACCCTATACCAAATATTCAATTAAAAGATCATTACGAAGCATTTGAATTTTATGTTAATGAAATTTGTAAATTACCCTCTATTAAGTGAGTGATTATGCAATATTTGATTTTTTAATAAAATTAAAATCAAATACCCTCTTTGAAGGAAACCAGTGAAAGGGGATAAAGTGTTTGTAGAGAATAAGGTTGATGGTTTCAAGACATGTTGGAAAGTTGCTGTTATTGCGGATGTAATTAAGGTAAAAATGAAATTATTTACTAATTTAATTATTATTATTTGTTTTTTGTTTTTATTTTTCAGAATAATGACTCATTTACATATAGTATAAAGTTTGAAAATAGAAATACTCCAGCTAAACGTCATAAGACGTTAAAAGAGTTAGCCCATTACTCTGCACCACAAACGCTATTGCCTATTGGAACAAGAATTATTGGTGAGAAAACTTTTATATTGTTTTCAACAGAATTATTATGAACTTGTATTGTTCTAGCCGTCTTAGAGGATAAATTTAATCGGTGGCAAACTGGTGTAATAGCTGAAACTGAGAGTAAAAGTTTAAATGACAATAGGTATATGTTCCTATTTATATATACTGTATATATATATATATAAAATTGTTGTTACATTCTTTCCTGTATTTTTTTTCTCAAGGGTATTGATATTCTTTGATTACGGTCCTGCACAATACTGCTATAGACACGCTGTTCGTCAAGTCTATCAACAATGTAATGGAAACAATATTAATCAAGTTCGAATAGTTCATCATTAAAATTCTATTTTTCAGCTGAGGAAGTTTGGAATGACATTAAATCCCCTCAAATGCACGAATTCATAAGAGATTATATGGCAAAACAACCAGATGTAAGTAATATTATATTTAATATGAATAAGTTTTACAAATTTATTATTTCATATGGAAACAGAGAGAAATGGTCAGTTTAAGAAAGGGTCACGAGATATTTGTCGATTGGAGAACTGAATGGTTTAAAGCTAGAGTGGATAAGGTTGACTTTTCAATGGTTAAAATAATATTTGATGATAATAGATATGAGTGGATTTATAGAGGAAGTCCAAGACTAAAACCCTTATATGACATGGTGGTAGGAATAACTATAATACCATTTGAAGAAAACTAATAAAATACAAAATAATTTTCAAATTAGAATAAAAATCGCACTAAAAATCAAGATAATACTAAAAGGGCTCGTAGAGACCTAACTTCAACTAAGAATAATAAAAATAAACCTTTTGTTAAATACAATCATGATGGTAAAACAATGAAATAAGAAAATATACTTCTTTATTTACACCTAAAGTCTTTTATTTAGCTCAGCGAAATTCTGTGAGATTAAGAACTGGTACTGCAAAGAAGAGTACTAAAAGTAATGATACATCATCAAATGAGAAATTTGTTGACCCAAACACATTAATACAGAAAGGTTCATATTAGCTTTTATATATATATATATATAGAATATATTGAAGTTGGTATTTTTCTAATTTTAGAGCAAGATTCTTATGGTGTTCGCATTGTTGAAAAGTGCCTTGTTAATACTAAGAGAAGTTTTAAAGGACAGCATGAATGTTCCTACTCTTGTATAAAGGATTTTGACAAAAATTTTGATCCGAGTGTTAGGAAATTATTAAGACCTTTATATTGCGGTTGGAAAAGACAATATGCTGATCCAAAATCAGTGTGGATGAAGAAAAGGGTTGTTTATTTTTCTCCTTGTGGAAAAATGATGAAAAGTTATAATCAGGTGATTTATATAAATTATTAACCACGATTGAACCTATATTTAACTTATTTCTGTTCTCTCCTATATGTTTTTTAGATTGATAGTTTTTTACTTCAAACCGATTCAGTATTAACAGTTGATCTCTTCTCATTCGACCCTGACGTAAATACTCATGCCACGTTTGAAGTCAATAGGGTAAATGTTGATTTACTGTTGGTAATTTATTATTAAATATTGTATACGTTCGCAATACAATAGGCTCTAATGAAGAAATATAAAGAAGACATATCGGGAGGTGTGGAAAAGTTGCCCATTTCATCAGTTAATGCATTCGACGACAATTCTCCTTTATATATGAAATATCGTATTGATCGAAATCCTATGAAAGGAGTTGAAATAGTTAAGGATGAAAACTTTTCCGTTTGCTGCGATTGTACAGACTTTTGTAGAGTAAGTTAATTAAATTCTGTATATATAAATTTATACTTATGGTTTTTTCAATCTTTTATTACAACTATAAAAGGATAAGAGTAAATGCTCATGTTGGCAGCTAACCTACGAATCCGAAGTAATTACTTCATCTGGCTATGTTCATAAAAAACTTAATTCAATTCTTCAAACTGGGTTTGTTAAAATATTAATAATATTTCTTTATAAAATATTAATAATAAAAATGCATGTTTTTAGGGTTTATGAGTGTAATAAAAGGTGTAAATGCAACTTTAAATGCAATAATAAAGTTGTTCAGAATAATATGGATTATCGGATACAACTGTTTAAAACACTCAATAGGTTTGTTATATTGTATATAAAAAAGCATCTTTATATGTTTTCGAATCATTAACATTACTATAGGGGTTGGGGAGTTAGAGCCCTGGAAGATATACCAAGAGGAGCTTTTGTTTGCCATTACGTTGGCCAAATGTTAACCGATTCCGTTGCCGACAAGGTATTTGATTATTCAATCGAAAATAAATTAATTTTTAATTATCTTTGGTATTTATTAAGGCTGGAAAAGATCAAGGAGATGAATATTTCTGTGATCTGGATTTTATTGAGCAAGCGGAAAATATTAAAGACAATTACGAATCTGAAGTTGTTGTGTCTGACGACGAGGCGATTATTACGTTAGTTTTTCAATCCTTTATGAAATAATGATATGCACTTGCCGATTGAACCCATCAGATATAGCATACCTGATCATATAATGAATATAATTTCTTTTAATTCAATATAGTAACGTGGCTAAAAAAACAACAAAAGCCTCAAAGCGAGTGAAATTTACAGAGGAATCAAAGAAGAAAACTTTGTCGTCTAAAGAAAAATCTAGTGGAAAATCCCGCAAAAAAAGTAAATATTTTATTTAGACAATTTTAATTATTCTAATTAATTTCTTTTAAAATTTGCAGGAGAATTTCGTATTCGTAAACATCTCGATTCGGAAGGTCCTGTTGTTATGGATGCTAAAACCGAAGGGAATATAGGCCGATACTTTAATGTAAGTAATACTTTATTGAACGTTGAACTAAGAAAATAATTGTAAAAATTAAAAGCAAATTTATTCTCTTTTTTTTTGTTTTGTTTAGCATTCCTGTAATAGTAATATGCATGTTCAAAACGTTTTCGTTGACACTCATGATCCTCGTTACCCTTGGATAGCATTTTTCACAAATAGGTTAGTATTGATTTTTTCCTTTATGAAATATAAAAAGAAAGCGGAGAGAGAGAGAGAGAGGAAGAAGGAAGAATAAATGATTGATTTTTAAATCCATTTTGCTAACCTGTACAGGAGTATAACTGCTGGAGAAGAATTAACCTGGGATTATGGGTATAAAGTTGGTTCCATACCCGATAGAATTGTATATTGTAAATGTGGTGAAGAAGAATGCCGAGGTCGTTTATTATAGGTTAAAACAATAGTCTTATTAGTAAATTATTTCTCTTGAAAAGGAGAGCATGAAAATGTTTATTCAAAATTATTTTTCAATTTATTTTTTATATAAAAAAATTTTTTGTAACGTTAACATAGCCCAATCATTCTTCTTTTTATATGTATATATAATATCTTGTTTGAACATGTGAGAGAAATTCATAAGTATATACAGTATATACAATATATACTGTTTGCGGGCGTGTATATATGTATATATTTACTAGTATAAATATTAATAAAGAAAATGTTTTTCGCTATATGACATAAAATTTCTATGGTAAAAGTTATCTTTCAGTCTTGAGACTAGTAGACTAAAGATTTAGATTAAAAGTATACATATACTGTATATATATATAAAATATATATATATATACTCTTTTTTCACCAACCTTCTTGCCAGGGTGGTCTACTTTTTGCACTACCTGGCCTCGGTTTTGCACTTGATGGACGGCTTGTTGTTTTAGCACTACTCGGTCTTGATCTAGCAGAATTCTTATATCTCTGAACTTCAACATTAGACTCGGCAACGGGATGATCCTCCCTTAAATACAGATACTCAGTCGATTCGGAGCCAGCTCTTAATTGAGGTCTTCTAACAGAAGTATGGGCAGCGGCTATAGGAACACCACACAAAGTTTTAGAGTGATAGTTTTTCATGAGTGCATCTCGTTGTAAGCCTCTCGTTGCTTTGGCTCTTTCGAGTCGTTTTAGAAGTGCCTAGAAGTTTATTTATAATGTATTATTAATTATTAAAGGATTTGTACTCAAGTAAACTAACCCAGTTTTCTTGTTCTATTCTTTCTTGTTCTTTTTTTCTATTAACTGCAGACGGAGTCATTCTCATAACAGCCTTTTGCTTTTTACTTTGAGCTTTAGTTGCAGATTTAGGACGCTTGTTCTGCTCCATTAATTTCCTTAGCAGACGTTCGTTTTCACTATTTATTTCATCTAATCGAATATTGTTAAATGAATAATTTTTGTCTGGAACGACAAACTTTTTCCCCCCACTATTCTTTCTATCCATTTCGAATATCGCTTGTGTTAATATTCTCATGTCAGTAGAGTCTGTATCAGTTTCAGTTGGTTCTTTAAAAGTAACTGCACTTTTAGGTCTAGGTTTCTTTTGAGGTTTTGGCGACGGTGCCGGTGAAACATCAGTTAAGTCTGGGGAGGAGCAGTCCTTTTTGCGCCTTGAGGAATGCGAATCTGAATTCCGACGGCCAGAAGGCGGTCTGCCAGGCGTTCTGCTTTTTAATTCTTCTCTTTCTTTAGAAGTGTCTGAATCAGAGTTTGTATAATCCGATGAGTATGAAGAGTGCGAGGATGAACTATATCTTCTTTCTCTTCGGGAGTACGGCCGGTCGTCTTCGCCGGAATCGTTCCTTTGTTCTTTTTTACTAACTGTAACTGTCATATGTGATGGTGCTGAAGTAGTTGGCTCATCGTCAAAAAAGTCATGATCAACATCCGCATGAAGGTCCACATTAGTTGTAAATGTCTTACTTTTAGATGTTTTTGCGGCCATTATATAATTAGCACTGATTCTAAATAGTTTATCTGGAATGTTGTAGCAACGGTGACGTCAGTTTTTGAGCAGCGACATCTGTAGGATACTCAAACAAGTCCAAGTAGGAAATAGTAAAAGGCTTGTACTCTGCAAACTCAAATCAGTAAATTTTAAAAATAAACCGTAAGTTAATCAGTAAAATTCAATAAACAGTCCCAAGGGATTTCCGCTGTTCCACTCTAAATCAATAATTTATAGTAGAGGGATTCAAGTCTTGTATAATTTATTGTTCAGCATACCTTAGCATAGTTCAACTTTAGATAGCCAAGATCCTCTATCCTCTAAAGTCACGTTACATTTCATTTTAAAGAAAACTTCGTTACCTTAGTTTAGAAAGTATATGAATTTTTCTTCGTTCGAGGGCGCCACTTTCATATCATTGTGATAATTTAATAAACAGTAACTGCCTATTAGTATAATTTCTCTGCTGCAGATGTAGAAAAATATGACAGAGGAGGTAGTTTGTTAAGCTTTTTTCTAATATGTTTATCTACTGATCAGTACCTGCTCATTATATATATTTTTATTATTTTTAAGAAAAACACATAACATGTCTCACAGTCTATTCGATTGAGAGAAAATTTATACCAGTGAGCGATAATACGATACTTTAATACGTTTTAGGAATCTGAAGTCTTCGAAATAAGTGACTTTACAACATCGTCAGAATGGGAAAGGTTTACGTCAGTGTTAGAAGATGTGTTAAGAGAGTGGAACTCATCGAAAAATATCGAGAAAAATATTCATCAGCTAAATTTTGCAGATTTCAAGATGGTTCTGTCTTATTATCATTTTCCAAAAGAGAACCCTGAATTACGCAATGAAAAAGTAAAGGAAAGATATAAAGAGGAAGAATTATGCGAACTATGGGAAGATTTATTAGACGATTCGTTAGATTTTCCTAGTAGAGAACATTTCATATCAAAATGGTTTGGATTAAGAAAATTCGTCATATTATCGCCTCAGACACACGCTTGCGCAATTGATACAGAAGGCCGAGCCAAAATTCTTCTTTCCTCAATTAGTTTCGCACTAAGTCAATTAAATTGTCCACTTCCAGTCCTTGTTCAATTAGATAAAGCCCGAAGACGACTGTTTAGTGGTGTAGCATATCCCCTATCTGCTGTTAAAACTGAATTTGAAACTGTTCATTTACGAAGGATCCCTGTGAGATATCAGTGCGCTGAAGGGGTAATTGACCTACTTAAGGAAGGTTTAGCTTCTAAATGTGAATGTTACCTTTCCGTTCGTTTTACATATTCTTTTTCTGACTGGCCCCAAATAATGTGTGATCCTCTGCCTGAGGAAGATGAATCCGACGATGGTGATGACGATGATGAACTTTCCTGGAGAACCATACCTTGGGGGGCTTGTGAAGAAGTTATCAGTGAATTGCATTTAGCTGTACAATGGCCATCTCTTTCGCAAGATCTCTTCGTTGATACGCCATCCTATTCAGATTTAGACCCGTTCAATGCCCCTTCGTGGACTGCTCGCCTTAGATACGAAGACGATCCGCAATGTCTACTTGCAACACATCTTAGCCAATTCCAGAAATTGCTCTCAGATTCAGTTAGATCTATTCTATCGGCGACGGAAAACTCTCCTGATTCGAATGTTACATCTGTTTTAGACAAATTAACGGAACATTCCGTTCCTTCTATTGGAACTGTTGTGACCAAAGCAGCCACCAGACTTCAAGTTCACGCTGTTAATTCTCCTTTAACCGAGCGCATGCTTAAAAAATTACTTGCTTATATATTTCCCGATGTAGCGAATAGTTCAGAAGACACCTCTGAGTTTCAAGAGGAGAATGACTTCGAGAGGAGATTAAAATCTGCCCCACCAGGAGGCCTACTTTGGAGATTAGCCATAGCTTTATTAAATGTTAATAACTCTTACGGAGGTAGTATGGCTGTAAACCATTTATGGCATGAGATTGTTTTGGAGCTACGTTATAGATGGGATGAAGGAAAGGTACTACCCGTGGAGAAAGAAAAAGAGCCAGATTCGGCTACTTGTCTATTACAGCAAAAACTACAAATGTTAAACTGCTGTATAGAGCATCGATTACGACGACAACATGTCGTGGAAGAATATAATTCTCCAGGAGAAGAGGAAGATGATGATGAATTCTTCGAATGCGCTGAAGAAAGTAATGATCAGCAAAGGGAAGCGAACATGATAAAGGCTGAAGGAAGGCTGAGAAAACTGGCGTATCAATTACATAAAGTCCCTGGCGAGTACCTATACGTTCCAATCACTCAGGAACCAGCTCCCTTGACGGACGATGCTCTCGAAGAGCAAGCCAGAGTTTTGGCTTCCCTTGGAACTGACCAGACATCTCTTCGTGCCAGAATGCAAAGTGCTTGCCTTCTCTCTGATATGCAAGCTTTTAAAGCTGCTAATCCTGGGTGCGTTTTGGAGGACTTTGTCAGATGGTACTCACCTAGGGATCTAACAGAAAGTGGATGTTTAAGCACTAGAATGCAGGTAGAGGGCAATTTATGGCAAGAAACATGGAACGAAGCCAAGCCTTTGCCAGTAAGAAGACAGAAGCGGCTTTTTGACGATACAAAAGAAGCTGAAAAAGTTTTACATTGGGCAGCATCTTTAAATCCCTCATCTCTAGCCAGAGAAATAGCTGCAGTTCTATTAAATATTTGTCTTGTCACAGCTTGCACAAATCTGTCAAAAAATTCATTGATTGACAAACTAACAACGAAAATTGCCAATTTGAGCCGTAATACAGATTGGCAGATAACTCAGTTCGAAGAAATTTGCCGTCTCTTTTTATCTGCTGAAATTTACTCAGCCCGGAAGAAAAGTATAAGGACAAAATTGAAGCATGTGCAAAAGGATGTTTCTGATGATGACATCGAAAAATTCGCTAATGATCTATTGGACAATCAGGAGGTTAAAATCAATGGTGCTGCAAAGTCTCATTTGGGTGAATTAATCGTAAGAATTTTCTCGGCCGGTTCAGATGACGAAGAGAGGGATGATAAAGTTACGACAAAACTTCCTCCACCAATCGCTAAAGAGTATGTGGCCAGGTGTGAGGCTTCTAAGCCATCACCGAATTCGAAAGTTGTACCACATAGAATTTATGCTCTAATAACGGGTGAAGAATGCAGAATTGCGTCTGTTTGCAGTCAGGACACGGCTTTTTTTTAAAAGCTAACTGTTTATGCAAAAAAATAAGTTTAAGCATATATATTATATGTAACAAGACTTTTGGGAATATAAATAACGCGTAAAGAATCTACGGCTGTATATTTTACAATGATCTCAACCAATTGGTTCAGTAGAGTTCATAATCTATAGGTAGATCCTCGAAAAGTGCTCGGACAAAAAACTTTTATCTCTTCCCATTATTGAAGGCGATAGAGCGCTGCGGGATTTTGAAATTAGCTGCTGCTTGATATTGTATTGTGTAAGCTGCCTGATGAATCTTAAATCCATACAATCTGGAAATTACAACGCATTTTTTTAGTATTTATCGAGTATTTTAAAAAATATGAAATTGTCGCATACCTGGGTACAAACTGATTATTAGGTCGTTTCGGTCGGTATTCTGGATGAACCATAAATAGCATATGAGGGAAACCACTTCCAAAGTATGCACCATCTGTATGATGATGGCGGGAACTTTTAGGTGTATACGCATCTTGGCATTTGGGACAATATAGCTTCACCATAGATTCTCCAGGTACATCAGACAAGCCTATGGGTAGCATAGCTTGATTTTCACAATAAACTCTTGGGCAATATCCAAAATCTCCTTGCTGCCACTTTTCTATCATTTGGGCTATTCCACGATTTGTCATTATATATCTTGCGTGAATTAGGCCATATAGCATTTCAGCAGCCTGTTCTATTAGATCGCTTTGATTAGGGTTGTCTTCTAATTCTTCATCTGGTTCCAAATCTAATATCATATCTAGTGCTTGCCTGTAGTGTGGAACTTGTTCGTTTAGACCAGTTAGATTGAATTTATCTTGTATGTAATCTTCATCAACCTGTTAGACATACAATGATACTCGGCAAGAAATTTGGAAATAAAATTTACCTCGCAAAAAAATTCGTTACCCCGCAGACCACAAAACCAAGAAATCCAGGAAACTTCTTCCGAGCTACTCATGTTTTTTTTTCACTGAAAAAGGAACGGATAATGTATTTGTTAGAGGCATGCAACCCGGTTTTGTTGAAGAGGTTAACGAAAACTACAGTAATCGGATTAGCATAATTTTCCTGAGTAGTTATAGCAAAATGCTTACCTCCTAAAAATTATTCGTTTAATTGAAAATAAATAAAAACCGAAGCCAATATTTCTACGTTTAGAAATGCGAAGCCGATGTTAGCAAGGAAGTCTTTCGTCTACGCATGCGCAAACGGAAATAATTCTATATTGTTTTCGTATTTTGTAATGTAAGAGACTTTCGCCAAAAATTATCATTTTTCATTTAAAATTGTATATACATATATTACAAGTCAAAACGAACATGTTAAACCTTATTTTAAGATAATAATTTAAATTTAGCAGTAAAAATACAAATTCAAAAAAGTTAGAAAGAATAGATCTTATATAGATTGTTCGTCAGACGAACTATCCGGCGTACGTAATACAGATGAACTTTCTGACTTGCCGCTTTTTACGCTAACAACAACTGAACTTGAACTCGTCGATCTTTTTCGTTGTTCAAGCTGCTGTTGAACATTGGTCATAAAAGTAGTTGCAGCTCGAACGCCTTCAGTTTGGAATAAATATGAGTATACTTGATTGGTGAGATGTGGATTGTTCAACAGTTGCTGAGGCACAACAGCGTTTAGAGCCGACGGTGGAGGAAATGCAGTGGGGCTCACGTGAGGGCAAGTTGTTATGTGAATCTGCAGTGGGTTTGAAGTAGTGTGAGACATAGTTTGCGTAGTTGTTGAAGATGAAGTAGAAATTGTCTGAGCGGTTGATTCAACGGGAGTAGACTCTCCCGAATCTGACGATCCCTTACTAGAGGATGGTGCCGCTCCATTCCTATTAAAATTCTTACGCTGGGGTCTCTGTTGTAAAATTTGTCTATGTCCTCGTTGTTGCTGTTGTGGTACGAAAAGAGGTTGTCCGGAGTAGACATTAACAGGACCCCACATGAGATTATTAAATGTTGGTCTAAATATGAAATTATGCATATAAGGTGCAGCAGGGAAAGTCGGATAGAATGGTTGAGGATGATAGGGAGGAGGCTTAACACTGTTTCCAGTTTGCCTCATTCTTAAAGGAACATATTCAGGCGCTAATGGATTGAGTAAAGAGGCTTTTAACAGTTCTACTTTGTTGAGTAAAGCGTTTAAGTGCACCCACGTCATTCCGAATAAACTTTTGGATTCGTGACAAATTTCAATGTACTTTTCCCATAATTTTCTGCATTTTCCAATACTACATAGCGATACAGGATCTCCAATAACAGCAACAAGACTTTGAGCCCTAGTAACTGCAGTATTTAGTAGTTTAGCGTTTGACAAGAAACCGTAATCTACATCGTCATCAGTATCATTTTTGCAAGTATGACTAGTTCTCACAGTTGATATAAAAACGGCTCGAAATTGTTTTCCTTGAACATTCAATACGCGTTCAACTGAAACCATCGGTCGCATTCTTTTCCTAAATTCGGACCTAATTCGAGCTACTTGTTCACTATAATAGGTAAGTACACCAATTGAACTCTCGTTTATTTCTCCCCATTCTTTTGGCCATGTCTTAATCAACTCTTCAACTTGTTCTACTATTTCGTAAACTTCAGCATCGTTATGATAGGATGTTGAATTTGTGATTTGCTTATCCTGACCTCTTGCGGTAAAAAAGCACAGAGGATGTAATCTAAAATGCTTAAATTGAGATCCCCTCGATAATAATTGAGCATCGTAGAAGCAGGAGCTTGTATACTTTACAATATCTTCGTGTGATCGATAATTTTCGATAAGTAAGATTTTGCACGGATGTTGATGAGGATAATATTGATAGAGTCTTTCTAAAAGAGAAGTTCCTAGTCCCTTTTGGCGTGCGTAATCTGAATGAATTTCTGGACCTAATTGCATATGGTCACCAGCAAGAACAATTCGTGTGTTACCTCCCGCGAAACATAATGGAAGTAAGGTGTGAGGTTCCTGGGCTTGGGCAGCCTCGTCAATAAGAATATGTGAAAAGGCGCCAGGTTGAAGATCTAAGGAAAATAAGTAACTACTTGTCGACAAAGTGCAAACAACAACGCGATGAGAAGCTAAATCATGACGTGTAGGCTGTCGAAAGGTGTCACCGGAGCAACTGTTATTAACTAGACAGTATTTGAGAACGACTGGATCCAGTGTTGATTTCCACCGTTTGCGGTACATGACCCTTAGAGGTCTGGCTTCCTGTCTTCCAGTGCTCTCAACATATGGATGAAAATATTCTTTGATATATAAATCCGCTGCGCTATTGGAATGTGTACAGATCAGCAAATTACAGTTTGGCTGGGCTATTAATTGCAAAGCTGCTTGGGCCAGAGTAAATGTCTTTCCAGTTCCATATGGGCCTGCTAATAGAATAGGAGATAGACTTCCTGTTGCATTAGCTGTAATAGCTAAAACTGCTTCCTTTTGTTTAGCATTTAATCTTGAATCCAGGGCAGGACTCCATTGCCTGACAGGAGACCACGGAATTGGTTGAACATGTTCAAGGGTTGGAAATAGTACTTGATGCATTTGAGTGAATTCCTGCAGAGCGTATCTCATTTGACACAAATGCAAACGATTTATTTCGAATTGAATCTGTTAAGAAATATAAGAAATAGATAAAAACATTGCACCAAAGGTCACGGGTTAATCGAATAATACGAAATTTATACTTAGAATTTTCTTTGCTTTTGTTACTTACTTGAAATTGAACGTGCATATCGCTTTTCAATTGTAAATCTCTAGTACAAGCAGGGGAAAGACGTAGGAAGAGGAAATTTTTCCCCCTTTCTTCTACCTGAGCTTCGTAAATCTATTGAAAACAGGAAGTTAGCATGAAAGTTAATAATAGCTGAATTGGCAATGAAGTGATATAATTTCTTTATTGACATACTAGGTAAATGAAAGAAATCGCTTACCACAGAAGGTAATGAATCTTTGTTATACGTGGATGCAGGACAAATATAAACCGTATTAACATATTGCAGTATCAGTCTTCCATGTGACGTATCTTCTGAAATCTGATATTTAAAACATGAAACGAATGAGTAATTGCGTATTTAATAAATTAATATAAGCTTTTAAGTTGCTCTTACATCTTGCTGCAGCTGTAGACGACCGAATAACTGACCATTTTGAGCAAACTTTAACCCAGAATTTAGGCCTGGTACTAAGAGAAACCTATCAACAATATCTACTGTTGCTGTTAAGTTATACTTGGAGACGCTAGCAGTCTGAGCCATTTCTTCTATGTCCAATAATGCTTGCATACGCTCCTTATAGTTTTCAAGACTTAATTCGCAGTGTTTCAGCGAAGATGGAATGGTATAGTGTTCCGCATTTGGAGGTTTGAAAGCGTCCAAGAAAGATTGCTCATCTTTGGAGAAGAAAGAGCGGGATTCAAAAGGTACAATTTGAACATTTTCCTGGATCCATCGTTTGGATAAAGTTAGCTGACTATTACTCGTCTTATCTTTTTCTATGATAGGGGTTGTTTCAACGCTAATCTGTTTGGCCAAAGCCGGTCTTGTACCGAAATCGAATACGATACGTTGTTTAAATGTCCCATAAATATCATTACTAAAAGCCACTTTGACTCTATAAACACTAGCCGACTTATCTGGAATTCTTGTATTCTTCCAGTGTTGACAGTTCCGCGGTAAATTCTGTACTTCTTGAGATCGTCGAGGACCTATTGTTATTGATGTTAAGCCAAAATTAGCTCGATTGGCGTCTTCCAACAGGAACACGTCCTTTAAATATTCTTTGCTAGTTAGCGTGAATGACCATTCGTGTTTGTAAGATTTACAGGATGATTGTACATTTAAATTAGTAGATGTGTAACATTTCACCCTACTGATTGATTGCGCCATCTGCCAAAAAACATCGATCGATAATATTACACACAAGAATACAGTAAACAAAAGAGGATATTTAAAAAACAAACCGTTTCTTTTTCTCTAAGAAATGCTTTAGCAATTTTTAGTTCATCTTTAATATCTTTTGATGCACTATCAAATCGATTTTTCCATTCATACAACTCCTCTGTAGAATGGGCTCTTATACATTGGTCGCCCAATGAACATCGGCGATGTTGTTGAATACTAAGGGATATAGCAAGAATAAACATCCTCTAAATATTTACGTCATATTCTGAAAATCTTACGGTAAACACATAGAGTACTCGTTTGACGACAAACCGCGCGGAGGCGGGCGGTACTTGTAAATAGACTTTCGGTCCGTTTCCACAGGGGTAGATTCCTCTCCTTCTGGAGGTAATCTTTGAACGTTTGGAGAAGGAACATTTTCGGACTGTTTCAATAATTCAGATATTTTTTTGTTTATTAAATTTTAAGATCTATTGCCAAAATATAGATTTTACAAGAAAAATTAAAAATATTCTAATGAATACTTATATCAAAATACCTGTGCTGTTTCAACTTCAATTTCCTCTATTTCGAGTTTTTCTGGCAAAACTAGTTTTTTGCCTTTTCTACTTTTATTCTATATTATTGATTGTTCAGTATAAATGGAATTTAACACAATGTCGGATAACAATTGTTTACTGACCTTATCCATTCTTCTTAGAGATATCCTTTATTTTAAAAAAGAGAATATTCCTCATAAAACATATGTACGTTGATATTTCTATCCTTCTGCACTGTAGAGTTCTGCATCGTGTTCTGTTTTTAAAGACATAAACATTTTAGGCTGGCAGGAAATTGTCAATTTAATTAGAATGCATTAATTAACAAATGATTTAACATATATTCCTTTAGTTCAAACAAAATACGTCTTAGTTCAATCGTACTACGTCCATGAAAACGTTCAATTTTCTGAGATGAAATATAAATCATTCTAAACTTACCTTAATATTGATTATTCGCATCAGCGGGTACTCATGATTAGCATAATGTTTTTATCACGTGATGTACTATAGGGTACCAGTTCAGACTTGATACTGCTCTACGAGAATTTTATAGGAAGATTAAACCTACATTCCTTCGGAAAATTAGTCATAGGTTGGACAGTCAACCAATAAGCCGTATTGTAGCTCGACTATCTCCTTGGAAACGAAGCACCAAGCGCTGTTATAAATAAAGCAATAGCTCAATAACTCTCTGTTTATATCCGTTGATGTAAGTTTGGTCGAGTAACTTTGGAAAGAATATACTCAATTATTGTTAAAATTTAGATTGGATTCAAATAGTTAATTAACTGTTTTTTATTACTTAAAAACAATAGAGTATTACTTTGGAACGACCAACAAAATGATGCTCTCAAGACCTCGTCGAACAAGAGAGATAACCGGTTCTCAGCCTCATTCAGTGGGTTTGGTAAGTTATTTCGGTATCTCGTATATTGTAATCTAGAACCATTAAAAACTTACAGATTGCCAAACCAACCAGTTCCGTTGCTCCGGATAAAATTGTTAGAGAGGCCAGAAGGCAGCAAGAACGACTGGAAGAGGCAGCACTGATAGCGAAGCAGAATAGATTAGCGGATATAAAAAGTGATTGGGAAACAACAACCAATAGAAAAATAATGCTAAATAATGTTAAGTCGAAAATGGCAGGAATGAAGGCAGCTCGAACTGCTGAATTAGAAAATAGAAGAGAAAGATTAAGACAACTGTTGGGAAGAGAAGAAGATAGTTACATAAATGAGATGGTCAATAAAGAGGAAACACAATTGGAAAGACAAGCTAAAATGAGGGAAAAAGCTAGACTCTTAAGAGAAAAACGTGAAAGTGAGAGAAGGGCTTTTGCTCAAGAAAAGTTAGAGCAACAGTTTCGTTTACAATGTGAAGAATTACGAAGCACACAATCAAAGAGGAATGAGGATCTCTTAGCTGCTGAAAGATTGGAACAGATCAGGGAGAAGGAACAAAAGAAGCTGGATGAAAAGAAACATGAAGAATTCTACCACAAAATGTGGGAGGCTGATATTGCAGCTAAAACTAAACGAGAAGAAGAGGATGAAAGAAAGCGAATGGCCGGTAATGATGGTATGCTTGAAGTTCTCCAACAGCAAATTGCTGCTCATGAAATGCAAAAAGAAGAAGAAAAGAGAATAAAGAAAGAGGAAGAGAATCTTTTAGCCGAATCAAGAAGATTGAGAAAGATTGAAGAAGAAAGAGCTCTAAGGGATAAGCAAATGCGAGGACGTGAAACTAGAGAGATGCTAGACCGTAGTATTAAATTGAAAGAACAGCGCAAAGCAAGAGAACTACAAGAAGAACTCGCTTTCGATATGAAACAGCTCGAAGAACTTTTAGAGGCTTCCAAGAATGAAATAAAAGAGCAAACTCAGAGGAAGAAGGAGCTTCGTGAAGAGGACGCCCGATACAGACAGTATTTACGTGACCTAAAAATACAACAACAGAAAGAAGAAGAGGAAATGGATCGTATTTGCAATTTACAAATACAAGACGCCTATCGTAAGCAAACTGAACAGCGTCGTCTCGAAAGAGAAGCAAGAAAGAAGCTTTTTAATAGAATAATTGCCGAGAGACGTCAGCAAATAGAAGATCGTATAAAAGAGAAGGAAAGGGAAAAAGAGATGAATCGTATTCTCGCCGAACAACAAAAGAAGGTCTTTGAACAGAACAGACTAGAAGATTTGGAGAAGCAGAAATTAGCCAAAGAGAAGCTAAAAGCTCATCAATACGACATTCTCGGACAAATTGAATACAATAACAGGCAAAGGGAAATAGCTTTTCTGGAAGAAGATAGATTAAATCTAGCTCAAAATGCAGCTGAAGCTGAGTACAGAGCTAAAATTGCCGAAGCTCTTCAAGACGTTAGCGACCCGTATCTACATCCCATGAGAAAGGCTTTATCCGCTAAAAGACGATAAACATAAAAATAGGCCTAAACATTCTAGTTTTCTTTACTATTGTCAAAGAGAATAGAAAATGATAATTGTACAAAATTAATTATAAATTATAATTTAATCCACAAATGTTTTTTGTCCAACGTTTGTTTTTTTTTTTAAATTTTATGCATAGGAGGTTTTGGGTTACTTTTCAGTTCCTTATCTTTCTAATTCTTCCATCTTTCCTGTTCCGTATATCCTTTCTCTGCTCTTGTCCATTCTTGTATCTCTTTCTTCAACTGTTACAGTATATTTTGTACAATGAAAACTGAGAGAGAGACAGACAGACAGACAGACAGACAGAGAAATGAAAAAAAATATACGAGCTTCGGAAAGAAAGAAAAAGAGATGGAAATAAAAACAGGAAGAGAAAAAGAGAGAAATAGGTGGAAAGGAGGGAGAAAGTTAAATATGCTGTATAATTTCAATACATATCATATATAAATTCAATTATAATATTGCAGTTGTTGCAGTTTCAAAAATATCCCGTGTGTATCAATATACAGTATAAGTTTTAGGTTGTACGATATTTTTGCAGGTGGCGCCCGACCAAGGTCGTGTGAACTTTTACCTAAGTAATATTGATAGGGCCATTGAAAGAGAAAGAAAGAAACGTAAAAATGGCAAATAAGAAAGTCTTTTGTTTCTTGAGAGTTATTGTATTAATAGCAATGTTCATCTCTCTTTTCTGCTATATTGGAGTGGTTCTAGCAGCTAAGAACGAAGTCATCTGGAAATCACCTAAACTAACGAAGGAGTAAGGAATTTTATATTAGATTTAGGACATAACGTTCTTTTAATTCTTTATAGCGTCTGTGATATAATCTTCTGGATAGTTACTAGCTTTGGGGTGGCTAGTACCTTACTGTCAATTTGTTTTCATTGCTGTCTGTCATTGGGAAATTTTCGGTCAAAAACTCCTTTAGATCCAGCTCCACGTCATTCTCCTTCTACTCTTCCTCCTCAACACCATCTTTCTCCGTTAGCAGATAATTACAAGGTTGACACTGCGATTTCTTACAGTGGATGCGATAGTTCCGCTGAGCCACGATGTAATTCTTACAATTCTGACGAAGAAGGTTGCTCACGGCCTCCCCCGTATAATCCATCAATGGTGTATCCTGCTTAGGAGAAAATTAGATAAAAGAATAAAACTTTTCTTAGGAAGGAAGTAAAATAAAAAACTGATGGAAAAGAATTGAATTATGTTTTTTTCGCTTTGTTTACTTGACCTTATTTTTTATTCCATACGTTTCTCATTCTTTGATGAGATAGCGCTGACAAAACTCCTTAAGGACATTTTGCAGAGTTAATGACATTCTTTTCTTACTTAACAATTCGTGGAATCATTTATAATTAATGAAGATTTGAAAACTATAGGCTAATTTTCCTAATCAATCTATTTTTCCATATTTACATAATTGTCTTATATATGAAAAAAACTACGTTATCATTATTGATAAAGAGTACAGTAGCGTATATACTGCATATACTGCATATGTTGTATATACGTAGTATGAAGATATATGTTAAGGATATTTACAAATGAGCAATTTAATCTGATTAATTTTTTGCAAAGAATAAATCGAGACTTATTTATGCAAAATAGCAGCATGAATAACTATAAATGAATACATTATCCCAGAAAAGATATCAGTATCAATTTCCATATAATATGAAGCTGTCAGTGCTGAATTTATTAAAACATTTTAATCAAAAATTTGTCTATCTGTCTGTTTCTTTCTCTACTTTTAAATAATATATATATACCGGATATATTGTATATATATATATATATATAATCGTAATACGGCATATATCATTATCACGGATCAGTTGTCATATGATATTTAAAGAATCTTTATTTTTATGATATAATTATGCATCCGAGAGTTTTTTCTCTTTGTCTGTGGCTTTTCATTGTATCCCTTAATTCTTATTCTTTGTTTTCTTTACAGAACAAAAAGAGTCCTTCTTTATTTACATTCGAAATTCATTTATACTAATATATTATATTTTTGGCCTACATAGAGTATTATTTTAATTTATATAAAATACTAACAAATGTTATAAATTCTTTATTATCACTTTTTTTTCATCCATGAGAAATGGCTGTTTAATACTCTTCCTTAGGGAATTTTGATGTCTGAAAAAAAAGCTTGTGCTACTTGCCATGAATTTTATCTTCTCTCTCACGCATTCTACATTTTATTTTATGTTACTTTTAATAAATTAAATGTCAATCTTATCGTATCTTAGTATCTTATCAATTTCAAATTTCCTCCTAACTAATATATGATGTGCAGAAGTAGTTAATGACAAGAGTCGAAGGTTAATTACTCAATTCCATTCACTGAAGAAAATAAAACATGGTTTGACTTTGACATAAAACTAGGCCATTGTTATCTGTTTTAGATGCTGTTTTCTAATTTAATAAAGACAGAACCAAGCATAGTCGACGTAGGTGAAGAGACAAAGAAGAGAGGGACTGTTGTGGAGAGATAGAGACAGGATGCTTAAGACATAATGCCTCGAATATTCGCTTGTTGTTACTTGATAATCAATAATTAGTAATTAACAAAGGAATAGTGCTCTGCATACAAAATAGACTTTATTTTGAATCAAGTATGACAAATGGCTTAATTAAAATGATGATATTGTTATACTTGACAATATATCTATAATTTTCACGTCTGATACATTAATTTCCTCATTTAATTACATACAATATTTTCTCTGTGTTGCTTTTAGCATTATTATTAACACCTGACTTTTATCTGTCTTTGTGTCTTGTTTCCCCCGGGTAAGGATTCTGATTGCAGATACAGTATAAATATATATAGGGAGAGAGAGGGAGAGAGAGAGAGAAAAAGAAACAAGAGAGACAGAAAAGAGACAGCAGATAAAAAAAAGCAGACGGGGGAAGTCGGGGACAAGAAACTGATGACTTTAGCTTATTTTAAAATTTCAAAATTAATGACAAATAGAATATCAGCTGAAGTTATGTTTATATTTTGGTCTCCTATTTATAATCTATTGTACAGACAATATACGTTAGATATAAACTAATATTTATACAATTAGATCAATTTTTCTCTGATAAACATTTTATGCCCTTTAATTTGCATATATCAAATATTTCATTCTTTTCTCAATAAAAATTCTAAATAAATAATTCTGAAAGAAACGTATTGGTAAAAAAAAAGAACGAAAGAAATTATTTTAATTATTTATTTATCCTAATTGTTTGATTTCAGAACGCGTGTATAATATTATATATTAATAAAAGGGAAATATACATGTGTTGATTTGTTTATTGCGTATATTGTATCTATATATATATAATGTATATATTATAAATTCTGGTCAGGAGTGAGTAGGGGGAGTGGGTGTGAGGGGAAGACATGGCGGGAATGGAGTGTTTTACTTGTATATACCGGTTTCGTTTTGTTTTAAGAGTGAATCTTTTGCCTAGTTAAAGTAACCATGAATGGGGCATCACACGCCCTTAAACGCTTGAATTGCAAGGACTTGATTAGCTATTTGAAAACTTTACCTCCTTTTATATTAGAAGAACTCTATAACAATCCAGCGACATGCTTAGCGGTTTTCAGGAACCTGCCAGAAGTGGCAAGACACTATGTTATGCGGCTTCTCTTCGTGGAGTCACCAGTGTCGCAAGATGTTATTAAACACTGGGTAGTAAAGGGTGAAGTAGAAAAACATGAAAAATCTATTGAAGCTCTAAAGGAATTACAAGTTTGGGATCATAGCCCTATCCCGGGTGGTCTACCTGGATGGAAGTTAAAGCCAACGTTTCGCCAAAATTTTAAGGTTTTATTTTCTTTTAAAAACCCTCAGATTAGGTGATTTAATAGGAATTAATTATATCTAATCCAAATTTTTGTTAAATGCTATTTTCTCTGTCATTATTTATTATTATTTGATTTCCTCCTGAATTGAATTAGGTTGTTATGCTCGGTGGTGGAACTTCATGGACAAGGGGCTCTGCTCTAGAACCGGACAAGTATACAAAAGATGTAGACTCACTAGAGAAATATGCTATAGATAGATGGGAATGCGTTTTAAACTTTCTCGTTGGATCACCTTCATCCAGAGAAATGCTCACAGCTGATATAATAAATTTAATTGAATATTCAGGTCTAATGACTAATTCTGAAAATAACCATTACATTACTCCTGCTGGATTCCAATTTCTCCTGATGGACACAGCAAGTCAAGTATGGTATTTAATTCTACAATATCTGGATACCGTCGAAGATAGAAGAATGAATTTAGTTGAAACTTTAACATTTTTATTTGAAATTAGTTTTGCAAGTTTAGGAAAAGAATACTCGGCTGAAAAATTAACTGACGGCCAATCAAGATTTTTACAACATTTACGAGAATTAGGTTTAATTCATCAAAGGAAAAGAAAATCGGGAAGATTCTATCCAACCCGATTAGCAATTGATTTGGCCAATGGCTGTTCCAATACAATCTCGGAGACTGTTAATGGTTTTATAGTAGTCGAAACAAATTATAAGGTTGATATTATATATTAAATAACTTTCAAAACTAATTATTTCCGTTAAATTATATAATTTTCACTCTGATTGTAATATCCAAAAACAGATCTACGCATATACGAACTCTCCGCTTCACACTGCCCTCCTAGCCTTATTTTCTGATATTTTGTGTCGATTCCCTGGTTTTGTTGTGTCAAACTTAACAAGGGAAAGTGTAAGAAACGCTCTAGCTCATGGTATAACTGCCTATCAGATAATTAACTATTTAAAAAGTTACGCTCATCCTCAAATGTTGAAAAATAAACCTATCTTACCTCCAACGATAACTGATCAAATACGTATATGGGAATTAGAAAGAGATAGAATATCCTACAACGAAGGAGTGTTATATAATCAATTCTTGTCTCAGAATGATTTTGAAATCCTAAAAGAACACGCCAGAGAGAGAGGAGTTTTAATTTGGAGTAATACGGCAAAAAGAATGATGGTGGTATCCTTAGAAGGACACGACGATGTAAGAAGATTTTGGAAGAAACGAAAACAAGATAGCTAAAAATAAATATATAAACAAAAGAAATATTTTCATATCATTCAATTGTAAACTAAGTATTTACGCATTTTGATTGCTATATTTACTTTTCTTGTATAATTTTTATTATAAAGCAACTTGTTGGCTGGAATTGAAAATATTGTGATACTATTTCAGAAAAATATTATAGAACGCAGAGTGCTTTCTAATTTAAAACATGTCGATACAATTAATATATTCATACTTGATTTTTGTTTGTTTTTCATTTTAATATCTAGTTAATAATATAATTTGATTTCTCTTCTTCCTATTTCTATTATCCAATACTTATGGGAAAGAGGGGAAGAGAAAAAAAAAGAGAGAGAGGGTGGAGAAAAGCAATTTTTGAGAAGAATACTTTATCTCTGAAATAAATCTATTGAGCATAATTCGTATAAAACGTAATCATTCAAGCATACCATTTTACTATTCCCTCTTAGCTCTACTCTATTTTGCTTTCGTTCTGACGCAATCTGCCTGTCTCTGTCGCTCTCTGTCCTGTCTCTGTTTGCCTCACTACCCTCTCTCCCCCCTCCCCTCCCTGTGCTCGTGCTATATCACTCACCCATTCTTCTGTTGGCCTATTGTCTATTTCAAAGAGGCCTATAAATAATTTTACAAAGGTAATAAAACGATTGCACGTACGGCTTCTATCTCAAAAGGTAATTAAATAGTGAACATAGGATATTAAGCAAGTATTTAAAATATCTATGAATATTTAATAAATAGAAGGTATAAGAAAAATATACGATTAAAGGAGGATTTAGATGATAAAATAGATGTCACTGTTGAAGTAGTTGTATGAATATATTGAACAGAATTTTAAATTAGCTATATTATAAAATAATCAGAGGTCAGATAGCTTAAAATAAAGATCAATTAAAGATAAATATATATTTTCTAAAAAACAAGAAAATGTGTAAAAGATTCGACAGAAAAAAAGACTCATTACTGTCGTCTCCATAACACGGAATAATAATCAATTCTTATTTGATATTCATTGTTCAATCTTTTTTTTTAACAGAGTTAACAAGGATAGACTTCCTCTCTCCTACTCATCTCTGTGTTCTTTTATTATCAGACTTTTTTTGCTCTTATTAGATAAATAACAAGATAATATCTAAAGAATATCTACTATGAATAGAAGTAAGTAAATAGTAAATTATTTTGATATTAAATGTAATTACAATATATTATAGTTGCAAAATATACAACTAAAAATGTATACATATCTATATATATATACAGTATATATCTAATTGTATCAAGAGAAATATAATAGATTGTTATATAGAGGTATATATTTCATATTTCTAAAATGATAAACAATAGTAAAGCAGCATTTTTTTTTGGATCATTTCCTTTTTAACTGAAAACTCTTAATTTCTATTCTTCTTTTCTTTATTTTTAATTAAAAGTATTGATATTATAAATAAAAACGAAGAGAAAAAGTTATTTTTAAAATGAACTGCTATTAATAATTAAAATGTCATATATCAATCTTGTTTGAATTCTATTACTGACAGGTTTGCCCACTACTATACTCTAGAATGTTTAGCAATACGCCTTTTATGGCTTATAGACCGTTTTATATATATATATATATTGTTAGAATGTGTTGTGTTTTAAAGATATAGACAGATAGGTTTTCTTTTTTTTTCTGTACGTGTTTTTTCGTGTCTCTTTCTACTTTATTCTTTTGTTTAGATAATGAACTCGAAAAAGAAGTCGGTTAAGCAGAAGCTTTCGAATGGAAATGGAGCAGCGGCTGGATGCTCGCCAGATACAACTTTATTACACCAGTTAGCATCCAGAGGAGAAAAAACTTCTTTGGTAAAACACTTAAACGGGGACGGAATTAAAGATTTAGATGTTGCCGATAAAACTGGTAAAACACCTTTAATGCATTGCATCTTAGGGGAGTGGATTGACTGTGTTGAAGTTCTGTTAAAAGCTCAAGCGAATATAAATAAGACTGACATGTCGGGAAAAAATGCTCTTCATTTTGCCGTTCATAAGGTTCTTACAAAACACTCTATCCATCTTATACGCTATTTACCTATCTTTGATAATTAAACTATTATGTATCATAATCAGGGTAATCTCAAATGTGTAAAGCTATTATTATCAAAGGGAGCGAATTGTAGGACTACAGATAACGAAGGCTTGAATGCTTTACATATTTGTGCCAGGCATACAAACGCAAAATGCTTGAATCTTATACTTAAACATTTACAACCTGGTGAAATAGACGTTCAAGACTTAAATAAGGTTATTATTCACATGTCAAATAATCACATATCTGTAAAAAGTTGTCAAATTCAATACTGTATGGATGTAAATATTTACAGAGAACTGCCCTCCACTGGAGCTCTTACCACGGCCATCTAGAACCAATTAAACTATTGCTCAAACACGTAATTAAGCACAAACTCCAGAAGTATTTTGATATTTAATCATTAATATTTTTAGGGTTCAAACGTTCTCATACCAGATATACACGGCAAAACTCCGTTACATTTTGCAGCGTCTGCCAAAGGACCAGAGGCTGGAGAATGTGTTAAATATATACTAGTAGGGAATTAGTTATATCTATTAAATAACATGATAAATAACGTAAAAACTCCTCTCTATAAACGATATAATAGGATAGCCAACCTAGTATGATTAATTGGCAAGATTACGATGGTAGAACAGCATTACATTTAGCTGTATCGGAGGGAGTTGAAATTGTTGTTCAAATCCTTGTAAGTATTTAGTTAATTAATTCCGTTTCGAGAATGAAAAGGCAATTTAAAGAAAAAAAACACCTTAATAATAATTAAAAGATAGCGAATCCCCAATGCAAAATTTCGGCAATGGATAATCTCTTTCGGACACCTCTTCACTGGGCTGCCGTTTTAGGACGTCAGAGTATTATAAAGATGCTTTTGGAACATAGTGCTGACTATGGTATGACTGACTCTAAAGGTGCTACTGCTTTACATTATTGTGCTAAAAACAATTACTCGGAGTGTGTTAGTGCCCTGTTGAAAGGTGGCATTGGTGGTGGTTCAAGCATTCTTCGGGATGAACAAGATAACGAAGGAAGAACTGCATTAATATGGGCTGCTGGGCATGGGGCTGATGATGCTCTTGTCTGCTGTATTGCTGCTGGTTCAAATATATTTCAGGCTGACAAGCATGGTGCTACAGGTAGGAAATTAAACGCTAAAAACGTTATATATAAGTATATACTAGTATATATATATATATATATAATTATTTGTAGCTCTCCACGCTGCCGCTCAGAATGGTCACGCCTCAACTGTAAAATTACTACTAGCTCATGGATCTGATAAGAATGCAACGGATCTTTTATATTTAACACCGTTATTCCGTGCTTGCGAATACGGTCATGAACACGTTCTTCAAGTCCTGTTTGAAAATGGTGCAAATATTGAAAGTAAAGACACCGATGGTAGGTCAGCACTGCATTGGGCAGCCTTATCTGGTCACGCCCACATATGCTCGAAATTAATCAAATTCGGATTAAATCCTGATGTAGTTGATAAATCAGGGTAAGTTTTCCAATTAATTTTTAATGAAAAGAAAAAAAAAGACGAAAAAAAATTTCTATTCTGTAAATTAGTAAATACATTGATGATTTTTTTTCTGCCAGCCGCAGTCCACTGCAATGTGCTTCGTACAGTGGTCACGTTAGCTGCATTCTAGTTCTTATTGAACATGGTGCAGATCCTAATTGGCAAGATCACGAGGTAAAAATAAAATAAGCTTAGTGTAAAATAACATTGAAGGTATCAAATATCCAAATCTATTTTCTTTCCCTTTAGGGTATGACGTCATTACATTGGGCTTGTAGTAGGGGTCATGTAGAAGGCGCAAAACTACTTTTAGAGTTTCAAGCTCATTTAAATCAAATGGAATTAAGTGATGATAAATATACACCTTTAGATTACGCTTTGTTGGAAAATCATGAGAAAGTTGCTCAATTTCTTATAGAACAGGGAGCATTATCAATAAGAGGTATACAGGATCTAGCGGCTGTTAAAATACAAGCAGTATTCAGAGGCTATAGACTACGTAAGACATTCAGCGAGAGGAGGAAATTAATGATTGAACACGAGAAACTTATGAAAGAAGCATGTAGGAAGAAGAAAACAGTTGAAGAGAATTGTCAACTAGCCAACGAAGGAGACTTTTATCGTATTGATAAGCATAGCATTGAATCTTTAAAAAATCGTTCAAGAATGAATGAAAACGTAAAAACAATAGATAAATGGTAATTAAGAATAATTATTACAGTGATTAGTAACTCAGTTAATTTATCAATTTCGCTAAACTAGCAAAACATTACATACGGATGATAAAGATTCAATAAAGGAAGCCGCCGCTTTGATTATACAATACGCTTGGAAAAAATACTTAAGGTTTCCATTTTTGTTTCTTCAATAATTATTTGATAAATTTTACATCCTTTTACCTCGTCATCTATTTTTTATAAGGAAGAAGAGAAAGCAAATAAATCGACACTTAAGTATGGATAAAAGGAGTAGGCTGAACGAGGAGGATACTACAGTAAAATCTGCAAGGAAGAAAGATTTGCAAAAGTTAAAATATGTATGCTTAAAGGATTGATAAACTGTTTGCTATAAATCTTATATATCCAAAGTCTATTAGGGGTATAGCTTCTTCAATGGAAACAAAGTAATAACGATAAATCATTATATTCGCCTATGTGTCACTACAGTCTATCTAACAAAGAGATACCCTTTTTTAATACTCGTAGAACATTCACTCTCTTTCCCCATCCACTTAACTATAATATGCCTCCTCTTCCTCCTACTCATTCTTTCATGTCATCATTTAACCCTGCCTTTCCAAATATATACTGCTATGGAAAAAGAGTACTGTTATTCATTGTGCCTGTTTTTTTTTAGGAATAAATTTGTTGATATATTTAATTGATATTGTCCCTCCTTTTCGGTACAGTTTAACCCAAATTCTGGACATAATGACAATCTATAATTTATTAAGGTTTTTATCCATATAGTATAGTATATTAAAAAAAAAAGAACTCTTTCGTCCATTTTGTTAGAATAAAAATAAACAACGTACTTTCTCTTTAATAAATATAAAAAAAGGATACGATAGTTCATAAACCCCGCCCACATAAAGTTTCTTTTACGGAAATAGACGAAGCTGGTTTGTCAATTAAAGGTTTTCTAGAACATGCAATCTCGTTATATAAATTATTCATATTGGTTTGAAGCCATTTAGAATTTTTGATATCTTCAATTGAAGCTCTTAAACTTACATCTGATTCAAGAATAAGATGAACAAGCTTTTTAGACTCATCTGATAATTTTCTCGAACGAGAAAATCCTACTTTTCTTTCAGTTTGACATTTGATCATGTTCTTTATGTTCGAATCGTCGAAAGGCATTGAGCCGCAAAGCATAATGTATAATATAACACCCATACTCCATATGTCATAGGACTTTCCGCTATAAGGAATACCCTGCAGTATTTCTGGTGCAGCGTAGGCAGCACTACCGCAAAACGTCTTACTTAGATCCTTTTCCATCATTTCGCGAGAAAATCCAAAATCTGATACTTTAATGTTATTTTTAACGTCTAACAATAGATTTTCGCATTTTAAATCTCTATGAACAACATCAAGACTATGTAAATATTCAACGGCATTAGTTAATTGCTTGAACATATGTCTCGATTTATCCTCGTCCAAAGCTCCTTTTAGTTTAACATATTCTAAAAGATCGCCATGTCCAGCCATTTCCATGACAATAAACTTTTTATATCCATAATCGAATACATCGTAACATTTGATAATGTTTGGATGATTAATATTTGTTATGATGTTCAATTCTCTTGGTAAGAATTTCTTTAAGAAATCCTTAGGAGCTTTTCTCATATTAATAATTTTTAAAGCTACTTTTGGTCCATCTTTATCTCCCTTTCTTACAATTGCAGCTCTAACTTTTGCGTATGAACCTTCACCTAAAACGCATCCTATTTCAAATCCTCTTCTCCTAAGCTCCTCCTCATCTTTTACTGCGCAAACTTTCTCCGTTAATCTTGGTTGTATAGCAATACGTTCCATTGAAAATTATATAAAAACTATTGATTAATATAATGAATAAATTAAAATTGAATAAATTTAAATAAATTATAATTCTGATCTTCTCATTTTATCTTTGTTGTCTTTTTTTTATCTTAATATTTCGTTTATTCTAAATTTCTCTTTATTATTCATATTTAATACATTTAAAAATTTAAAAAACTAATCAAAGGCTAACTAATAGATATGGGAGATGAATAATTATTAATGATGTTAATTAATATTCAAAAAAAGGGAAAATTTACATAAATGTAGAAAATCATTGGAATAATGAAATATTTAATTAATGAAGAAATTATATTAAGGTAGAATGAGTAACTGTGATAATTTTCGAATGGAAACGTTAAAAGAAGCCTTAAGTAAAGCTGCCAACGAAGTAGAATTATTATTAAGTAACGGTGGCTGGAGTTATAAGCCTACTTATAGAGCTGTTTTAGCCAAACAGGGCTATTATGTCAAACAAACTATTGGTTCGGGAAGTTATTCAAAAGTTAAATTAGCAGTTGATTACGACAATAAAAGAAAATTAGTTGCTATAAAAATTATAGATAGGCAAAAAGCGCCAAAAGATTATCAAGATAGATTCTTACCAAGGGAATTATCTATTTGGTCGAGTCTTCGCCATCCTAACCTTGTTAATTTACATCGATATTTTGAATCAAATCAAAAAGTTTTCATGATACTGGATTATGGTATTAATGGAGACGCTTTAGAATATATTCAAAAGAAGGGGGCGATAAGTGAAAGGAATGCTTGTAGGTGGTTTCGACAAACAATTTCAGCCGTTGGTTATATGCATGCGCTTGATATCGCTCATAGGGATTTAAAATTGGAAAATCTTCTTTTGAATAAAACTTGGGATATTATAGTTTGTGATTTTGGTTTTGTCAAAGACGATTGTAAAAGTTTAAGTTCAACATTTTGTGGTTCAAAATCATACGCTGCACCCGAAATACTATTAGGTAATCCTTACCTACCGAAGAAAGCTGACGTGTGGGCTCTTGGAGTAATACTATACATCTTTATAACTGGACAAATGCCTTTCAGCGAAGCAAAAGGAACAAAATCTATTCTCAACGAGCAGAGATCTTTAATAAATAACTTTCCCAAGTGTCAAAAAATCCCTTCCCTAGTTCGTGATCTTGTTCGTAACCTATTCACCTACGACTTCTATAAGAGACCGGAAATAGAAGCAATTTGGTCAAATAATTGGATATTAAACCATAACGGGCTAATAAGCAGAAAATCAAATAAATTGTAAACCAAGATATTTCGTCTAGATTGAATGAAGAGAACAATTCAAGAAGAGAACTTTCTTTTAGTAGGTTGAAAATGTATTTTTGACTAACTTTAATTTTCAAGGACATTACTCTACCTAACTTCAATTTTTTTCTCTTTTGTCCTTTTATATTTTATTTTGCTAATACAATAACATTCTCCATTTTGTATTCTTATTGTCTAGCGTTGACGATGGTAATGAAATCTTTTTTCAAAGAAGCTCCACCAACCAAGAATCCATCAATATCTGGTTTCTTGGCAAGTTCCTTGCAATTTCCAGCGTTAACTGAACCTAAAGAACAAAATGAATTATGAAATATTAATAATTTTATCAAAACTAATAAAGAGACATGATAAAAATTTGAAAATTGTATAATTTCAATACAAACCTCCATAGAGGATTCTGAGGTTCTTAGCAACTTCGGCGTTGACATTTTGCGCTAGCCATTTACGTAGATCGGTGTGTACTTCCTGAGCTTGCTCGGGAGATGCAGTTTTATTAGTTCCAATAGCCCATACTGGTTCGTAAGCAAGGACAACGCTGGACCAATCCTTAACGTTATCTTCATAAAAAGATTAATATTATTAATATAGATTATATATATGTATACATATAAGTGTTTCTTATTTAAAAACTTACCAGCGATTGCCTTCATTTGGCGGAAGAGTACTTCGTTGGTTTTTCCAGCTTCGCGTTCTTCCAATTTTTCACCAATACAAGGTATGATTTTCAGACCTTCTTGAAGTGCAAAAGCACATTTCTCGCCAATAAGCTTAACAAAATACATCATATAAAATATATAGGCCGTATTTTGAATAATTCTATATTTACTTTATCGCATTCACCAAAAACGTGGCGTCTTTCTGAATGTCCAAGAATTACCCATGAACAATTGTTGTCTTTTATCATAGCAGGGCTATTGAATTCATAATTTAGATTAGACACGAATATTGAATAACTTTATCAATTAACCTAATATCGCCAGTGAAAGCTCCACTTGCTACTTTGTAGCAATTTTGAGCGGAGACTCCAATTTTGGCATTCAAACGACTGCGAACGTAATCCAAATAGACTGCAGGTGGCGCCACAACGACCTCTGTTGAAAGAGAATGTCAGCGAAGGTCACAATAAAAATTGAATGTTTTAACTGTATTTTTCACACAAATTGTATTAATTAACGTGATATTTTACCTGTATGGTCAACTGCTGCACCTTCATTCAAAAATGCAATAATATCATCAATTGCCTTCTTGTTTCCGTTCATTTTCCAATTGCCACCAATAAAGAATTTGCGGTCACCCATTTTTATTTAAAGTAAAGTTCTATTTAAACTTAGAAATGACAGAGAAATTGTGAGACAAATAATTCCCAGTTATCTAAGAAGTGAATATCACCAGTTTAGAAGAGCGGTATCCGGTAAAATGTAGAATATTTTACCTCAAATTTCCAATAGACACCAGTCTTACTTTACGGTGGCGCCTTCTACATAAAAGTAACATAAAAAGATTTAAATTTAGAACCAGCTGACGTCACTTTTAATGAAAACATCTCAAGCTTATTTCGCGCTTCATATGAGTAAACATACATATTAAAATATAAATATCTGATATTTTTGCTGAAGAAGCTAAAAATATCTAAAAATATATTAAAAAAGACTGAAATAGGTCACATTTTCGAGTTTTTCTAACATAGAAAAAATGATATTCTTTATTTAAAAAAGTGCACAAAAAACAAAATGATATAAATAACATATTCTCTATATTTAAATAAAGATAAAGTAGTTTTTGCAGTAATTAATTATAAACTGAATATGTTAGCTGGAGATTCAAAAAAAAATGCAAAGAGACAAAATCAGTAAAAAAAAATAACAAACATGTATCAGATTCTTTCAGTTATGTAATAATTTAATCTACAAGTGTCACTATTAATTAGTTTTATCATGACTTTTGCAGTACCATCACAATTTCTTTGGTCACATTTATTTAGCTATCTAACTGTGATATACTCGTATCATCTCTGTTATATCTGTACGACATATCGGGCATCCATCTCTTCTATTGAGTAATGATTTTGCGCACTCGGTACAAGTAACCATATGGTGACAAGGACATAGTAGACAATCGCGTGTTCTATCCATACAAATTGCGCAATCACGATCCGCATCCGACATATTCGAGTCTAAAAGGAAAATCCTTGTTAATGGAAGAAGATGATTAAATAGATATAATTAACTTGTCTGATCATAATTTATACCAGATCCGATGCTTGCCCGATGCCCTAATTCAGGTAAATTTCCAGAAAATACATAATCAACACCACAATTCTCTTTCAATCTCCCAATACATGCTATTAATCAATAGAAATGAATGTATTAGAATTGATTATCTATTTTTTTTCAGCATCTTATATTATATACCTTTCTTTCTTTCTTCCCTTTGTTCTTCACTAAGTACTAAGGGTTCACTACCAGATCGAAAGAATAAAGTTTTACCCATATTCTCCAATACTTGTCGAACTAATTACAATTAAAAGGAAACATAAGATCTTTACACAGGAAATTCTGTAGAAAAAAAGTTATATCAATACAAACCTGTTTCTATAGTTTTTCCTGACGTAAATCCACCTGGAGTAATTTCAACTTCCGGTATATAATAAACTGGATAGAGGAACCTTAAACCAACCGTTCTCTAAAAGGTTTTTGGATAAATATACTTATTTTATAAGCAAAAAGAAAATTGAAGAAAATATGGCTATAAATATGAAGCGTATTTGTAATGAAACAAATACTTATATAACTATAAATAACTAACTTCCTTATTAGTTGCTCTTTCTACAATCGCTGTGATATCCAGACGTAAAGTATTGGTTGCTACAATGCAGTTCGGTGGGCAGCATTGTGTTACACCTAAGTTAATAAGTTTAGATAACATTTTATAAAAAAACAAATAATGGGATTAAGTACGTTCAAAAAGATCCTGTTTTATAGGGAGATCATCAACTACTGCTTCAAATACGAAATCTGCATGCTTTACAGCATCTTCCAATCTGCTAAGACAGTATATTTGACCCTATTTTAAAATTAAAAAGAACGTTATTTATTCATGTATAAAAAATGAGTTGAATTACGTAACTATAAAAGTATTGTTAGATAAAAGTCCTTCGCTCTTCATCCACTCTTTATCCTCTTCAATTTTGTCGTAAACAGCATTAAGAGCTGTCAAATTGCTGTCATATAGCTTCACTTTGTGGCCGTGATAAGCCATTTCCCCTATAGATATGAGATAAGTATTAAAACGAATTGAACATATATAAATATAATACTCGAGGCAAATTATGATGAATCATGCATTGCAAAATGGGAAAAATACAGTATATTTAACCATACATTTGATTTTGATTATTTAGATATAAAATATACAAAATTACCTGCAATTTTGACACCTAAAAGCCCACATCCCAACACAGCTATGCAGACCATCCTTTATCAATAATAACTTTAATATTCAAATCATTCAGAGTATATAATTATTTTCCTCTGACAATCTATATTGACAACTGCTTTTATGTACGAATGGTGAAAAAGTTCAGAGTAAACTGGTAGATATTTTAAGTCATTCTTTATTCTCTCCGTCCTTAAATCACTTATAATTTGACTGTAAGCAGTAATATTTAAATCTATAATGACCCTTATAAATTAATTATTGATATTGTTTGCTTTAAATAAAATATCCAAGAAATATATTATCTAAAGACCATATTTTTAATAATATTATAATTCTTATTCTTTTTTTAAGTAAACGTTTTAAAAAAATGAACATTGTATACGGAATACAAGAGTTTATATTATTATCATTCATTGTATTGTATATTTCAAAAATACTCTATTAGAAGTAAAAAGTTTGATATCTAGTTTCTACAGCTATATGTTATACGGTATAACGCTTCATTTATGCTGTATGTATATGCTGAAAGCAATTCCTATTAACCTTAAACTTCTCTCACTTTCGGTCTAGGTACAACATGGTAAAGTACTCATTTTACACTAGCTTTTCTCTGAAATTGCTAATAGCTCTAATTTTTTAAATAAGATTACTACTTCAAACATTGATAAACATATTTCACTAAGGTTTTAAACATAAAAGCATTATACTGTGTCTTTAAGATGTTAGAATGTTCAATTGTTAACGCGCTAACTTTATTACAATAGCTAAAATGAACGAGAACAAATTTGTTTGGAAGAAACGCTCAATTCAAATAATTTTATGGACACCTTAAATACAGAACTTGGAACAGTTTTCGAATCGTTGTTTCTACCAGCGACATTTTGTACCTAACTGCGGCTCTCATGGCAGCTACTCCAGACTTTTCCTCAGCTAACGAAGAGAAGGAGAAGAGTACAGAGGAGTTGAAAGAACAGGTGAATATAGGACTTATTATGTTTATCCAGGATTTATTGGATTTCTGTTCGTAGGACCGATTTTTACCAATCGCCAATGTAGCCAAAATCATGAAAAGAGCCATACCAAACTCAGGAAAAGTAAGATCAGAATGTTCTCTTCAAAGAAGATGTCTGAATATACGTAATAATGTTTACAGGTAGCAAAAGATGCCAAGGAATGCGTTCAAGAATGCGTCTCCGAATTTATAAGTTTTTTGACTTCTGAGTAAGTACAATATTCTAGGAACAAAATAACAAACTAAAAGAAAACACACACAAAAATAATAAATTATATTTAAAATTTAACAGAGCCAGTGACAGGTGTCAGGCAGAGAAAAGAAAAACAGTTAATGGAGAGGATATATTATGGGCAATGACACAATTGGGCTTTGATAACTACGTAGAACCTCTTAAAGTTTTTTTAACCAAGTACAGAGAGGTATTAATGTCAAAGTAGATTTTACAAACTATAAAAGATTATCCTTATGTTGAAATAAAAAAGTTATACAATTGTCATTGTTTTTTCCTACAGTCTGTACAGCAAGTAAAATTGGATACTGATAAAATAACAGGAGATATGGAAATGAACGATGAAAGTGGTTTAAGTAAGTATCTATATATACATATATATATATATATATATATATACATATTTGAATAAAAAGTGATAAATTTGATTTATAAGATAAAACTCTAGGAAAAAAAGAAAAATGTAATTTTTTATCTTTTTTTTCAGATATACAAATGATCTCCACTGATGCTTATTTTTAAAAAGAACTATAAAAACTAGCGGTTTTGTAAAAATTTATATATATTATATATATATATATATATATATATACATATGTGTGTATATAAAAAGAAAAATGCATCTATGTATGTCTCTATACGTTTATTTTATATAAACTTAGTGTGTTGTTGAAATTTTATGTATTTATTATAAAAACAGAAAGAGATATGAGTTTTGTAAATGTGACTTTAAGTTGATAAAATTACCTCGATACTATATAGGCATCATAGGAATCGATAAGCATTGTAAGTAGGGCGCCATCTATTGTTTCTCCGATTTCCGTTGCAGTGCACATAGTTTTGCGGTGCAGTGTTTACTGCTTTGATGGGTAAAGAGGAAAAATACCGACAAACGCCTACTGCGGCTGCGCAAGCCGGAACTTCAGGCAGTAAAGGCCCTACATATACAGCGGATAAGAATAAGGCGAAGATGTCTGCCAAGGCTAACAAAAAATGGGTGAGATTAGCTACCGTATTAGCATATGTGCTGTCCGTCTCTTTGGCCGCCATCGTTCTGGCTATCTACTATAGTCTAATATGGAATCCAAATATCATTCGAGCTACTGTGACACCTTCCACTATGTCTCCAGACTCTTCAGAAACACCTCCATCAACGCCGAACTCTACTGACATATAATTTGCAGGATTATTGATTTTATTGCTTTTCGTTTTCTGATCTCGTTCGTTATAAACTTTTTCAGATAGTTAATCAAAAAAATATATGCATGTATTCATTGCACGCAAACAAATTTCAACAAAATTCAGATCAAAATTAGTTCAAAATTCAAAAGCGATTTGCAGGAGACGAAGTTATTTTGTTGCTTGTTTTCTATTTCTTTTTACAGTAAATCTCTAAGATTTAAGCACAACTTTGAGACGAAGCTTTCGGGATATGTATAAAATGAGTATACAATCTTTCAAGGATGACTTGGAAAGTTCGTCAGGAGAGCCAAATGGCCGGTTTGATTCGAAGAATGCTGCAAAAATTCTTGAATATTGGTTTCATCAGAATCAAAATATTCAGTATGACGACTCGCGAATCTAAAAACGTATGTGACTGTTGCAAATGTAGTAGCGTTTACCGGAAACGCTCTGAGCAGAGTCGATCCTAAACCTTTTGTTAAAACAAGCCAACCTTCGGAAGCGATACTTTTTCGAAAGCAATCCACCAGACCTTTATATTCATTTCTGACGTCAGCTTGCACTCTAGACTTAATAACGTCAAATGGATAGGTAACAATCCAGGAACACATTCCAGCTGTTCCTCCTGATAACAATAATTGCATAGTTCCTACTTCTGAAGGATTGCCTATCCTACAGAATTTCTCGTAGGACGCAAAATAGACGCCAAAAGAGGGTGTCTCTCTAAGTGTAGTTAACCAGAATCCTCTGTAAACTCCTTTAATTCCCTCTTTCTTAAAAATTTTTACCAAACAATCATAAGAATTTTTGTACAGCGTTTGCTTAATCTTTCTGGATTGACCCTGACCTTGGACTTGCAATCGAGTCTTTACTAATTCCATTGGGCTACATATTACGCATTGCGAAAATCCGGCAACTGCGCCAGCAAGGTAATGTGCTGTTAAGCTGTTTGGTTTTGGTAGACGTCTTTGGACATTTCCTTGAACTCCAAACACAATAGCATTAATAGCCGTAAGGCCACATAGAGGTGGCGCAATACCTTTATATAAACCAATGAACTATAATTCAATACAATTTAAGCTTTAATTAGGCCATAGTAAATCTTAACTGTAAATACAAACCGATTCTTTTTTTATTATTTGAGCGAAACAATCAAATGTTCCTTTATAGATAATTGGATTTTGAGTTTGTAGTCTTACTTTGACAGTGTCAAAAGGATGACCAACAATGACACCAGTAATGCCTGTATATATATAAAACAAATATACAGTCTACATCGTTATTAGAACAAAATTTGAAGCCTAAAAAGATTTGTGTCAAATGTTATTGATTTTTTATCGAAAGATTACTCTTTTTCGAACGTTTCAGTTCAGAGAATTTATTCGATTGATATAATTTATAATGATTTTTTATGTAGAAAAAGAACACGTGTTTCACCAAATTTTACACGTAGGGATCATACAAATTTTAATCGTCCAGAGATTACAAGCCAATGCCCTTCTCACAGTTCAAATTCAAAGACTTTTCTTAGAAGCGGGTGCCATTCGAATAAAATTTTGAGATTTTTACAAAAGAGCTCTGTCTCACCTCCGATACATCCTGCAAAAAAATCTAAGGCCATCACACGTTGACCCGTTCGATATAAATGTTTCTCAATTCAGAGAATCTTCTAGTTTGAAACAATTATGTTATCGTCAAGGTCAAAATTTTGATTTCTTTTATTAAAATCTGGTGTAGAATCAGCTTATAAAGGAACCGTGAATATAGCATGCAAAATGAGACCAGATAAATAGCCTGATATAGAGCGGAATAGAAACCAGATTTGGGAGAATATTGCTGATTGGTCCACGGCAGAGGGGTAGACCGCTCTGGAAAATAAATGCGTCAAAAATTTCTTGATCGGAACACCTGAGTGTACGGATATACTATGAAATAATTCAGAGAACCATAGGGATGTTCATTGGTTTTTTATTCAATAATATATAGAAAAAGGCGATTAATTACATTTATTATGTCATTTTTTTTACAATATTATTGGTATAGTTTGAATATTTAGCTGGGTTTTTTTAGTTTACAAACCAAAAACCACTATTGATTTTTGCGCTGCAACTAAAGGTTAATTGTGAGTCATGAAAATTTTATCTAAAGGTATATAAGCTAACCAAAAGTTCATTCATTGAATTTTCTATAACTTTGATGGTAAATAATACAAAGTCATATTACTTTTGTCAAAAGTAATCGTCACTGACATGAGGCTTTTATTCACTTGAGTAAACAAAAAATATTTATTAGCCTAAATTTCGACTACATTTATGAAAAGGTAATGAATCATGATGATATAATGCTTATATGGAACATCTTGAATTATTTACATGAAAAACAAAATTGTTCATTTATCAACATTTCGGGAACCTACTTTCTCTTTCTATTGACTGAGTAAGTAAGAGCAGAAGATGATAGTTTATGTCAGCTTCATAAGATTAATATTAAATAAATAAATAAATATATATATATATATATATATACAGTATATATTGACTAATACAGAAACATCAACAATTTATAATATTTTAATCTACGCATCTCCTTTACATCGCAGTATTTTTATGAGAAAAATATTGACAAACAAATCTAGGTTATATGCATATTCATGACTTATTAATGATAATTAAAGGTTATACTATTTCCCTGAAAAGTTAACGAGCTTTACAGTAAGCAAAGACTTGGCTATTATTAAATTTTTAAAATGGTTGAATCGGGAATAGAAAGCATGGGCCGGATAGAGGAAATAAAAAATACATAATAAATGATCATTTGTTAATAAATAAAGAGAACGGAGGAGGAGGGGGCAGGATGGAAAGATGGATTACACAACAGATGTTATGATATAAAAAATTTAGAACCATATCTATTTTTAGCCTGGAAGCAAGCATTTTTTTAATTGAATTAATTTGTTTCCTATTAAGCCACAGAATATCTAAAAGGTTTCCTCGGGCCACATTGACGGTTTCATTTAGGGAAATTTAATTACATTCTAACCTATTTTTTTTATCATAAACCATATAAGCAACTGTCTTTCTTCCTTTAATAATTTTCTTTGTACTTCTACAATGACCTTCTATATTCTATGTTTTAATATCTTGAAATGTTTTCTGAGAATAATAAGAAACTAAAGTATAGAGAATTTAGGATACGTACTTTTAGTAAATTAGAACTTTTACCTTAGTACCTATTGTAAGTAATTAGTATGGTTATAATTAATGGGCATTGTTGAAATATTACTGATTTTAAATATTCAAAGGATTTAATAGAGAAAGAAGAGAGGAACTATGAATGTGGTTATGAGAAAATAGCAAAAAATAATTTTTATCACTTCTTAGAAAACCTTTAAATGTAAGAAAAGATAATTTGAGATAGGAGATTATTATCTCGTATTTTGTTGCGTAAAGTAGCCTCACTTTCCCACTATCGTATAAGTTGTCTGCGGATATATCATAAGTAGTTTATTTATCAAAACTTATTTATTCCTTAAGTAGAGAAAGCGTGATATATCTTTCGTAAGTATTACTTTAGTGATGAATATTCGATCCGTCAGAGACTGGTTCGTTAGTTAAATTCGAATTTCGCAGTTTCTCTTCGCTTTCATTTGATGTAATTGAGCACTTTTCATAAAACGAATTAGATTTGTTAAAAATTTCAACCTTGTTTATATTTGAAACATTTGTTTTATCATCTAATTCATCTTCTTCCTCTTCTATTATCATACTTCCCGGAACTGTACTAGCAACTGAAACATTTTCCATTTCATCATTCGGCAAGGTCTTATTTAGGGTGGTATTCTGTTTCTCGTCCTTCGTTGATATTTCTTGTTTAGTTTCTAAGAGATACTCCTGAGGAAAACTTAAGGGTGAAGAATATGGGCATTTCAGAGGTTTTAATTGATTTTCAACTTGTTTTTCGTTCCCATTTGAGCAGTCGGTACTAGATTGCTGATAATTTAGATCATCTTCAGTAGGCATCTGATTTTCATTACTTTCGCTATTTTTTATATAAAAATCTATGTTTTTTTCTTGAAAATCAATTATTTTATCTTTTTTCTCATCTTTTATATTTCTCTTACAATCTTCATCTTCTTTCAACGTGATTGATTCATAAAGCAAATCTTTGTTAATTGGTTGTTGAGTATTTCCCCCTAAAGTATTTTATATATAATTAAATTTATAATTAGAAAGAAAAATTGTCAATTTCAACATCCTGTAATTTCCTTACCATTTTTTTCAACAATATTCCTACTAGATTTAACCGATAAATTGCCATCAAAATTGTTAAATGAAATGGAAGATAGTGAAGTAGAATCTATAATTTGAGCTTTTGAATCGTTTACTGAGTTTGTCCCTTCGTCAATTTTACTAAGAACTGTTTTTCTATATTTAGTTGTTGAATTATCTAATTTACTTTCTTCATTTTCAATTGACTTTTCGCTAATTATATCTTGTTTTAGATTTTTTAATTGACTGCTAAATTCCTCTTTCTTGGTGTAAGTATCTTCAATAGATTGTGTAAGGATGCGTGTAGCTTTCTTCTCTCTTACGTCATCGATTCTTAGACCTTGGTATTTCTTATAAAATTCCTCGTTCTTTACATCTTTAGTATTTATTCTTTTATTAAAATCGTAATTTAGTAATCTTCTATAGATTCTCTTACAAGGCATTGATACTTCTTCGTCGTCTTCTTTGGCTAAACCACCTTCAATAGAATTAAGGATATCCCTTCTGTCTTTACCTCTGAATGGGCAATGGCCGTAAAGACAGACGTAGAGGACTATGCCAACACTCCACATATCGGCTTTAGTAGCGATATATTCATGTTCTAATAAGACCTCTGGAGCAGCATATTCTAAATTACCAACAAAGGTTGCCGACCAAATGATTCCTAAAGCCCTATGATCGTTTAAGTTGTAGGTTGCTAGACCAAAATCAGACAGTTTTATAGAATTTTTCGAATCTAATAAAAGATTCGAACATTTTATATCTCTATGAGCAATACCCTTTATTTTTTAGGTTCATTTATTAATAAGGTAGTAAAGGGAAATGTGAATATTTGGTAAAAAGCAAATATACAGCATAATGCAGTCTATCTATTTTCCCTTAATACCTTGATATGTAGGTAATGAACAGCATCTATCAGTTGGCTAAACCATACACCAGCAATTGGTTCTGTTAGGCGTTTGTGACGATCTAATTCATCTTTAACTGTCCGTCCAGTTAGGTATTCCATGACTAGATAGGCCTTTTTAGGAGAGGTTGCAGCGGCTATACATTTAATAATATTTGGATGTGAAATCTTTGCCATTATCTTTAATTCTCTGATGACAAACTTTTCAAAAATATGTATTTTGCCCTCTTTGATCATTTTAAATTTGTCATATATTTTTATAGCTACGGGACTGCCCGTACGAATTGAATTACCGCCAAGGACAACTGAATTTACTCCTCGACCCAATTCTATTCCCGTAAGGGTAAAGCCAAGAGAATCAAGTACAACCTTGTTCTTTCCCCTAATCCATATTTTGTCTTCCAAAATGGGAGATTTAGACTTGGGCCACGTTAAAAAGTTATATATTCTCTTTAAAAAGTCTTTATTGCGTTTAACCGTCTCCTACAAAGGAAAAAACGCTATAATGAAGTAAAAAAAAAAATCAATAATACCTGATGAAAATTTCTAATTATTTTTTTTTATATAATTCTGCTTTAGCATTATACCTTTTTCCTCAGTTTATTTTGCGGCATTTCGTTCTTATTAATGTTAATATATAAATATAATTCCAGTATTCCAGTTTTTTTTTACTGCAGAAATCAAGAAAAAACTTTTTAATAAAAGATTTTTTTAATAAAGAATTTATATTTAAATTTGAAATTTTAGAAATATTACGAGTTTTTATAATTAAAGTGTTTTTATATCTGTTTTTATGTCTGTAATAAAGTTTCATCAAGATTCTACAATGCGATCAATTGAAGGATGAAAAGTCAATCTAGGTACAAACAAATTATCACTTATTTGTTTTCGCTATTTTCCTCTTCCTCCACCTCCTCTCTCTCTCTCTCTCTCTCTCTCTCTGTCTCTGTCTCTGTCTCTCTCTCACTCTCTCACTCTCTCTCTTTTCCTCTTTTTTCGCTATTTCATTTCCCTTTGCAGTTCATTTCAAAGAATATTCTCAGTCACAGGCAGTATTGGTGATACTTTGGATAAAAGGAGAATATAATATCTATTATCTCTGAAGAGGTAAAAGCGCTTCCTCTTTACTACCCTGATTATCTTTTATAAAGATTAAAGCTCATATGGGCTATAGCTATTTTACTTTTTCTAACACATAATTCTTAGAAACGACTGTATGTTATAAATGCTTAAAACATAAGTATTATGTAGATTTATTCATTTTCATCAATGCTTCGTAAGACTAGTTCTAACATACTTATTAATAAAAGGTTAATAGCTGTTGATATATATTACATACTATAAGAAATTAGACCTTCTTTTGACTCTTACACAAATGTCTTATGAAGCAGCAACGTAATGACTTACAGGTTTTCATTATTGCTTAATTGAAAGGTTTTCTTTAAGGCTAAAATAAACTCGTCGTGTTCTTGCAATATTTAAATTTCTTTTGTTGAAGGAGCAAAATTAGAAAAATAACACTGTGTACAAAGTGCCTAGACATTAAACAGCAGCGATAATAGTAAAAGTAATTAACGAATAAATAAAGTATATGCTACACTACTTAAGGGAGAGATGTGCATTTAAAAAATTACAATAATTGGTGGAAAAAAAAGAATGAAAAGATGAGAACAGTAGTGTTATCATCATGTAATTTTTCCGTCTACTCTTTACAGTTTGAAAACTGCTTGTATATTTAGAAGAGAAAATATTTATCTATATGTCAACCCTGTAGTTGTCAATTACGAAATATGAACAAATACAGAAATAAACCATCTCTCTTTTTCACGACTATTTTAGTCAAATGACCTTTGAAAGAATTATTCTAATAGCTTATTACTATTTCATGAAAAAGGAAGAGTATATTTCAAAATTTAAAGGATTGGTTAGAAGCTTTCGATACAATTTCATATTAATTGGAGAAGTAAGAGATTATTAAGTATTAGAATCAAATTTTTGAGTAAGCAGTCGAGTTTTCCTTATGTGGAAATGGTAAACATGACGTATTTCTCCATCTTCATATTCCTAAGATCTTTGATGAATGTCACTAATTAGTCTTCTTATAGTGTATTTTCAGTTGTATACATTTACTTCTATTTTAAGATCATCCACTCATTGTCCTTGTGAGCGAAAAACACTTCTTAAGATTCCTTTATATTAAAAAAAAAAAGAAGATCGATTTGGCTTTTGTTAAAAAGTCTCCGTATCTTTCCCTCCCTGATAGAAGGAATTTTATTATCTAGCGATTTTTTATAGGATAAATTTTCCAGTTGAGTGTACAAATCGTCGCAATCCGGCAAAAGAAGATCATCAATGAAGCAGTTTTTTGAACTTTTTCATTAATTCATCTATTTAAATGGGCCTACGAAACCTGACGTATCCATCGTTACTAGATCAGAAAAATAGAAACGTTTCATAAGTAAATATAACCGAATTTAGTCTATACTTGTTTTTCTTTTGCATGTTTGTATCAAGATGTCATACAAAAAAAACAAATTTAAAGGTTTGAATTAACGGCGACTTTCATAAATATTTAGAGTTTGATATTTTTTGCCTTTAAGGCTTATACTTTTTCCTTTTGTAATGAAAAAAATTAGGCAGTTTTACAGGTTTTACTCACAAAAGCCACTTATTACAGATCACAAAATACATAATCAGAACATAGAACACTGAATACAATACAAAGAATGACAAATCAGTTTTTCTCCATTGTTTTTCTTAAGCATATACAGTTTAATTACCAAGCATCTGTATACCTAACGTCAAATTCTTGAAGAGCTGGAAGTTTTTCCTATATTTGTGGAATATGAAGAAACATATATAAAAATCAATACTGCCAAGTTAAAAGAATATTTTTTTTTACCTTGAGGCTTTCGAAAGTTAAGGCAGAAAGTGACGTACTATTCAGATTCAGCTTTCTTAAGTTTTTCATAGCTGTTAAGTTATTTTGCGAAAAAGAAAAGAAAAACTTGTCTTAAGAAAAGCAAGCTGAATTACTTAAAATTTATATATTTTACTGTATTAGTTTTTGAATATATAAATATACATGTAGAGCCTATCAAGTAGAAACACTTGAAGACAGTAATTTCTATTACTGAGTGAGTATATGGAAAAATTACTTTTCGCTATGTAAGCTAAAGGGGTGGCATGCTAAATTCGAAATGTCAATTAACTTACAAACGAGGCACGACAATCCTCTATCCGTTACGGGCGTTTCACATAGATTAAGGACTTGAAGCTTATGCATGTGCTCAGAAAGCAACTGTAAACCACAATCCCCAAACTAGAAAAAGGAAAAAAAGAAGAAAAAACTTAAACGATGAACAGAACTTAGGCCTTGAACGTTGAAAGTCGGGGAAAAGTAAAGAGAAAAAAAAGATAAAATTGTAAACATACCTGCGTAGACCAAAGATTTAAATATCGAAGAGCAGGTAACTTGATTAAATCTTTCGCACAAGCTGAGGTAACTTGTGTGAAAGCTAAACTTAAACATTCTAGATTCCCGAAAGAACCGGATGAAAGCATTTTTGATAAATCAGCATCTGTTGATTTTGAAGGTAATGTTAATTTTCGAGGACCACCGCGCTGCTGTAATTCTCTTAAAGCTATTTGTCTTTCGCATAAGCTGGTGTACATTTTCTTGCCAACTTTAGTACTTTGTAAAGTCGTTATCATTTGCATTTTAAGATCGGGGGAAGAGGTGGTTTCGAATTCCAGCATCGCACATAAAACATCCATGGCAGGTGTATTATCTCGTAAGGCGAGTAGCATACAGGGGCTAATCATCTTCGACATACCTTCCAGGAACCTTTTCCGTCGGCAGCAACAGTTCATTAAAGTCTTTATCTGTTTAAATTTAATTACACTGTGTAAAATAATCGTCAAAATCGGAAAAGTATATTAAGAAAATTAAAGAAAGTGATGCATTAAGGGAAGAATAAGGTTTAGGATAAGAGAGAAAAAAACAGATTCTATTACCATTAGACCAAACAGTTCACCATCGTCCACGCAACAAATTCCTCCCGGACAAAATAAATTCCACCAACCCTCTTTACCATCGCGAATTCCCAATACAGTATTATGAACAACACAACGACTGTCAGCAGCAATAGACCGAATTGTCGGCAAAATTTGTCTACAAATACCTCTTATTGATATACTAGATTATTATTTTTATTTAACGTAAACTTACTGCGCAAAGAATGTGTGACCTAGAGCTCTGAAGGTTAAAAAAAGACAATTAGTTTTTACAGCTGTAAAAAGTAGCGTAAAAACTTACGCTTCCGGAAAAGGAATTGGTTGTAAGAGAGAGCCTAAAGTAGGCCTCCAGTCATCATACTCTGACGCCATTTCGAATACCGAACAGTAGCAAGATATTTTTTGATTAATTTCACTCGTAGAAAACCAGTTTAAGTTAAATTGTTTTAATTCTTCATAGCAACTGTATAACGCAGCTAGACAAACTGCAATAACGTTTGGTAGTACCCGAGGATGTGGACAAACGCTTCCAAGACCATGTATTCTAAATAGTGCAAATAGAATAGTATTAATATTATTGTTATTCTAAACACAGAAAAGAATTTAGTTTTGCTTTGATAAAATATACATACGCACATGTAAATTATACTAAGAAATTATATAAATATATATATACAAAAATCTGTACACTTGTTAATATATATGGACACCTGGTGTGTTGAATTCAACACAATTTGTTTTTAAGATATCTTTTTAGACTTTGCCATTTTTAGGTATTTTATTTTACAAACTTCATGATTTTAGACATTTGATGATCTTAAATAATAGAATAATATATATATAAAGTAGATATCCTTACACTATTTATGAAATATATTAGATATAGCATTATACACTGTTAGCAATCATATTCAAACTTTTTTTGTTAAATAATCATGTTAAACTTGAAACAACTTATTTAATTTCCTTTTTTTGAAGCTAGATGCTTTCTATTTCGATGTTACTTTCAACAGGATAAGAGAAAATAAACCAGAGCTAAAAACACCAAAATAATTGCGGTAGACTTCTTTTTTAGTGAAAGCATGGAAATTTATCTATTACTCTGTTGTTGGTTGATGTATTTTTCTTGCGGAGTCACGATTCTTCTGGTAGAATTCCCACGCGAAAGAGGTTTCATATTTGTAAGAAAATACTTGCGTAAGAAATTTTGGTACAAACTAACCTAATTAGCTAATGGTAACAATCAGGATGTAAACAGTTATATTGTACTACTTCCTCATAAAAATTTCAAGAGAATTTTTTGTAGTAAACAACTTATATGTATATTTGCTCTAGTTGGCAATAGTCAGTTAACTTCTTTTACAGGAGTAAATAAAAAACCAGCCAATCAATATGCACTTTGTCATTAGTCAGATGTTTTTTAAGCTAAGTTGTTTTGATTTTAAGATAGATGTACATAAAATATGAGAAGAAGTCAAACTATCTTATACATTCTTTATCTGTTCATAGGCTGGTGAAATATTCAGTGGGTAAAAGTCTGATAGGGATCATAGGCTTTTCTTTCTTTTTTAAGTAAAATATAGAGATAGCGTAAGGAAGAGAAATTCTGAGCAGATGCTAGCAATTTTTTTAATGTTGCTTACGTATTCGAAAAATTGAGAAAAAATTTAATAGATTGCCTATAGAGTAGAGAAAAAAATAAAAATAATCATGGATACCTACCTTTTCACTAAGTCTTTTATGGCTCGTTTATTATCATTAAGAGAGCTCAAGGACTGTAAATAGTCCTGTATAAATGCTCTTGAACGTGGGTATTTTCCAAAGTCCTATGAAGAAGATAAATTAAATTACTTTCGTTATCCCTTGCAGAATACTTCGTAAATAAAAAGTCCTCTCAGTGAAAATGTGAGATATCTGCTTACTTACCATATTGTGTTTTAGTATACGAATAACTACTGGAGTAAATAAATCTATGACCAACTGCGACCTAGGGCTATTCTTACAATGCTATGGGAGAAAAATTTATATAATTGAGAGATATTCATTAAAATGTAAATATAAATTATTAAAAACGTTATAAACATATATACATATACTTTGCAAAAGATAAATTTTATCAAGCAATAAATGCAGGAGAATTACAAATATTATATCATAAATGCAGCATATTTTAGTTATAATAAGTGTACAGTGAAAAGTTTGTATAGAATACTGTATCTACATTATAGACAATATTTTTTTCACTTTTATGCCTATATAAATATATAGTATATATGAATATAAATATTATTTATAAATTAAATGCAATTTATTACCGTGCTAAAAAAATCGCAGATTTCCTGTGTGGGATGAGTGTTTTCTAATAATGGCGTCATGCATATGATGATTTGTTCATGTTCAGATTCACTAATTAAGTTCATTTTCTGCTTAAATGGAATAAAAAATTCATTGTTTATTCCTGAACAGCAAGTGAAGGGGAGATGTGAAAGAATTAGGGATCTAGATAGGATAGTTACCTCTTGTAGCACTCTAGATATAACCTCTAGAGGAAACTGTCTGACGCAATCATCTTGTATGTAAGTAGTCAGCGTCATATCGACCATGTTCTGTAAGAATAGTATTAGTATAAATTTCATTTGTCTAAATCGATTCATCAAATAACCTTTATTTCTTTAAGTAGCACTTCTGGCCTTTGCGAGTATAAAAGAAGTTTTAAATATTTCATACTATGGCGCTGCAGAGGTCAAAAAACATTCACTTTGGTTTAATTTTAATAATACTATTTTAAATCCCAATTACCTTCCATTGAACAGAGTGCATCCATTGGTCCCGTATGTATATGTTAGGAGTCTAAGTCAAAGAAAATGGTAAAAAAAAAGATTTTAACAAGCATACAACTTTTCCAAGAAGATATTCTAAGGACATTGATAAAGGCTTTGACTATGACACAGATAGAAAAAAAGCTCGGGACGAAGGCTTAAGGTGAGAAACTCTCGCTATATGAACAAATCAATAAGATGTAAGGAAAATTTTTTTGCTCAGAAGATATCCACAAAGTAAGAGAAGACAACAATACATCTCGGTGTGCTTTGTTCATTTTCTTTTACTTAATCGTAAATGGCTTTAACTTATAAGCTTTTTAACAAACAAGAAAATACAGCTTCATGTATATATATATATATATATAAATGCTGTATAAGTATACTGTATATACAGCATATATTTCTATATATATATATATGATCATTCTTTAATATTAAAACAAAAAAAACGGCATAAATGACTTGAACTAACAGTTTCTCTTAAAAAATAAATCATTATAAAAAAAGAATTTTAGAACTTTAGAACGTTCTTTTAAAAGATCAAAAAAAACAAGACCCTAGAATTTTTACAGCGAAACGCGAAAATAAAAATAAAACCGACAGTTAAGAAAGCAATAACGTCACGTTTTCGAGTAGCAATAACGTACTTAACTCGATTTCCGCGTAGGTATTGATTTCACATAAAAAACTAACTGACTGCCCACGACCTTGATAAATAATCTAAATGAATAGGATTAATTACCTGTAATAATAACGATCCATCCGGAATGGTAATTCTCAAACAGAATCTATGACCAGCGTCCCATCTAGAAACAATATTAACATCTTCTATCATAGAGTATGGAATTTTATCCTCCATAAATCCTGATGCTTTAGCAGATGTAATATCTTTATCGGTTAATATTATATGGTGTTGTTCCCAACGACGTAAATACTTTGAATTCATTATTTTACTTATAATTGTCCGTGTATGGTTAAGACGACAGACCAGCAGATCGCCTTCACTTATCAGTTTATATTTGGGTCCGAAACAACGTTTGGCAGGATGGCTCGGGGTATCAGTTGGAGAGGAGGAACCAGATGAAGAAGATGAATTTAATGAGAATAAAGATGTATGCTGTTCCACCAGGGATGTTAGCTGCTCTTGACAATCTTCATCATCCGCCATCTTGTTAGTTTGTTGTTTGGCGCGTTTGGCTGTAGAAGAATAATTGATTGGCTTCTTGCGCAGCCAACGTTGAATTGCAACACGGCAGCTCTTACGCCCCGTCAATGCACTTTTTCGGCTATCTTTTTCAATCTTTACGTTTGTAAATCCTTTAACTGTTGAGCGACAAAGTGGTGAAACGGTATATCTTTCATTTTCATTAGTGATGGACGACACAATATTTATATTGAAGAAATCGATGTTACTCTACCGATATATCGTATCGCTTTTAAGACAAACTCGGTGTATAAATCGATTACGATTCACACAGTATGTATAGCTGTAATGCCGTATCGATAAGGAACCTCGTACATATATCGATTTTAGAATCGATCACGTGACAATATCGTCTGCTACGTCACATCCGCTTTCAATTTCAACAGACAACGGCATGGTCAACTAATAATTTAACGTAAAAGTGCCGAAATTATGTCAAATAGTGAAGAAATTCGAAAAGTTATCAGCGACTTCGAAGCGCAAACCTCGCGGACTTCTCCTTTAAGCGTCCGTTTGACTGCGTTCGACTATATTTGTGGTATTGTCTCCGAAGAGGCAGGCCAGAATCTTATTCTGACAAATAAAAAGTTGTTAGATAATGTAATCGACGCTGTTCAGCCAAGTGATGTTTCATTATCCACCATGGCGATAAAGACCCTGATAAATCTAAGTGCTTCAAACGATTCTCTGTCGCAAACGATAATCGCCCACGATAAGGCAATCAATACCCTAACTGCCGAGGCTTTGAACCCTAAATCCGATATATGCAATAATTCTAGTATGTTGTTAAGGAATTTAACGACAAATATGATAATTTGTCATCAATATTACGAACATTTAAAATCAAAAACAGACGTAACCATATTTAGTTTTATCGATGCTTTCTTTGATGGGACTTATGAAAAAGAAACAACAACGCATATATCAAATATTTTAAGAAACCTGATGCAATGTCCTGATGTAAGAAGAATTTTATCCGAGAAGAGGGAAGTAATAAAAAAGTTCACTAGCTTTTTATCGCCTGTAGCTCGTAATGACGTACGTTATGAAGCCAGTTTAGGATTGATGCATAATTTATGCTGGCAGAAAGAGTTGCATGAGTGGTTGTTGACTGATAATAGCGTGGGCATTCTGACACGGTTATTAGAACCGTTAGCAGGCCCTGAGGAATTTGATGATGATGAAATGGAAAAATTACCGATTGTTAGTTTGTTACTTCATCTTTACATAAAATTACTAACGCTGTAGTGCTTCTTTTTTTAATCTAGGAACTACAATACTTACCTGGAGATAAAAAGCGAGAACCAGTTGCGGAAATTAGAAAATTGTTGATACAAACCATTCATCGTTTAACTGTTACTAAGTTCGGTAGAGATTTTATTAAGGATAACGGTGCATATTACATATTAAGAGAGTTACATAAAGTTGAAGAACACCCAGGGGTTATGAATGTTTTAGAAAGTTGTATTTATTGTCTTATTCAGGATATAGAGGACAAAGATGATTTGGATAAAGTAAGTATTAAGTATAAAATACTTGGCAGGTGTGTAATGTAATTATTGATGCTTTCGCAGGTGGAAATTCCCAGCGATATTGAAGAAAAGTTAATGAAAGAACATTTAGAAATTGAAAAGGAAGTTACTGACAAGGAAAAAAGCTTAAATGTGTCACCAGAATGATAGAGAAATTGTGCAGATTTACTACAAAAGTTTTTTGCATTCGAATAATGTTACATTGGTTTATTAAAGATTTCATTTTGTTTTGTTTCTGTTTTTTGTTAAAAGATGAGAACGGGGTTATATTATTTCCAGCAGAAAAACTTTCTTTTTTCTAAATCTATTGACTATCCGAGCGATCAATAAAATTCTTACATAAAAGGGAATTTTGCAACTCCAAGTTAAATGTTTACTGGCAAACATGTTATTATAAATAATAGATAGAAGACAAATAAAGTATTCTTTATATCATAGAATCGGCTTGTTTGACACGGCAAAAAGTATTATCTATCAGTCAGTAATTGGAAAAGAAAACAAATTTATATATTAGATGTGTTTTTATCATTATAATCATATTTAGGAGAATGAACAGAATCAATTTTACTTGACATTTTATTCATAATTCATTGACTTATATTAGCTTTCCAAAAAGTTACTAGTTCAACGAAACATAGGGCTTATTTACCATTAACGTAATCTGACAACCCTATATGCCTACGAATTGCTTTTTGTTGATCTATCACCGTTACAGTAGACAAAATAAAAATGTGGATAAACTTTACTGCTCTGCTTATGTAAAGAGACTCCTTAAAAGGATTTCTCAAATTTCTATTTGCCAGCGAAAACCATCATTTAATGCCTTTTCCCTTATTTAAAAGTATATCTGTGAATCTTAATGGAAGTTAACGAATGATTACGAGAAGGGAGATGTACAAAAGACAAGATGAAGGACAACAAACAAGTATTTAATATAAAATGACAGCTTAGAGTATTCGATACTCTTTATTGATGGCTAAATGGAAATGTACTTGCTGGGTTATTGGAAATCTAGTACAAATATTTTTCAATTGTAGGTTAATTAGCTTTTTCTTCTTGTCCTTGTGTTTTAGTCTATTTTTTCTTTCATTATAAACCAAAAAATTAATTCTATGGTTTTATCGATGCATCTTTATCTGGATTTTCCTATGCTTTTATATTGTTTATCCATTAATTAATCCTCTAGTTGCTCTTACTTTTTTTTTGATCTTTTCTTCCTCTTATCTTTGAGTAGCCATCTGTTAAAATTATTTTGACACCTTCGTGTATTTCAACTGTTGAAATTCAGCTTGGAAACAGATATATTGAAGGATATTTAATTAAAAACTAAAGAAAAAAGAATTTCCTCTTACCTCCTTCCTTATCTAACTAACTATGGTCTATTTATAAAATATATTTCGTAGAGGTAGTGGAATTTTCTTAGTCATACAGCCACTATGCTACTGTCTTATTATATGTTTTTTCTAACGCATTTTTGAAATAGTTCTTCAAGATCTATGCTGCTCATTTTATAGGCTTTGATGTCATGATGAGCAAAAAAGAAAAGATATATAATGCATGCTGTAAAAAGAATATTTTTAAGATTATGAGGATAACATTATAAAATATACAAAAAACTTTTAACAAACTGCTCTTACATTATGGTAAAGAAAACATGAAAATGTATATGATATTCGTTTACAAAACAGAAAACCCATCAAAAAAAGAGTATATGGATCAATTTCTATGTGAAACGAATTATTCTCCTATGATTAAGAAATTTAACAAATGTAGTTAATTGCAATTTTTTAAAACAACGTATTTATTATTGTTTGTTTTTTCTTTTTGAGAAAAATATCCGAAAAAAACCCATAAAAAGTTCAAATTCATTACTTGTAGTTCAAGTGGTTTTTATAGTTTTTAACTGCCCACACCAGGAGTGTTTTAAACGATTTTAAATTATCATAACAGATAACGTAACTCTCAACTATAATAAAAAGTGAGGGAGGGAGAACATCAATTTAGAATGAAAGGAGACAAAAGTACTGTTGTTTTTTTTTTGTTTTTCATTTAAAATAAACGAACTATCGTCCTTTTCATTCGCTTTCACATTAAATTAAATAGCTTTAACACTAATTGATATGCATAACACAACTTTGTGTAAATATATTTAGGCATTATATATAAAGTTGTATTTGTCCACTTCCAGGGTCAAAAGTTCATTTAAATAAAAAATAAAGTCAGTAAACCAAATTAATGGGATAAATAAACAAAATTCTATGAAACTTTCTTCCAAGTTGTCTTTTTGTTTTTACCGAAACCCAAAATTTTCTGAAACTTGTGTACAATGTTTTTAGGTTGTTTTTCTTTTTTAAAGGATATCTTAACTAAGCAGATGAAAATATAAATAATACTAAAATCAACCGTAATTAAATTAATCTTAAGTTTTAAAGAGCTAAATAAAGTTATTAATAAATTACCAAATCAAACAACTATGAGAGATAACTTTCAAATATTATATGATGAAAGCATTGAACAATTGAAACGAAAGAGGAGAAAAGGACATAAAATAAAAAGTAAATTCGAAATTGTGAAATAGCTGACCCCAATTTTAATATTCTGTCAAGTTATCCGAGTTTGGGAAAAAAAGAGGATTATATGTGACCCACATTAAACATTGATCAGTTTTCCAACACAATGTGAACAATGTACGTATCCCGATGATGAGGAAGGAGTTGATGTATGAGCAATATCAGTTATTAAGTGCATTATACGCTTAGCAGTGGGAGGAGTTTCTTCTTCTGGGATACTGTTTTCAATTTCTGACTTGGCTATTTCACTCTCCAATGATCTTTGTGTATGATAGCTGTTTAATAACTTCTTTTCACCTAACAGCTGCATAACTAGAGCTTGTAATTCGGCGAGTTTATCTTGAAGCTCGCTACGTTCTTGAGATAATTTAACGACATATTGTTCCCTCTCAACTGCTCTCTCTTTCAAGACGGCTCGTTGTTGTTGGTATAGCGTCACATACTCTCCAATCGTATCAGTTTCACCTTGCAGCTGCATTACAAGATGTTCTAGCTCTTCAGCTCGCGTACTTATGTCCGCTTGCTCTTTCATCGATCTTACTAAACGTTCTTCAACTTGATGTTTAGCTGTACAAAGAGCTTCATATTCATCAGAATCTATCGCATTTGTAGATGAAACAGAAGTAACAGAGGCAGTACTGTTATTGCACATGGATTTTAAATGCTCATTTTCTGTCGATAACTCTTCTATCCTCTTCATAGATTCGTTCAACTCCATCTCAGCTTTTTCTAGTTCAATAGACTTTGCTTGCCAATGTCTTATACGATCTTCATAAGATAAATTATTAGCTTCGCTCTGAGTTAATTTACTCCTTAATTCGTTGGATGAGTGTTGAGCTGTTTGGTATTTTGTCAGTAATTCCATATTGTCATTACTTACTTTAACAAAACCATTCTGCAGTTCGGATAATTGCTCTTTCAGTTCACGATTTTGAACAAGAGCTCTGCTTAAAGCGACCTTTTCACTTTCTAATTGAGCGCTAACAGCAGAAGCGCAACTGGAATTTTGTTCCAGTTCTTTAATTGTAGATTCTAAATGCAGGATTTGCTGCTCTTTTTGGGCAATGTTTAAAGACAAATGCTCATTAGCTGATGCTAGTTTTGCATTTTGCATTTTAAGCACTTCTACTTCCTCATTAGCTAGATTGGCTTGCGTGTGGGCGTCTTCTAATTTTGTTGATGTATTTCGTAAGCTTTCGGTAGCTTCAGAAAGTTGTGCTTGAACAGAATTCATTTGGTTTGTGGAATTTGAGAGGCGATTTTCATATTGTTCGATTATATTATCACGCTCTGCTGTTAACCGGTCAATTGTATGTTGTAATTGCGACCGTTCTGCTATTAGACAATCCATTTTTTGGTGTATCTCGTCATTACTTTCTGTATGTTCAGCTTTAAGCTGAGTCAATTCCAATTGAGTTCTCAATTCCATAAGACTGTCTTCTAATTTCCCATTATTTCCTACGGCCTCTGACAACCTTTGCCTAAATTCATTAACTTGCTGCAGGGCCTCTTCTTTATTACGGATTGATTTAGAAAGATCTACTTTCAAACGTTTAATATCCTCAGTTAGATTTTTGGACATTTCTTCTAATTGTTGTCGCCTATTATGAGCAGTTTGAACTTCTCGTTCAAGATCTGCCACACGTTGCCTAGACGCTTTTAAGCGTCCTGATAATTCAGTCGCTTCATCTAATCGTTGTTGGGCATTTCTTTGAGCCCCGCTTAATGCCGATTGTAATTCTGTTTTTTCTCCTACAAGAATGCCTATTGTTTGAACGTGAACGTGAAGTTGTTCCCTGAGAGCCATGGCATCTTTGGAAGGGGTATTTGAATGTCCATTTTGTGCCGTCGACACTGGACTAGAAGACGTGCGAACGGGGGGAGACTTGGAATGTTGCTGAAGAACACCATTTACGTGCGAAAGACTGTTATTAACAGTTTTCTCTACGTCTTCGACGCGAGTTTTATCCACAATGTCACTGTACAAGTATCGTTTGGTTCAAATTAAAACTAGTTCTGGACAGGATTCATTTTACTCACGGTTTTGGTCGAAAATTGTCATCTTTAAGAGGTTTTTTCTCTTCTTTCACAGTAGTCTTAACGGTGTCTTCTTTTGCTGAAGTATTTAATATATCTCCATTTAAGTCACCATTTCGTTGGTCATTTCTTTTATTTTTAGCTTTTCTGAACTGATTTAACTGTAAATATTGAACACAAATATTTTAGATCTTCTTTTGTCAGAAATTTACATTATAAAGTCTAAATATACGCAGTGATTCAAATAAATAGTTTATTTAATTGTTAGAGAATAATAAATTGAATGGGTGTGACAATATTTCATGCCATTCAGATGTTTTGATCAAGATTGATAAGTGGAACTTAGCATCTATTTATTTACATATGCGAAGAAGTTGGCAAAAATTTAGATACTATATGCCACTTTAAATTTAATATAAAAACAACAACTGCCAATCAAACTGTTACCTTTCTTTTCCCAGCTGCAAGTTTTTCTTTTTTGCTTACGTCTTCCATGTTAGCTACTCGGTGTTGCGCATGCGCAACTGTGGTTTCCTCATGACTCTTTCATGCTTGAGATTTTCGCTCACAACTTTATTTATATTATTCGTGTTTCCTTTCATTAAATATTTTCCTAATTTTTTTATTTCTATTCGATTACTAAATAATACGTAGACAACTTTATTTGTATTTTTTTGAGAATAAAGTTACTTTAGGGAGCATTTTATATGTTATATGTATAACATCAGTTATGTTTTCGTAAATATTAATAAACGTTAAGTTTGTACATTTTTCTCCGAATTATATATATTATTTATTATCAAGACAGGAAATAACTTTTTTTTACTGAAATACGAAATAATGTCTTTACCATGGCGTTGTAAACATACTACACCTCGACTCTGAATAAATAGGATCATTTTACGTATTTATAATTATTATCATTTAATGATTCTACGGATCTGAATCATAAAAATTAGGCAATTTATTGTTTATTATGTTAACTTTTTAAAAGGTAAATGACATCTATTCAATTTAAGAGAATGTCATGCTCATTATTATGCTTATCTTCAACCAGCTACGTGTTAAACTGATCACTAATGGACAATATAGTGCCAATGGTTCCCTCGACACCCCCGCCTTTGGATGATATGCAAGATGACGACGATGAATGGCAAAAGGACGATTTCGGTAGTTTTGTCACACCTAAGTCACCTTTTCCCAGAGATGATAGCTCCAACTGGGCAAATTTTTCATCTCCTCCCAAAAGCGAGACTGTTAATGAAAAAGCAGATGACGAAAAGGAACCTGAACCGTTACGATTTAAAGCTCCTTCAATATCAGAGGAAGACTGTGATTTAACAGAAGATGTGGTTTATACCACAGCTGTGTTCGAAGCAGTGGTCGAGGAGAATGATAAACTCTCTAAATCCGAATCTAGTTGTAGCTTAGATAATGAAGTAAAAGCTAATGACGAAAAACCATTAAAAGACATTGAGGCCATCGAAAGAAAATCAGAGTCAACAACACCTTCAGAACCAATTGAAGAAATTGCTGAAGAACTCTCGAATGACATTGAGGTGACCGAAGGAAAATTAGAGTTAACAACACCCTCAGAATCAATCGAAACGAATGATGAGACGTCTTTGAAAAATACAGAGCTCTTTGAAAAAAATGTAGAATCGGGAATAGTTTCAGAACCCGCTGAGGCTCATAAACACACGAAATCGCTGGAGAAGGTTGACGACAAGAGCGCACAAGAAAATAACGAAAAAGGCGACAAATCATCTTCTGATATAGGTACAGTGACAGAGAAATTGTCAGGCATTGTTCAAGAAATTTCTTCATCTGTAACAGAAGAAGAACAAGAAGACGATTTTGCAGATTTTCAAAGCACAAATATTGCTAATATTGAACTTGAACGTACCGTTTCTGCTACTTCATCAACAAAAGAAGTCATAGAAGTGAATGAAACGACAGATGTCCATTTTGCAGATTTTCAAAGCAGTACTGCAGAACTTCAAAATACAAATAATGAAGTATCAAACTCTAGCTGCATTCCAGTTGAAAATAATGAAACTGAATTTAGCGATTTTCAAAGCGATACAAAAGAACCTACAAAATCAGACTCGGAAAAACTTGAATACACGTCAAAAAGTATAGAAGATGGTCAAGATGTCGAAATTGGTGACGATTTTGCTAACTTTCAAGGTCCCGTAAACAATACAATAAATGATGATAATTCAAATAATGATGGAGATGATTTTGCTGATTTTAAACAATGCCAGTCTGAAGAAATTGATGATTTTGCTAATTTCCAAAGCTCTTCTCACGATGGAGATGGCGATGGAGACGATTGGGCTTTTCAAACTAGTGAGTCAACATCGAAAGTTCAAATAGATCAGGAAAATGAGTTTACGTCATTTAAAGAATCTAGTGAAGAGAATCCTATGGATTTAACGACAGAGAAAATCAAAAGTCTTTTAGATATATGTTTTAAACAGGAATGGCAACCAACAAAGAATAACGAGCCTTTAGAAATTTTACAATATGCTAAAGAGCATACAACTAAAACTGAGGAACAATTTAAGTCTCCTGCTGAATTAAGAGTAACTCCTCTAACCGGCCAATCCTCAACTAAAAGCTCAAAGTATGTATAATTAATGTGTTTCCAATTTCATTCAACTAAATTTAAATCTAATTATTATAAATTTTGCTCTTTAGGAAAGAAATCGATATAAGCTTTTGGAATAATTTAACACATTTAGAGGATACGTTAGCTCTCCAATATTCCTGGACAAAATCTGGAGTTTATCAATTTCTATTAAAAGCTATTAATGTTGATACAAGAAACATTGTAAGTTTAATTGCTTTCAAGTATATTTTTATCTACAATCACTACAGAATATTATCACACATTTAAGCTCACAGGAAACAAAAACCTACCCGTTTATGCGTCTCATCTAGGCACTCCACTCGAACCTGTCAGGCAAGGTGAAATGAAAGTTACAAGTCCTTCGTTAGAAATTGTAGATACAAGTAGTTCATCAACAATTACACCTTCGGTATTTAACAAACACTTTATACTATTTACATTCTATATTATTTCTTGATTTCTAGGAAAATGTTCCACCTGCCCAGTTTGATTGGAGTACGAGTGGACTAAAGAATCCTCTTGACTGTAAGTAAAATTTTGTGTATTACATTAGCCTATTTTTTTTCTGTTATAAGGTTGGCAATATTCTAAAATATAAGAATATTAGTACTTTAATTATTATTAATGCTTGAATATGGGATTTCAATTGTCATTTTTTGCTGTCTACGTTTTACGTTATATTTTCAGCACGTGTACTTGACTTAGATTTCTTTCGAGACGATTTGGACGAAACGTCCGTTTCGTCAGTATCAGGTGAAATTACTTCGTACCATTTCGGTGTTGGTCGTAGTTTTTTGCATGCCTATAAAACTAGTTGTACAGTGATTGAATTTTTGAAGAAAGCCCCGCCCCCCCAAAAAAAAATAGCTAGCACTTTTGAACAAATTGCATTAATTGCATCGATTTCATTTGCATCTTTAAGTAATAAAAAAAACTAGCAATTTATTCGTGAATAAAATGGCTTTTTGGGTTTTAAAAAAATTGAAAAAAAGAGGTTTTGGGATGAAAATATAAAAAAAAAAATAAAAACAACGATCTTAAGGATAGAACAAATGTTAATTTTAAAAAATAGATAAAGCTAGAGAAAGTTTGTTTGAAATAAAAAAAATTTGTTATTATTTTTTTTTTTAAAAAAAAAAAAAGCAAATTTAAATTTTATGCAACAAGAAGAAAACACTGCTTCTTTTCTTTTTTAATAGAAATATTAAAAAAAAAAAGTAATCAGCTTCTTAGTTGAAGACAAACCACCCTTGAATGTTGTTTTGCAGTTAACACTAATACACAATCTCTTTTGGAACAACTAACGACGGTAGATATCACTGCATGTTTAGGAAAAAAATTTTTTTTTAAAAAAACAAAAACAAAAGAGCTTAATGATTATTTTTATTTTCAATTTAATAAGAATTTTTTATGATTTTTCTTTGGAGTCGAAAATCCCTCTTCCCTTCCCTTCTTCGCTCCTGATAAAAAAATCCTACTTATTACGTTTTTATATACAGTATCTGTATATAAAAGTCTTTTATTAGCAATTTTTCTTTTTTCGATACATTTTATAAGTATATACTGTATGTATAAATTTATATATATGTATATATATATATATTGTATATACACTATATACACTGTTATTACGCAATCCGTTTCGTACTGTATAATATGAATAATTCTCTAGTGAACTAATGTTATTTTTTTCCCATCAATAGCGATGGAAGATGAAATTCTTGACTCAATCGGCCCAGAAGTAAAGAAGAATCAGACGCTTCAACCTCTGGAAGAGATATTGTCGCTCAAAAATTTCAGACCTACTGCTCCAAATGTCTATAGAACAGAAAATTTAAGTTCAAGCGCCAAGTCCATAGTCACTCGTATACCGGACATATCATTTATGCGTTCCCATATGCTCATGTTTCCGCTCAAGACAGCACATTCCAACTAGTCCAATTATTAAATAATATGCAAATATATTTTATAAAATACTTTACAAAACAATAAAGAAATTCACACAGGTTGAATATTTACATGGATGTTCAAAACTGTATATTCTGCTTCTTTCGATATGTACAACAGAGGGGAAAAATGAAGAGTTTTATATGTTGCAATTATTTATCAGCTAGAATAAGTTGTTCTAGTTACCAAGAATCGTATTATCGTTGCATGTTCTAATTTAAATTTAAGTTAAAAAATCATCAGAAATATAACATTAAGTATTTTAAATAATAGAAAGTTGTCTTGAATGTTTTTAGCATTGTTAGTTGTTTAATATTGTCATTTCAAGCTTTTTCTGATCTCTGCCTGTTTGAACGTAATCTACTTATTTCATCGTTTGCTCTTCGTAACGATTTATCTTTTCTTAGCGCATTACTCCAAACGTAGCAATCTTCTTCGTGTTGAACTCGATCATCCTTCAACTGGATCAGTATCCTTCTCCATTTCTTTTGCTCTTCACTCAATTGACCTTTACGACAGCTGCTATGTAGAGCAGATTTCACAAGGAATGATTCTGAGAGTTTTGGTAATTTGATCAAACTTGCACAACTATCGTCATCAGTTAACAGAGAATTTTCAGATAATGCAAATTTACTGCTTTCTTCCATATCTGTAAAGATTAAATTTTATCAGGCTATTTCCATTTACGGATAACAAAAATTAAAAAAAAAATTACCCAGGGACACCTCATCAACGTCTTCCATGTTTTTCTGTTCTATCACTTCTGTTGTTTTAGCGTTTTCTTTATCGTCTTTGTTGTTTTCTAGCGGATTGATAACGAACGTAGCGTCAACTTTTTTTTGCACAGTGTCTATTTCTAAACTAGCTGAATCTTTTGTCGTAGACAGCTGTTCTTGAGGAGCTGATTGCTGATCTATTATTTCAGCTATGTTTTCATTATTGTATATATTTGATTCAGAGATTTTTCTATTATTAAGATGTTCTTTTTCGATTTCTGATGGTCGTGTTTGATAAAATTCTTTTTTTTTGTGGCCCATTAAAGATGATGGCACAGAACTTCTCTTGAGAAAGGGTTCCTCACTTTTTGCTGATAAGGTTTTGTCCTCTCTGAAATGAATATCGCCGAGAGAGTATTTAGTTTTCTTCACTGAGCTAGAAATGGGAAATTTATCTTTGCATAAAGTGTCTAATTCATCATAAAAATTTTCTCCTCCCCACTTATTTCTTGCTGGTTTATTTTCTTTTTCGAGATACGTATCCTTATTACGTTCTGGTTTATTGATCGATGATAACTTTACGTCATTTTCAACCACTATTTTCTCTCTATCTTTATTTGTAGTGGAAGGTACTTTAATTTCCTTGTGAATTTGTTGTTCCTCTTTTAGCGCAGCTCGAACATAGGACATTGTTCTAGAAGGAACCGTTTCACCTTTTTTGTCTTCCACAACTTGTGGAGTAATCAAATCTACTTTCTCGTTTTCGGGTCCATCGATAACAGATAAGGATAAGTCTATATCATTAGGATTAGGCACACATGGCGTTGACATCATTTTTCTGGATCGAATGGGGGACGTTTTTATTTTTTTCTGCTGTTCTCTGTTTCGAATTTCAGCATTAACTTTTTCAAGCAATCGTTCAGATGCTTTCTCTTCCGCAATTTTTTCTGCTTTCTGTTCAACTTCTTTTGTCTTAATCTCTTTAACATTTTCCGTGATTTCTATAGTGGCTACAGATCTACTGGCAACCTCCTTGCTCGATGCATTATTAGTACTATAAGTTTTTGTTAAGTCCGAAAAGAAGTTCTCCACCCGATCCATTCTTGTTTCCTTTTTCGTTTTATCTAAACGGAGCTCTTCTGAGCTAATATCCATAGACATTGCTGATAAATCCAATACTGGGTCAACTTTCTTCTTGTCTTGTAGAGTTATATCCATAGATACAGACATATTATAGGTATTTTCGGCTTTTTTCTCCGCTCTAACAGCTACAGGGGTAGCCATCTCCATTGGACTATTACAGAAAACAGTAGTATCTGTTTTTCGGCTTTTTTCAGGTTTTAAATTCTCGTCTTGAACGCGAAAGGTATCAACAGGAGAAAATTCAGATAACGGTGAAGATTTATTATCAGTTGGTGAAGTATTGAGGTCGAACATAGGTAATTTGTCCAAAACATCTCCATCGACGGGCGATACATCCATAAACATTGATTGATTGAGAAGAACGGTTGAATTGGCTTTGGGTTCAAAATTTTGCAAAGTCTTATCTAGGAGGCTTAAACGGCTTGATTGAGTATCTCCAGAGGAGAGGATGACCATACTCTCTCTCGATGGTATGTACCTTTCTTCTGATTTGGGCGTGTCTGGTTGAGGACTGTCTTTAAAGAATGTTCTAAAAAAAGATAGAGAAATTGAAAATTCTTCATTCATTACAAAATTATTCTATTAATTTTAAATTTCAAAAGAAATAGCCAAATATCAACTTACTTTATTTCCGGTCTACAACCGAAACTTACACGCTTCTTTTCCAATTCTTCAACATTATTTTCGATTGCCGTAAAGCGCTTAAGAATCTAATGTAATAATGAAAAGCTATTGGAATTTTATTTCTTTTGCTTACATGTTCAAAACTTACTGAATTTCTTCGCTTTGTATGCCTCTCCGTCATGACAATGTTTATATCGTTGATAATAGCAGTGTTTAACTGAATAGTAGATCGTTTTTTTATTTACTTATTAAATTTTATTCAAACAAAAAAATGTCAATATTTACTTGCAATTAATAGATCAATAAGAAGAAAAACAAGAGAATTTTAACCAGCGCGTAGACAAAACAAGTGCGCCTCAAATTCAAATTCCGCCATATTGTATGGTTTCCTGTTCCGGATTTCAAATAGTCGTTAAAATTTATTTATTTTCGAGCTATGTAAAGACCACAAATTTCAAGTAAAAATAATACAATCAGAAATTTTATATTAATATTAATTTTTAATTTTCTTAATTTTCAATTTTATTAAAGAATATTGAAATTTTTAAAAAGAATCAATGGTGTATTAAAATACAGTTTATTCTATATACGCTGTGTTTAAAATAAGAATTTAACTTTCTTAGAGTATAGGTTTCAAATATTTCTTCTGTGAATATTTAAAGTTATTGCAAAGTGACCAAAAATGTTCGAATTTGCATTGGAGTTAACAAGACGTTATACATAGGAGATGTAACGGGGGTCAAAAATTGTCGCATATCTATAAAAGAAGAAAAAAAAGGACTATATGAAAACAAATACTTGAACAGATCTTAGAACAAGTTACCTCCTCCAACAGATCCTCCTCCTTTCAATTTCCAAACAAGTCTTTCGCCAACTGGCCTATCGCCTCCAAGAGCAGTTTCTTCTACGTTTACAATATTATCATCAGGAAATACGTCTTTTAGGCTCACTTGTATATTTTGAGAAAATTCGCTCTTTTCATAAATATGTTCCAGTCGAACCAATCTAACATTTTTGCTTATAGGTTCCAAAGTTAACAGATGGACAGGCTTATCCATATTTTTAACTGCTGAAAATTCTTTTTTAGTTACAGTTCCGTCAGTAAAAAATGGAAGAGGTTGTAGATAGAGCATTGGAGCCGCTTGCCTGTGCCAAGCAACTGATTTTTCCGGAGTGTCTAGCAAAATGTAATGGGTTCCTCTTGTCACCAAACCAGGGCCGTACATATTTAAGCCAGGCTCATTAAGGGGTTCTCCAACGCCAAAAGCGTCATCTCTAAGAAGCCTTCTATGGAGCATAACTTCTAATTCACCACTCTTAAGGGAAGATCCTCCATGGGATCTATCCGTCATTACAGTTAATTGTTTGTTGTTATCTTTTATGAAAATCCGGCTATTAACTGGATAATAGTTTCCAGCAACTGCTTCAGTTTGCTGAAAGTCCCACGTAGAACGGAAATCTCGCCTATAGAAACATTTCAGAATAAGAAAACTAAGCAAAAACCTCTTGAATTTAAACTTACTTTCTCTCTAAAATCTCTCTTCCGTTCGCATCAGTGTAAAAAGTTTCACCACTGGCAATATTCGTTGAAAACTTTGAAATAACTTCCTTACCTAACTTGTCCTTTATTGGAATAGGCCCTAAATAAGTTAACATCGTTTATTTCAACAATAAATGCTGCAATAACTATTATCTCCTACTAACCAATGGTCCATTCGATTTCCACATGTTTGGCGTTATCATATATTCTAATCGTTTGCCAAGCCCAATCTGAAAATTGCTGTCTTACTTCGTCATAATGTTTACCCGGATAGACTTTAACACTTCTAGGAGTCAATTCAGTTGTGGAACTTCCATTGGAACGGAAGATATAGGCACCTGATGATTGTTTTATGGGGAGAGTATTATCGCCTTGGTAGCCGAGGTAATAACTCAATGTTTGTTTCACGTCAGTAGATACCTTTGATTCCAAATTGCTAATTTTTGAAATTAGACCATTGGAAGAAAAGGCAACTGATACCATCTACGAAAAATGAGAAGGTGTTTGCTTCTTTTAAAAAATTCATTAGAATTTAAAGTACAAACTGAATTTTCAACAACAAATGGACTTCCTATCATTTCTTTTCCTGCATCACCAATTGGATCGAATCTGAGCTTAACTTCCTTTATTCTAATAGATTTTGACCCAATTGGAGGAAGAGCCACCTTAAATAGTAGTTCGGCAATGGCCTTTTTATCGGCTAGTTTATATTCGGGTAGATTTTTAGTTTCTTCGCTCAAAGGTACGACCTAGTAATTGTAACATTAGATAATAAGATATCATTTTTTAAATAATAATTATACTTACATCAGCATCCAGACTAGCACCATTGCTCTCGTCTATGACTTCGAATTTGCCATTTAAAACCGGAATTCTAACCCAGTGATCTCTTGATTTTGCCAATGGGTTATAAATAATTGCGGTAAATTCTTTTTTACCAACAGTGAAATCGCAATTTGATACATTCAAAAGAGGACATGAAAATATCTTTTTACCACCCATGATTTTTCCTAAACTTTCTCCCATTAGTGAATAGCAAGCAGTAGATCCTCGAGCTAACCTTTTAGCATAATCGTACGAGACATGCTGTTTTTCAGTACCGCTTACGGCATCGTGATGCTGATTCACTCCCATTGCTTCTTTTAGGACTTCTAATTCTTTCAGAGTATTTGATCGAAAATCCAAACTTGCCAATTGTTTACATGCTTGAAGAACGTTGTTAGAAAATCTCTCATATCTCTTTAGTGCTGGTCTACTTGTGAAATAACCACTCCAGAAAGTATGGGCTCTACTGGCGTAAGGGAAAAAGTCATCAGTTTTAGCTGTGAAAGTTAAGTTGGCTTTGTTTACGGCATAAGTATAACAGGACGGGGTAGAGTAAAATAAATTCAAGTGATATTTGTCTTTTCTAGCGTTAACATGTTGAATTAACTTGTCTAAATTCTTGTAATTTGCTCTGGCTTCTTCGAATTGAAAATCACTTCCCATGGTCATCAAAATATGATTTGTTCTATAGGGTTTAGCCCAGTCTCTGGCTGCGTCTGCAAAGCTCTTCACTTTTTCTTCAACATTATAATCCTCCAGATCTTTGTCGTCCATTATGGGCGAATCATCGCATCCTCTATCAAAACAAAAACCATTTGGTGGGCCATAGCCATTATATAAAACGCCTGTAAAAAGTGTAGTTTGAGCTGGATTTAGACTACCAGAACCTTTCCATAAGAGTTCCATGGTTTTTTTCGTTTGTCGGTTTGCTTTATCTTGATAATCTAATCTGCCAAAGTAAAGGGCATCAAATCCAAACTGAGCGAAAAGCGATGCCTGTTCCCTTGAATGACCAAATGGATCTATCTGCCAACCAATTTTAGGTCGAGCACAAGTACCAAATTCTTCCATCAATAGTCTAAAACCGAGAGTATGTTGGTCAATAATTGAATTATAATGTGTCGCTGCTTCATCGTTCATGCACCATCCTCCTAGAATAAATTCTAGACGACCTTCACTGACAAACTTTCTAACTTTTTCCTTCTTATCCGCGTCCTGTTGCCTCCACCATCTATAAAAGAAGGCAATTTCAACATAAATAAATTTTCTTTTCTCATCTTTTTCCAATTCATCCATAACATTATCAAGAATGTATTGAACGCCAGCGTGTTGAATATCATTTCTGTCTGGAAGTATAAATAAGTTTATGAAACAAATTTCATCATATCTATAAAGTAAATAACTTACTTCCATAGAAATATTCATCAACAGTTTTCAACCATCCAACATCATCATGAGTGTGAGCAACGATATGAACATTTAGTACATTTTCTTCGCCAAGATCGCATTGCTGTTAATAGCATAAAATAGTGGCAATATATGGAATTAAAATACTTTACTTTATATCCGCAGGTCTCTTCTGACTGCTTGGAAGGATTCGAGAGTTTTGAAAGTGAAGAATACTTTAGTGCCTCATTTTGATATGAATTGAAAACAGCGCTTTGACAAGTGTAAAAAGTTAAAAATATAGAAAAAGAAAAGAGCTTCAAGTGCTCAAACATGGCTTAGTTTGTGAATGATAAATGCTGAAGACAATGTTGACTTGATCACATGACACTTTATCATGCTATCTATCATGTGACCAAGTAAAACTTAAAATTTTATTTTTCGTATACATAATGCGATATTTTATCATTGAAGGACAAATAAAACAATAGAAAAGGATAAATAATTGTTTGATGAAAAGTGCCATTAAGACGTGTTATAGTTTTCATTAAAAAATGGCAGCCGTTGAAAATATGAAATTCTACTTGAAAAAAAATCGAAGAATCTCATTAAGATATTTAACAAGCAAATGGGAAAGCTCTCGCATATCATTTAGAGTTTGGAGTAAACTTTTTTTCAAAAAATGTCTATGTGCAAACTACTTTAGTCTGTAGTAATTATACATAACAAGTACAGAGAAAAACCGCCTCTTCTGTGAAACAAAATGGCGTACGTAAAAAAATTTGATAGTCATAGTACAACTACAATGATCTTCATCATCTGCCACGACAAAGATATTAGCAGACGACAAAATGTCAGCGTCCCTAAAAGATAAACAAATCGGTAAGTTTAAAGAAACTTAAATTAAATCACTTTAAAGAAATTTATGTTCTGAATAATTAGTTAAATAAGCTTTCGCAATTGAGAACTTATATTTTAAAGTGTTAAAAAGTTCTTGAATAATTCAATAAAAGAACATTCGAAAAAAACAGATGCTTTGAAACGTGTTCTAAATCTCAACGTCGTCGTTGGTAAAACAACAACAACCGAACCTCAATGGAAGGTAACTAACGAGATGTTTTTAAATAAATATTAATCTTAATTTTCGCAAGGTTCTCATATATGATGACTGGAGTCAAGATATAATTTCGCCTCTGTTTAGCTTGAAAGAGTTAAGAGATACCGGTGTGACTCTACATTTGTGAGTTTTGTTTTTTTTATTATTGGAAAAGCAATTGATTATACTGGAGTGTAATTTTATGAATTGTGTTTTAGGAATTTAAATAAGCAGAGAGAAGCCATACCCGATGTTCCTGCAGTTTATTTAGTCGCTCCAACTGATGAAAATATTAATAAAATATGCATTGATATTGAAAATAAACTGTATGAAAGCTTTTATTTCAATTTTATAAGTGCCATACCAAGGGCAAAATTAGAGAAAATTGCTTCTGCTGCTGTTGAAGTGAATAATGTTCAATCAGTCTCTGCAGTTATGGATCAATATGTTCAATTTATTTGCTTAGAAGACGAAATGTTTATAACGAAACAAAGAGATACCTTTAATTTATCTTACTATGGTCTTCATCGAGCTCGTATGACTGATACAGAAATGAACCAAACATTAGATTCTCTCGCTGACACGCTTTTCTCTGTTCTAGTTACAAAAGGTCAAATCCCTATTATCCAATGTCCAAGAGGGAATGCTGCAGAAAAGCTGTCTGAGTTATTAGATAAAAAATTACGTGATCAAATGAAAGATGCTCGAACTCATATGTTTTCTGGAGGAATAGATGCTTCATCTTTACATCGACCTTTACTTGTTATACTCGACAGAGACGTTGATCTGGCTACACCACTTCATCACACATGGACGTATCAAGCCCTCGTTCACGATGTTCTCAATCTATCTTTAAATAGAGTCCAGATCAAAGAAAAATCTTTTGATTTAGACAGTAAGAATGATAACTTGTGGAATAAACAGAGAGGTTCTCCTTTTCCCGAGGTTGCCCAAGAAGTGCAAATGGAATTGGAAAAATGTAAAAATAGAGAAGAAGAATTAAGAGTATTGAAGGCTTCCATGGGCGCTGAGGAAGACGTCGATGGAACAACAGCGAGGTTATCCATGGCCGTCACATCATTACCAGAAATATTAGCAAAAAAGAGAAATGTTGATATGCATATTGATATTGCTGCATCTCTGTTAGATCAGATTAAAGAGCGAAAATTAGATAGTTTTTTTGAAATGGAGGAAAAATTGTTGAGCAAATCATCCAAATTAGGCGATAAAAATTTGCAAGAACTGCTAAGAGATCCCCAAGGTATTTTATATGTAAAAATATGTATTTCTACATAACTCTCATCTATGAATTATATAATTTAGCCGGAACTCCAGAAGACAAGGTAAGACTCTTTATTATCAGTCTCCTTTGCACAAAGGAAAATATTTCGGAAGCCGAAATGGATAGTTATTGTAATATTCTTCAAAGTGCAAATTGCGATCTGGCAGCCGTGCAATATATTAGAAAATGGAAGTAAGTAAGAATATTTGAAAATCCTTTCATATATACTGATCACTTAAAATTTAGGGCTTTTACATCCATGTCTATGGGTTCATTGACTTACGGTGGCTCCGATCATTATGGAACAAGAACGGATTCAATGTTTGGAAAACTTTTAGATAAAGCATCTAAATTCGCTATGGAAGGAGTAAAAAATTTAGTCGTTGAGAAACATAATTTGGTTGTTACAAAAATAGTCGATGCTTTAATGGAGCTAAAATCTACTCCTGAAACTGATAACTTTAGATATTTCGACCCAAAAATATTACGTGTAACAGATCCGTGAGTAGTTTGCGCAGATAATGAAAATGTGTCTTTATTGCTATAAAATATTAATTCTCCGTCAGCTCAAACATACCAAGAACAAAAACTCCATTCCAAGAAGCAATCGTTTTTGTTGTAGGTGGAGGAAACTATATCGAGTATCAGAATTTAATGGATTATTGCAAAACGAAATTACAGAATAGCACAGTTAAAAAGAAAATAATTTATGGTTGCTCAGAATTATTGAATGCTACTCAATTTTTATCGCAAGTAAGTTTACTTTCATTAATTACAAGTTTTATATCTAAAAGTTTACTTAATGAAATTATTTTTTTATTTTAGTTATCCGAATTAGGAAATGAGTAGTAAGTTACTTCGCTAATTATGTTATCAATAAATTGTATGATTCAAGAAGTTTAATATATTTTTTTCTAAAAAAATTAAACTATTAAGAATAAAAGACGAAAAAGAAATGAATTTGTTTCCTTAAGCATAAATACTAATTGAATATAATTGAATATCACAGTAATATTTACTTTGTCCGTAATTTGTTCAACTGAGAAAGTGTTTTTGCTTTCTTATCATCTTTAACATTATAGTTTCGAACCTTCAGTTTGCTTTTATTAAGAGATGGACGTGGATTGCTTATTCGTTTTTTTGCCCAAAGACCAGCAGGTGTAGGTTGAATATCTGCGTGCTTAGCTTTGACTAGTAGGCCGTCAACTTTGGAATCTTTCTTTGGTGTAGAAGCGCCTGAGGGTTCTGGTACGTCTAGTAATTTCCATATATCTTGCAAAGACTGCCCTGTCGATGACATTGTGTTCAATAGCTGCATGTCTTGATCTCGTTGGGTTCGTTTTGGAACTTGTCCTGTGGTGTTGGCTGCCAATTGACGTTTTGTTAATTCGTATTGAAGCTCTTCTAGCTTTTGAAGTTTGTCTATTTTAGGTGATTTCGGCGACGTATTCACTTCCTTAATTGGTGGCTCATCAAAGTCTTGGATAGAAAGTTTTTCTTTGAGGCGCTCTACTTCGGCTTTGTGACTGTTGCTTAAATCAACTAGTTGCTCTTTCTCAGTTAATAATTGCTCTATTTTTGAAGCTGCATTTTTCAGTTTGTGTTTTAAAAATGTTATTTGATCATCAGTGTTGGCTAGTGGTCTATTAGCTAATTCGCTTTCTAGTTGTTGTATGACAAGTTCTTGAGCACCGAATGAAATTTGTTTATGGGCTTGAGCGCTTCGTAACTTTAAGTCAGATACTTGTCTTCTAAGAGCCGAATTTTCTTCCTCAACCTGCAGCCGAACCCTATTTAATTCTTTACATCTGGCATCACTTTCCGAATAAGCTGCTTCTAAATCAACAACCCTCTTCTTGTAACTTGAAATCTGAGTATTATATTTGTCTTCATTTGCCACTAGCTCATAGCGCAACTGCTGTACAGAAACGTTAGATGTTCCTTGGTCGTTAACGCTCATCTCTAGAGCGTGATTACGAGCTTGCATAGCTCTGACTTGAGCAGATAATTCAACTTTATCACTTCTTAGTTTTGTTATTAATCTATTTAACTCTCCTATATGGGCTTTAATATAAGCATTTTCAATTTCGGGAAGTTCACCTTGTACATCTTCTTCATCTACTTCTTTACTGGGTTTATTATTGACTAATTCCATTTGCTCTCTCATTTGAGTAATTGTTGTTCTCAGTGTTACATTTTGCCTCGTTAGATCTTCAACTTCTGGATTATTTTCTAAGCGTGTTAAAGCTTTTTCTAGTTTTTTCTCACACTCAATCAATTGAGCTCTAGCTAAATCCCTTGATTTTCCAACTTCTTCTACAGTAACATCAATTCTTTCACGATGCTCGCTCTGTACTTTCTCAACTTTGCGTTCAAAGTCCAGTTCTAATTGAGTCTTTTGAGCCTCCAATCTCTTATAAGCTTTATTAGAAGATTCAACATTTTTCATTAATTTATCATTAGACACTTGAACAGAAGATAATTCAGCTTTCAATTGTAAAATATGCTCTTCCAGAGATTTGTTTTTACATTCAAACGCCCTTAAATCTTTAATAATATCATCCTGATGTCGTATCTGATCGCGAAGGTGACTGACGGTACTACTATTTTCATTTTGATTCATATTCATGGAAGCTTTTAATTGAATAATGCTATTTTCTAATTCATGAACTCTTCTTTCCAATTCTGAATTCTTTTTACCCATTGAGTCAATTGCATTATATTTTTCAGCTTTTATCCTTTCCAATGCATTTTCAATTTCTTTAATTTGAAAATCTTTTGATGATAAGAGATCATCAGTTTTCCATTGCACTTGTCTAGAAATGGTTTGAGCTTCGTCTCTATCTTTGGCTAATTTATCATTAAGAATTCGCATTTGCTCCATTTCTTTCGAAAGGACTTCTATTTTTAATGTACTCTGTCTGTGAGCTTCTTCGAGTCTTTGATACCTTGATGATTCTTCGGTTGTTTGAACTCTTAGCAGATCTTCATACTGCTGTGAAACATCCCTCTTTGTGCCTTCTAAGTCAATTTTTAAACTCTCAATAAGTAAAGTTAAGTTAGAATTTTCTTTTTCCTTTTCAAACAATTTTTCGCTTAAATCACTAATTTCTCTCTGATAGCGATTTTGAAGCTCGATTTCTCTATCTTTTAATCTCTTTGTACTTGAACTGAAAAGATTTTCATGTCTTTCGTTCTCTTTTCGCTTTTCTTCTGACAACTTGTCTAACTTTGTTGATAGTTCTGATATAAGTGATTCTTTTTCTATTAATTGCTTTTGAAAAGAATGAAATTTTATTTCGTAACTCTCTAATTCTGTATCTCTTTCGGCTAACAGTTTAAAATTGTACTTGAAATCACTTTTGAGCTTGTTAAAGCGAGATTTTAGCTCATCCTTTTCTGCGTTAGATTCTTTTAATAAATTTTCTAATTTTGCAATTCGACCTTGACGAAGACGTCTACTTTCTTCTTCCATAATTCGAACTTGATGTTCGATTTCGTCTTCGCTATTCATATTCGCTTATCTTTATTACAGGCTGTGACTTGATCAAATTTAATAAATTTCCCTTTTCGTTTAAAGATGGCAATAATTTCAAATTCTTTTATTTGTAAATGTCGATATACTGATGATGCTTTGTACTATATTAAATAATCTAACTTATTCCAGCATTCTTTAATTAAAGGATTTAAATGGAATTTATAGTTGTAAGTTTTCCAATAACATATATCTTTATATTCCTTAGTCTGATCACACATTTACGCAAAAAGGCCTCTTTGTATAAAAATCTAAGGTCTCCCTTAAGGTAAAAACTTTAAAGAGTAATCCTTTTAATTGTAAAATATTAAGATTTGTATTCTTACTAGTATAGATCTAGCAGAAAGACTGACACTTATTCCGTCACCTTGTTTGAGATGGATACCTAGCTTAACGACGAAAACTTTTTTAGATTATCTAATACGTTAATTTAGTAATAATAAAGATAAGGTTTTCGAAAAAATTTAACATAATTAAGAAATTTTTAAAAAAATAAATAAAATACGAAGGAATATATCTCACTGAGCGATAATAGGGAAAATAAACACATGTACTTACCAGGATTTAACTATTTAAGTTCAACATCGGATTTCTTGTACAATGATTTTAAGAAATATTAAAAAGTTGCACAAAAACACAAGCTATATGAAATGTATAGCATCAAGATGTTTAAATCAGAAAACAACTGATAATAATGAGTTTGTTAATAAAGATCTATCAGAATACTTATCAAACGATCCTCCAGAAAGACCGATAGATCCAGAATTTCCGTCTGATTATGAAGAGTATAGAATGCAAGAATGGTTAAAGTATAATAAAATCAAACGATCTCAAGAAAAGAAAGTTAAAAGGCCGCTTATTGATCCAAGGGATACTTCTATAATTCTTTTTCCGGGACAAGGAGCTCAGTTTGTGGGTAAGAACAATCGCCTAAACCTTGATAGCGATATTTACGTATATAACACTAAGAAAGAGTACCTTCAAAACAATTACACTTTTCGTTATTTAACATAGGTATGGGCAGAGAGACACTTAACTTTCCAAATGTTAGAAATATGTTTGAGGCGGCAAGTACAAGAATGGGAAAAGATTTATTAAAATTATGTCTTGACGGACCAATAGAAGAATTAAATAAAACTGAAAATTGTCAACCAGCCGTGTTTCTTTGTAGTTTAGCAGCAGTAGAAAAACTAAAAAATTTGGAGCCTTATGTATGTTATTGAATTTCCTTTTCTCCTCTTTTCTTCATATACTGTATATTTAATTAATAATATATAATAAATAAAAAACGAACACCAAAAACAGGCTATTGAAAAGTGTATAGCAACCGCCGGATTTAGTCTTGGAGAAATTACAGCTTTGGTATTTTCCGGAGCTTTTTCATTTGAGACTGGTATCATCTTTTTTTCGATTAATCATGTCATTTATCATATAAAGAAAATGTTATATTTTTAGGTTTGCAAGTTGTTATAAATAGAGCCAAAGCAATGCAAAAAGCTTCAGAGATTATACCATCGGGTTTAGCAAGGGTATTCCTCAAATCTAACTCTAAATTAGGTTTTGCTTGTAAAACTGCAAGAGATTATTGCAAGTAAGCTTGCTCATTTTTATTTAAATAAATAAATGTATATAAATTACTATTTGAAATATAATTATTATTTCTATCATTCCCAGGGATAAGCTAAAAATTGAAAATCCTGTTTGCGGTGTAGCCAATTATTTGTTTCCGGAATGCAAAGTAATTGGTGGAAATATCGAGGTTTGCTCCTTTTAAAATATATATAAAACATATATACAATGCGTTTACGTTTAAAAATTTTACAGGCTTTACAATTTATAAAGGATAATAGAAGAGAATTTAAACTACTAGGTGTTCAAATGCTTCACGTTTCTGGTGCATTTCATACCGAATTAATGAGTTCTGCACAAGAAGACTTTAAAAATACGCTAAATCATGTCAAAATTGATAAACCTATTGTCCATACATATTCAAATATAGAAGTCAGTCCGTATAAAAAAGTAAATGATATAAAAAAATTATTAGTAAAACAGGTAAGATAATTAAAAAGCAAGAATATTTAATTTAATTAATTATTACGTAATATTTATTGGCTTTTTACGTTTTCTTTCCATCTAACAAAAGTTGGTAAAGCCTGTAAAGTGGGAGCAAATTATGCATACAATCTATACAAGAGACAAAACAGAGGAATTTCCGGATACTTTTGAATTAGGACCTGGAAAACAACTGGGAAGTATATTAAAATCAACTAACAGAAGAGCTTTTTCTTATTATAAATCAATTAATATATAAAATTCCTTTATTTTTATAAGAATACAAAATATTTATTAATTAAATGTAAGTATATCTGTTAAATAAAGATCAGTCTTGCAAAAAAATAACCATTCGTTAAAGTAATTGATACGAAAGTATTTATAGTAATGTTACCTGACAGTTAGCTATCAAGGCACTGATACCTTAATATCAAGTTTAATTTTTAACGATCTAATGATACTACATTATTAAAATATAATCCATTTTTATTAAAAAAAAACATGCAGTATAGACATTCAAAACTTGAAATTTGTATTTCAAATTTTAGAAACTAGTTCAAATATTGTATATTCTATTTGTACAGCAAAAATATACTCAAATTTTGCAGTTTAGTTTGAAATAATTTAATTATAAATTACTCTATTTCTTCCAGTTAAATTAAAAAATTAAATAGTAAGAATAGATCGATATTATCGTTTAAAAAACCTCTTTTAGTAGCTATTGAACAAATTTTAGGTATAATAAGTAATGTTTCTGTTACGTTAACACCTAAGAAGTCATTACTGTTGAATTTAAAAAATCTTCTTATTTTTAATCGATTCTTTCACTTTTTCTTTGCAATTAGTACTAAAATGCACTAACTTTTAGTTACACTACCTTAATACTAATGAATTACCGTCAGAAAATTAGGGTGAAATTCTAAAGGTTTCAATTTTAATTGGTTTCAGAGGAAAAAAACTTAATTTAACCTTGTCAGCAAAAAAAAGTATTTGTTTTAGTTTTTACTTAACTTTTCTTTTAACGTCTTATTTTACTTTGAAAAGACTCAAGTAAAAACGTTGAAACTATTACTTAAATTGGGTAGTCAATTTTCTATGTGATATTTCTTAGTTCCTGCTCGTAGCCTCAAGTAGATGCTAGTTTTCTTCATTAATTGTAATTTCAGCGAATGAATCTGTTGTAGAATCAGCAAATAGATCGGGGCTGTTTATATTAGGGTGGTATTGAGGAGTAGATGTTGATAGGCTATAATTACTCTTATTGCAGGGTGTAAATGTTTGATAAGAATTGAAAGTTTCATTTGTAGATAGCGAATTGTTTGTTAGAAAGGAAGATGATTCACTACTGTCTAAGAATAAATCGGCTGATCTGTCGATGTAATGCTTCCTAGCAGTTAATGGATTATATGTTGATTTACTCCATAGATCAGTTAAACTTTGATCGGTCCATTTTGCACTCGAGCTGCTTGTCTGATTTAGACTAGCATCGGGTGTTTCTTTTCGTTCTGAGAAGTTTAGAAAAGTGTTATCGATGTAAGATTTGTCTGCTACAGCTTGAGTTTGAAATTGTTTAAGAAAGCTATCAGTCCTACCATATCTATGGTTAGAATCTTGAAAAAATTGCAGAAAACTTCCATCATTTGTAGTAGCATCAATAATTGAGTTATTTCTTGCGTTTGCTTCCTTTACTGCAGGATTTCCAGTCTGCTTATTATTCATTAGACTTTGAGGTATTGTTAACGATCTCATCATATCGTATTGAAAAGTTGCCGAACAAGTTGGCTGAATGTTCTGTGATGCATCTTGTAGTAATTGCTTGAAACATTCACTAACTGTTATTCTGTTTGATTCAAAAGTCGCTCTCTTAATATCGTGAGAAGCGGGACAATCGCCATTCACTTCGCAGACTTTTTTCAATGTATGACATGGTAATTTTTTCCTCACATGGAATGAAACTAGAAATTGACCGTTTACAAAAGTTCGGTTTACGGAAGCATTTATCAGCTCTTCTACCTCTTCTTTAGAGCGGGTAGAGTAAACACCCTCAGTAAATCTTTATGATTGAATAAATTCTCACTTATTTAATTTATTTATCTTATAGAAGATACTCACTTAATAAACTCGTTCGCCTCTAATCCAAATAGATTGGTTAAACCTCTCCCAAAGACGGCTATGGGGAAATATCCCGTGTCATCACAGCATTGTATATGCAATCGATAGCGAAATTTAATGCTTTCCTTTTTACTTCCACGAAAACATTTTCTACATCGACACCTAGAGATTGATCAAAGAATTAAAAATAATTTAAAAACTACCATCGATTATCGCTCAATACTCACAAATTTCCTTCAATCTCAATTCTTCCTCCGCATATAATACAGTTAGAATAAAAGTAGACAGAATCTAAAATTTTTACTACTTTTATTAATACAAAGGCCATATCATACTTGATTAAAACATAATAAATCGATAGTATGTATCCAGTAATATAAAATTCAAAGTTTAAATTACTCTCAAATTGTTTTCCACTTGCGTTTATTGAACTGTCCAGAATTTTAGGCGCCAAAACAATTCAACAGGAAAAAAAGAACAAAGACAAGGAAAAGTTTTAGAAAAGATAAATGAGGGTATAAATAAAAATCATCCTTCACCGTAGTAGCATTTATCAAAAGAGTTTTAGGTTAAATATGACATTTTACGAGGATGTTTAATAATCTAATAGAGATAATCATTATTATATTGTAAACTAATCTTAATTAACAGCAAAACAGGTAAAGGTATTATTATACAACAACTGAAAGAATACGGTATTTTTCTAACATTAAACATGTTTTTCTATATCACAAAGATTCAAAAAAAAGAGAGAAAGGAAAAGAGAGGATATTGTTTATTATTTTGTAAGGGCTTTCAATAATATATCAAAGTTGACGTCTTTAGGAAAGGAGACAGGATGCAAAGATATTGATTGCCTGAGTGCAATTAGTGCTTTATATAAAAGAAAATATGATTAAAAACTTTCGTAACAGTAAGATACTATTGAACGGAATCTTTAATTATTTGCTTTAGCTGAGTTCTTTTATATTATAAATTTAATAGACGTTACTTTCTAACAGATACAAGATAACTTTAAAATTATTAATCATTCGTTAAGGCTTCTATCGCGTTTAAATTAGGTGATAATAGCTTTTTTCATTTTTTAGACAATTCGTGTAGAACGTTTCACTTCTACTTTTGGAATTCCTAAAGAAGTTTATTTATACAATATATTCTTTTAAATAGTATATTTATTAATAATTTCTTATTACCGTAATTGTAATTAGAGTCTGGCTCTGAAATTGGAAAATTCGTATAACTAGAATTGATTAGAGTGTGATAAAATTCATCTTTAGGCTCTGTAAAAATTTTCTTCTTTTTACAACATCGATAAATAGAGACGACTGAAATCAATAGAGAATATAGATTAGAGATAAAATAAAGAGAAGGGGGGAGGAGGCATAGTATAAATAAAGAGAAAAAACAAATTAACCCCCAAGTAAGCAAAGGCTTATTGAAATGAAAGAAACTCCTAGAGAAGCAATCCAAATGATTCTATTAAAATCTGATAAACCGAATAATTCAGTTTTCGAGCAACAGCCCATCTTTTTTATCCGATGATCACAACATTTATACTGATAGGGTAGACCATCATAAGGACAATAAAAGATTTTGAATGTTAAATTATTGTATAACTCCTCTTTTCCATCATCTCTACCTCTCCATTCGGCACTAAGGTCAATTTCATTATATAATTCCTTGCAAATTCTGGCACCAAATATATTCCTTTCGCAAATACGAATCTTTTCCTTATTGATTTTATAAACGCAAGTGACGCCATCCTCAAAGTGTTTAATCGGCGTCGCGACATCCAATCGTCCCGTAGTCAATGAAGCATTCTCTAGAGATTCTTTAAATGTTGTATTGTTTGACAGTACTTTTCCAATAAGGAGTACGAGAGGGAGAATAAAAGCTATCATAATTTGTTTTTATAAAAGTATATGTGAGTGAAGATGAGGGAAAATTTTTTTGTTTTTTTTTGCTTCTCTTTTTAAAAGCTTCGTTCATGACAACAATTTTATCACGGTTAATTTCAAAATATATATATAAACTTCTCCAAAGGTAGCCTCCGGTAATGCCACACATAATGATTTTTTCCCTATATATATATATATAGACATTTATACTATATATATCTTTAACAGTGTACTGCAATGGATAGGAAAATGCAACCCTATCTATTGAATTTTTTTTGTCGGTATTTAATAATAGTGACGTTAATACTAAGAGATCGAAAAACAAGAAACTAATTAAAATTATATAATTCTATCGAAAGAAATACAGTTAAAGCTTATCAATACATTTCATTTTGTATTCATTTAAAAGCGTTAAATTGGTCTACTTCGGTTTTTATCTGAATATATACATAATTAATTACATGTAATTGGATTTTATTTTTGTCTGATTTTAAATTGTTTTTTGAAAAATCATAACACATGGTTAAAATTCAAGTTTAATTGACATTGATTACGAAAGATAGGAAGTATTTTGTATATCAGTGTCACACCATTCATGACAATAACCTAGATGATAACGAATACAATCATGGTGTTTTTCACCTCTAATAGTTATCTTTATGAAATATGTATAGGTGGTACTATATCCTATATTATATAATATATAGTATATACATATACGATATCAATATATTATATAATAATAGGTATCTTATCAAATAGTATAGCAGAATTTCATTCCCCGCTTTATTGTCGGTGCTGACTATAATAAAATTTACTGGCAAAGTGCTAAATAAATTTTTTATATTGCAACGACAAAAGGAAATACTACTACAATTATTTTAAGCACACTCAAATAAAACAGACTACAAACAAAAATTAAAAAAATAAACTAAACAAAAAATAAGAAAACACGACTAGTTTTTTTTTTATAGAAAAATAAATATATAATAAAACTAGATATATACATATACTGTATGTATATTCATCGTTTTATTCATTAAATTGAGGTCGTCTAGTTTGTATGATTTTAGGCCTATCCGAATTGGTGAAACCGTCAGGATTTTCGCTGATGTGTACAATGATGCCTGGATGATTTCCAGTTGCTGGAATCAATTCGTGCTCTGTCCCTAAAAGGAACAGTAAAATTAAGAAATTGCAGAAAAACCAAGAAATTGCGTTTGATTTAGATTAATAGTTGAAAAAAACAGCTAATAAAATATTTAAAACACAAAGTGATTTTATGGGGAAAAAACATATTTTTAAAGCCTACCTGGAGCTAAGTTTGCGACAGCCGCCAATAAATCATAATCTATATTAGGATGTGTTTCAGGTATAGGCTCCCAATCGACTGGCGGTGAAGCTGGTGGTGATATGAGAAAGTTTCGTTCACGTTCAGGCACTTGTAAGAAATTCCCTCCTCCTCTCTACGAAATGTAAAATAATCAGTTAGATAATTCACATAATTCAAGGCTCTCTAAAAATAATCATGTAAATATGTATTTATCGACGGTATATTTATATAGTTTACATATTTATATTTAATAAGTGTAAACTATATATGTATATATATATATATATATATATATATATATATATATATATAGATATACATCTATAAATACTAAGAGCAGAAAATACTAACATCAATAGTAACGGCTACTTTGGCGTAGAAAACTTGAACAACATTTCCAAGAACATTTTGTTTATTGTAAGCATTTTTAGCGACTTCAGCATTTTTTTCAGAGTCATACTCCACACGAACTCGGCTTAAACTAGGAAGATAATCGAATCTTGTTTCCTTTGAATAAAGTTTGAAGAGTTCTTCAAAATGGGCCTGAAGAGATCGATGAAATCATTAAATTTTGTTATATATAAGGCTAAAGACTATTATTTGGGCAATTAAATCATGTTCGTTATACTCTGTTTATTCTCAGTTTACAATCAAATAATTAGTTTAATCGAATTCGAGGTAGCTAAGGCCTTATCGCAAGCATTTGCGTCAGAAAGGACATGTTATTTACATTGACTCATTTTGATATAAACAGTAAAAATAGCTTCAAGAAACAATGTCTATATGTAATAATCCATTCCATAAGGTGGAATGTCATATGAGATAATGCAATAGCTTATTGCTATATTTTTAAAGCTTACCTTTATCTTAGCATTTGTAAAAACTGCTTTGTGAACGTTCGCAACGATGAGCACCTTTAAATTCGGTTCCGTGTTGAGATAAGTAAGTCCCATCCCTTCCTCCTTACTTAATAATTGACTCTTATTGTTAATTGTCTTCCTAATCCTTTTTGATGAGTCTTGTAAAGCTATTCGATTTATCCTGTCTGCTAAATCTTGATCAGTTTCAACCGTCCTGTCTGATATGGAACTAGTTACTGGATTAGCCATATTTTTTAGTTTCTTGCAAAAACTGAAAGAGCGACAATCTATATAAAGAATCACCTCTACAATCGCACAACACTGATGATGTCTCCAACAAGACTAAGTCTTTCTGATCAATGTAAAATTCTATTATACCCACCTATTCACGAATTATTCAATTACTGATGAAACAAACATGGTATTTTCATATGTTCGAACGTTGGTGTATACTTTCTATGACGTCATTGGCTGCTATGGATCACGTGATGCAAGTCCAACTCCGCATTGTATTTCCTTACTGAGGGAAATTTTTAATCATTTAAAACTTACTCATGTACGTAATAAACTAAATGGTATATATTATTGAAAGGGAATTATCCATTATTCATTTCCAACCGTCAAATTAGACTGATGTTTTAAAAAGTTTTAAGCGTTTTCATAAATCCCAACAGGAAGTGGTAGTGTTTACAATCGCAATTTTTTTGTATACATTTTGAAATAAGTATCAAATTAGTAAAAGCTTAATTAAGCATTAGTCTGTTTATTAATTTCAGTAATTTGACCAAAATAATTATAGAATGTCAAAAGATATAACAATCTAGTACTAACTTTACAAAATCATTGAATATTTAATATCATTTTACAATTGTATAATAAAGATACATAAAAGAGTAAAAAAAAAACAAACCAAAAATAAATTCAATTAACTAATTAAATTATAAATTAGAGTTTAATAAAATAAATTTGACATTATTGACTTTTCTTTATTGTATTCAAGATTATTTTTAACGAAAAAATAAACTGTCACCAAATGAATAAAAGTGCTTCGAGTTGGGTGCAAATGTTTAGTGACGGATATGTCTAGAGAGGAGTTAAAATAAGTATTAGTTTCTGAAAAAGTCACGTGAAAGTGAAATATAAAAATCCACTTGGGAATATCCTGCAGCTATAAATTTCCTTTGTTTATGTTTTTAAGTCTTGCTTCTTTAAATTTATATGTCAATTTTTAAGTTAGGGAAACAATTAGAAATAAAATTATATAGAAAATTTTATTTAAATTACAAGTAAGTTGATTAAATGCAAAAGCATCATAATAAGAAATTAATTCAATTATAGCCCATCATTAAAACTGATTTAAACCGAGTAAAAAATTAAAAATAGCCTATAAAACTGATTAGTTTTATCTTTGTAGCTATTAATCGTAGCAGGAATATGAATCAACTAGTAAATTGAAGAATAGCTTTATGTCTTCCACATGATGTGTGATGAAATAATGTTATATGATAATGCTATATGCTTTTTAAAGTAATTGTATGAGGCTCAATGTAAATCTATCTAATGTAATTTACATAGATTTTGGACAGACTTTTTAATATGAGACAGAGCTAACTCTGACAAAAAGCCATAAACATTTCTTTCTAATTCCCATTGTTAATCTATAGTAACCAATCTATTTTTGGTAATTTTTTTATAGTAAATCTAAAGCTATTTAAGTCATATGTAGTACGATTTACTATGAAAATGATACTTATTAAAAAATTACTTGAGTGGCCAAAGTATTTACATAAAATATTATTATTAAATTTATATTTTACACATATACCCATACCTATAAATATTTATAGGTGTATATAAAGAAAAAAGTCAATTCTCAGCCGTAAATCAACAATATGTATCTGGCAGTCATATCATGCTCATTTTCATTTAGGAAGCCCTTTTCTCAATAGTACGTAGTTGCTTCTTCTTCATTCTTTTTATTTTGGCTGTATTTTTTATCTAAAAGAAAAATTCAATCTTTAATTACAGAACGCAGAGTATTTCAACAATTGTTTTACTCACCACTTGAACAACTTCACTCTTTCTTTGATTCTCTTCCCTTCTCTTCCTGTTGAGTTCACCTCTCTCACGTTTTTCCTTCATCCTCTGTGCGCGTTCCTCTTTCAATTCTTGCTCTCTTTCTTTAAAAAATTTGTGAGTCTTTTTCGAATCCATTTTCTTTTCCCAAGAAGTTTTCAGAGGTTTGACTTTTTTTATTGCAGAATGTCTAAATTAAATAACGACATTACATGCAATCTTTTGCCCAGATTAACTACGACTAAAATAAGATACCTTTCTTCTCTCAATGTTTTCCATGTTCTTCCAGATTTGATCCTTCCTTTTGTGTCTTTGACAACACCAACAGGTTGTTGAACATCACCAGCTTCATCTGATATCACAAGGTTATTTTGCTTTAAAAGCATAGAAGGATTTTTTATTTCTGTCTTCATGCTGTCAATAAAGTCGTATCATTAATATTACAAGAAATATAGACGATCAAGTAAAATATTGCAAGTAAACAACTCACATGGTTCCGGAAAGGAAGTGTATAATAACTCCGCACCCACCGATTTCCGGTTTGAAAGGCGCCTAATTCGATGAAAATGTAAATTCATTTTAATATATTTTGAATACCTTTGGGAATAAAAGAAAAAAAACTAACTTGTCATAAATGTCAATATGTTATTTTTAGGCTATTCACTGCTCTAAATTTGAAATTTAATTATAATAACAATGTAATTTAAAAAACTATACAGAATTCTTACGATTTAATAATAAGAGCTTAATGAAAATAATAGTTGGATAAAAAAGCTGTACAAAATAGTTACATCTTATAATAATAGAAAGTTAATTTGTAGCTGAAATATTTAACAAACCTATATAGAAGCTTTCATTTATAATCAAAAATTTTTCTAAAGAGAATTCCTGGTTTTAAAGCCTATTTCTGAATGGAGTTCATTTATAATTAGTCATTCTAAAAAGCAAACAGTTATCAACAAAAACTAGTTCGAATTATGGAACGTAGCAAAATTAGATGGGATGATGGGGTCGGTGACTTCAAAACCGAGGACAATGAAATAGCTGAGAGCGTTGGATCTATTAGAAGAGCGGATATGAATATCTATCCGTTTTACGGAGGAGGACAACCCTTAATGGCTCAACAAGTATCGTCTTTTCAATCAGGATATCAAACAGGTCTAAGCCAGAAACCGGAACAATATATATATATTGATGGGCAACGAGTCCGCAAAGTAAGGCTCGGTTGGCGGACGAAATTATCAACTAGACTGCCGTTTATTAAAAGATCTCGACTTCGCTTTGTTGAAGGAACATGTTCAATGTGTGTGCAGAGACTAGTTGAACCGAGATTTATGAGAACTTGTCCTCACGGTTTTTGCGAATCATGTCTTAGAGCTTATGTAGATAAAAAGAGACTAATTATAGGGGAAAGACTCCCGTGTCCAGTTTGTAATATACCTTGTCCTAACCCTCTTCCTATTACGAATTTACCGCGTTTTCAACAAATCATCTGCAGTCTAAATCCATACCACGGCCCAGCGTCCGTAACATGTGAAGAATGTCAGAAAAGCGTCTGCGACGAATGCGCTCCTATTTTTCGCGAAATGCACTCATCAAAAGTATTTGAAAGTCATCAATTAGAGGCTACGAGACAAGCTGAATGTCACGTGGTACATCCTTATTCAAAGCGTTTAATGTATTGTAAGCGTCACCAAGATATATTGTGCAGAAAATGGTGCAACAATTGTAGTGTAGCTATTTGTATTAATTGCGTAAATGATATTCACAAGGAGCATGAATATGTAGATTTAAAGGCATTGGCTGAGAAGAGAATTGCTGAGCTGGAATATCTATTGTCTCTGGTAATTCAAAAGATAAAAGAAAATAAGAAAGCTGACAAAGATATTGTAAAATCGTCTTCCAAAAGTGGTGGCACTCTTAGTCCTATAAAGAAAACTAGCAGAGAGAGTACAAGTTCCAGAAAATTAAGGGATCGTATTAAAGAATATTGCGAAGGGGAGAAGAAGATTTTGAAGAGAGCCTATCAGGATGCGGTCAGGGCAATTAGGGATCAGGAAAAAAATATGAAAAGGGAATTAGAGGAGAGCGACAAGAAATACATATCGGCAAGAACTGCCTATAAAAAGGCTGTTAAACAAGCCAAGAAGGTGGCTAAACGCCTGTCAGAGCATATAAATTATCTTATTAACAAAGCCGATTACCATGAAATTACTCATGATGCTGTTTATCAGGTACGTAAGGAAGTGGAGATGATAACGACTATACCAGCACCCCCTAAAGAGAAAGATATTCGAATTGTGTCAACAGGTGTCGCTTTGAAAGTAGAATTTATGGTAAATAAAGTCCGTGCGTTTATTAAAAAAAGTGACGGAGATCAAGAGAGTTCCGACTCGGAAGGTGATATTTTAAATCATCCTATTTCACGACCTTTAGGCCTATTGAAGCGTAGTCCTAGGCCAAGCAGGGAAAGTCTAGAGAGAGAGCCTTCGGATACACGTAATAAATTTAGAAAGACGAAAAAGAACACATCTAAATCGGATTTTCAAGAAAGTTTATCGATTGATAGTTGTAAAGTACAGCCAAAGCCGAAGGGAAAGATTGAAGGCTCTTTGGAGGAATTAGATGAATTAAAAAAGGAGCAGTTATCCTTGGAGAGTAAGTCTTCGAAGAAAAGCAAGAAATCCAAGGTTAGGAAGCAAGAGAGAGCGCGTTTTGCTGAGAAACACAACGATCCTGAGCAGGTAGTGGAGATATACGTTACGGACGTTAGTAATCGACTAAAGACAAGGGGAGAAAAAGAGGAAGTAGATAAGACTGGCATGCTTAAGACGGTTGCCAGTCAAACTATGACTCAAATCGCCGAAACAGTTGAGAGAAAAGCTAAAAAGAAGGAAAAAAAAGCCGAAAAAAAGAATGAACGTAAGAAGAAGAAGAAAACAAAAATCAAGAGGATGGGATCAGATGAAATAGATAAACTTATTGAGAAGAGTGAGTCGGAAGACGATACGGATGAAAATCTGGAAGATGAAGCGGATGAGAACGAAAGAAGAGATGAAGACAAGTTGAATACTAAGAAATTATCTACCTTACGTGGAAATGCTTCTGGGAATAGTAATGCTATACATAGTGGAATTCAACTGTTTACAGCCAGAATTACTGCTAGTCCTATTCCAGAAAATTTCGCCAATGAGAGTTTGATAAATGAATCAGCATTATTTTTAAATCAAGCAAAGATTAGAAAATCGGAAATTTCTAAAGAGGATAGATCAGACACGACGCTCTCTTCTTTCCAATCAACGTCCCATCTTTCTAAAGAGGGGAATCAAATTACTGATTATTCCGTTATATCTAAATTGACTTTGGATGAAAATTACGTAATTAGAGATATTTGCTTGACAAAAAATTGCCTGATTCTGGGCCTGGAATGCATATGGGAAGTAGATAGTGGACAATTGATATCTTTACCTAAAAATTCTCTCGGGGAAGGTTACGCTATGGAATCGAAGAAAATCTTGTTTAATGGAGCCATTCGATGTTGTTCCGCAACATACGATGGCCAAGAAATTTATTTTGCCGCCGAAACTTCTCAAAAGGCATCATGTCGTCTATACTGCCTGAAATCGAATCAAGGCATCCAAATAGTGGAAATTTTTGACGACGTTAAGGCCCTTCATCTTAATCCATCATCGTTCAACCACGGTACAGTTATTGCCAAATTAAAAGGAGATAAATTCTATACAATTAGCCATTGGACACAGAATTTTAAAAAGTTGGTTTGGAAAGAAATGCTATCAAAGTCAATAGATACTGATAATCGCCTATTTATAAGGCACGATCATAAATTAAATACAATAGCCATTACAGACTGTTCCAATCTATGGATTGTTGAAAGAAATGACACTTCTTGTGTTTATAATTTAACGAAAGGACCACCATCGCCATTAGGTATTTGTCTATATAAAACAGGATTTTTAATAGCTTATCACAACGGTTTGGCCTTCTTTGACGACGATGGTAAAAGACGTCAAGACTTAATTAACCAACTACCATATAGTTGCATAGCCGCATATGATGAACTTGTCGATAAACTCTACATAGGTACACTTAACGGTCATCTATACATTCTAGAAGTTATTTCAAAAAATAAGGAAGAGGCGAATGAATAAATTAAGATAACCCAATTACGAAAAATATTAATAAAGTATTAATTGAACAAGTTGTCGTTATTCTGACGATAAAAATTGTTTTATTGTTAAAACCTTGAAACTTTTTATCGTTAACACTGTAAAAAGCTACTAGTTAACAAAAAAAAAGTTGATTGTTTTTCTTAACAAAACCACGTCACAGCAAACATTTGTACACTTCTTCCGTTCGTATGTACAAAAAAACCATTTATAAAAAAAATGCAAAACTTATATAATCAACATAAAAAAGAGATTAGTATTATCCTTCTCCTTAATAATTTATACCAGAGTCTCTATAGGGTTAGCACCAGGTTTCACAAACGATGAATTTGAGAGTATATTTTTATAGTTGTTTGTCTTATCTGAATTCGACATGATGTTCTTCGAGATTGTCTTTTTTGGAGTTTGCGTCTCTATTCTGTAAAATAAAAAACGATAGAAAATATAAACACAATAAATACAATTGATAAATCACATATTAACAAACATGCGTACTATATATATAGATGTTGAAAAGTAGATATAGCAAACTCTTAAAGTGAAAAATTTGGGACAGTAAGAATTATCTGGGAATTTTTAGAAAATGCAAAAAATCTTTAGATAACTTAGCAATAAATCATAAAGAATAATAATAAAAAAGAGAAATCATTTCAATAAATTAATTAAGAAAGTAAATCACAACAATTAAATAATCTAGATATTTTATTTAGGTTCTTATTTCTTTACCCGTTTATGATCTTGTGTTAGTTTTGAGCATTTTTGTGCTTTTATGTTTTTTAGTATGTTTATATAGTTGTAAAGTGATTTTTTTTTAGATTTTCATAATATAAGTTTTTGATTCCTGCAAAAAAAAGAAAAATAATTTTTGTCCCAAGTTTTTCGAAAGATTAGATTAAATAATTAATATATATGAAAGTTATGAATATTATACATATATATATATATATATATGTATATATAGAGATATATAAAGTTAGAATAGAGAGTATACTATAGCAGGTTTAAGATTTTGAATTTATTCCATAGGGGGAGAACCTGATGTCAATTTTATCCAAAATAGAATATTAAATACTATTAGAATGTGTGAGAGACGACAGTATAGAGATACTTGTGAAATACTTATATCAGGCTGTTTAAATTAAAAACCTGCTATCATTATATCCGCTATTATTTTCACATACGCTTTCTCTGTTTCTAAATCTGATGAAGGCAATAAAGACAAGAAGAACAACAACAGCAAATCCAGCTAACGCAATTCCAATAATTCCTCCAGTTGATATTATCGGTGGACTTCCCGTAACTCCAATAGATTCTCCAACTGTAACTAGAAATGAGATTATTCTTATCAACACTTGAATTACTTAAATATATTTACGTTTAGGTTGATATAACTTTATTGGGCAATTGCCGTACTTTAACGTATTTATATCTCCTAAGAACTCCCATTTATCATCACTAATATATTTTGTTAACTCTAATTTCCAATCATTTTTAGGAAAAATTGCATGAGATTCTGTTAAATTTTCACTCCTAAAAATTAATTTCATTTTATCTGACGGATCCTCTGACGCTATGGAAAAATTTTTACGATTTGTTATTGTTGTTTTAACTATTAACGTTATTATTAATAATTTCCTCACCAGTTAGTAATATTGGTCGGTGATCATCGACTGATAGAACAAAATAAAAATCATCAATTTTTTCACCTCTAGACAGTACTTTTAGAGTTATTGGTTCATCCCATCTCTGATTAATTCTAGGGAATGGCTGAAAAATGTATATTTAAAGTTAAGAATTTTCTTAATTATATGAGCAATAATCTACCTCTGCATTAGAAGTAACTGAGGATGATATTTCATATGAGTAATCACCTTCCCATAAATGATTTTCTAGGAATATTCTGGCCCAATTCCAAAATTTTGTTTCGTTCGTTGGAAGGTTACCTTAATAAGAAACAGAAGGAAAAGAAAACTTTTATAGAATTGTTCATACGAAAGAAATAGACTACTGACTTGGTATACATTCAGGTTTTGCAGGTTCAAATTTTCTTGTTTCACTATTACAATATACCGTTGATGAACCATTCAGTTTATAATTTGAATAACACGTATAATCAATCTGCATAGTCTTGGTATTGGGCTTTGGTTGTCCATTGTCAATTGCAAAGGATCCACAAGCTAATAATAAACGGTAAAAATGATTATGTAATATACAAAAAGAAAGCTGTTTATTTCGATTATTCATCAGGTCACAGCTTTGTAGATGGTACGTAGTGGTATTTCAGTGCAGAGAATAAACAACTTTTTAATGTTATTCTATTTATTCTTTCTTACCTAGAATATCTCCGTTTCCTCTGTCAATCAATTTAAATATATAAATAAAAATTATAGTCAACGGTATATTTTCCATTTTCTGAAAAGATATAATTAGCTTATTATTTACGAAAAACGTAACGAGAGCGAACTATTTTGTACAGATATTATACTCTGTCTTTTACAACTTTTTTGCAATTATTTATCCTATGTGACACATAAAAATAAGAAAGCATCTTTCGTACCTGAAGTAACAAATTCTAGATAAGCAGTAATCCTCTATTAATGTTCAGAAACTTATAAAATAATTTGTTAAGATACAACATTGGCTCAAACAGCCATTTTTATATTATTAGGTTTAAGTGAACACGTGATATATCACGTGTCTCTTTCGGAAAAAGGTCAAGGTTATATATACATTTATTGTATCTCTTTGATGAAGTGGAGAAACTAGTATTATGTCAATTACGGATGAAACTATTAAAGATAATCTCAGTCACAACGACAGTCTAAAATCCGAAAGGTTATAAGTACATCATTAAATAGCATTGACGGTTGTATTCACAGGAAAAAATGTAAATTTTTGTAGTAGTGTTAGAAAAAACGATTTGGAAAAAGTTATTCAAGAAACAGCTGCAGACTATTCATCATATATTCAAGTTGATTCTTCGGAAGAAGTAAGGGTTCATTTAATATATTAATTTTTATGCCACAAAATTTTCGCATTGCAGCGTAATTTTGATTTTTTTTCTCCTTAAAGATTAAGAGATTCGACGATGAAATAGATGGATTAATGAATAAACTAGACGACTTTGTTAATCTCATTGAATTGGTAATTATAAATAATTTAGTAATTTCATATAATACAACATTTTCATTAATTACTATCGAAAAGATTCGAGAAGACTCAACGTGCTGCTATGGACAAATACTACCTCTGGTAGAAACTCAACTTGAATCTTTAGATCCGGTTTTCAATAGCATAGATAAACTAGAAATACTAATTGATACCATAAAGAAACAAATGAACACGCTTGAAGGACAAGTTTCAACGGCTGAAAGTCATTTTGGTACATTTTCAGGGATAAAAAAGTCATTTCTAGGAAGACTTTTTGGGGTAAAAAAAAAACAAACAAAATTTTTATTGTTCTTTTATCAATTTGCTTTCCAAATAGAAAAAACAATTGAATGAAGAAATTCCAAAATATGTTCGACCAGAGATATTTAAGACTGAAGACTTTTTTCAATAGAATATTAAAAAGAAAGGAAGAGAGAGAGAGAGAAATGTATACATATTTACAATTTCATAACTATACGAAATAATACAAATTATTATTTTTTGTATTATGTTACAATCTTATTAAATATTAGATTGCGTAATTTATTAAAGAGAAATCTTTTATAGCATTTAATCCTTTTTTCTATTAAAAATAGAAACTTTTGTGGAGAGACTAACTAAAATATATATACAGTTAATGAAATAAATGATATTTTTCTATCTAGTGATCTTGTCTTTTTTAAATGCTTTTGAAGAGAAGACAAATGATTATAAACATAATTTTGAATAGCTAAAACTAGGATTCTTTTACCTAAAGTCTAGCTTGATGAATTAAAAGTTAAAAAATGTCTTATTGACTCAAAACAACATTTATATAATACAATAGACTGAAGACATCCGTAAAAGTATAGCAGTTTCCTGTAAAAATAGTTTGTAAATAAGGTAAAGGTTAATTGGTATACTTAAATTAATTAAATCTTACTCGTAGTCATTTGTACTTTGACATTTCTCCTTATTCCTGATACCATTAACCTTTAAGGCTTGGTAAGCGTTTTGTAAATAAATATTCCATGTTGCAATTGTTATTATTATATATAACAGCAGGTTAAAGATTAATATTATGTTTAAAATTTTATGGATACTTTTTATAGGATAATCGAAACTTTTTAATTTGAATTTCAAGAGAAAGCTCGTTAAATATAAAGCAGATCCTGGAGCTAAGATATTCAAAGCAAAGATTATATGAGTATAATCCGACTCGTAACGTAGTTGATATGATATTGCACAATCTTTCGAATGATTTTTCATCATTGTTGAATTGATATAGCTTGTAAAGTCAGTTTCACTCATTACTGTATCAATTCTATATCCATCGTTCATAATAATAAATATAGTTGCAGGTATTATAAATATCTCTATTATCAATAGTGACGAAAATTCAATAAAGAATAAAGAATCATTAAATAAGACCTTTACAGTCCCCTTTTTAACGAGTAATTCTTCTTGGCGTAATGCATGATTATTAGTCTGCATTGTTAGTGATTTATCAAGCGATTTTTCTCCAAAAAAGGATTTAATAAAAAATGTTACATATAGAGAAATACTTCCGATCAAATAGAAAAATGATGGAATTCCAATTGTAAAGAATATGCCAACAATTAATCTATGAATGCTATTCAAATATTGTAATTATTAATAAATGAATGATATTCCTATTTTATAACTCACGAGAATTCACTTTCTTGTATTTTAAATTTATTCAAGTGAAGATTATTATGAGCAGATTTGAAAAAGGTAATATAAATGCATATAATAAATCCTGAGGAGTAGTTCAAACCCATAACAATATAAAAAGGTATTTGAAATTTCTCTCCAACAACTTTGATGTAAATTGGATGGAATTTAATAGGTAATAATATAAAAATTGAATAAAGTATGAGTGATAAGGCGACTAGTTGGCAATTCCTGAAAATGTATAGTATATATCGTTAATATAATTTAATTTGATAATTGATGTCTTGTACCAGTTTCCAACGGATTCCAAATGAACAACTATTGAATTATTATTATCAATATCGGAGAGATTTTTTATATCCTCATAACTTATTATCTTTGCAAGAGATAATCCTCTTTTCAAGCGTATCTGTTCAATCTTACTTATCTTTGACGAAGTATTTTTGAATGCTATAAAGTTAGCAATTGGGATTGCTATGACAGCTATTATGATTGATGAAACAAGTAATATACATTTGACTGTGGCAGACATCTTGGAAAAATGATAGAATGATATATTCAATGACTCATTGATTATTTTAGCAACCATGACAAACACAGTTGCAAACTTGAACAAACTGTATTAGAATATAGTGAACCAATACATGTATATAAATATGTAAAATAGATAACTATTTATATTTCATAGAATACAAGAAATTTTATTATTTCAACTTAATGATATATTGATAAGTATAGGGAAAAACAAGGAGCAAATGTTGAAAAGTATTTAAAATTCTCTCTTCTAATTATAAAATTAACTATTCAATTTGTTTGGACATGTTCATTGTGTTTTTTGTTATTGAAATTCAATACATTTTAAATAAAATTAAGGTCAAAGAATTAACTAATTTTTGTTAAAAACCAACGCATGTGTAACCTTAGTTCAACAATCTATTTGTATTTAAATTAAAATATTTTAGATAAAGTATTAGTCTGGATTAGAAAATCATACAAAAAGGATTATACATCATTAATTCCTCCAAAATTAAAATTGACAAAGCAAATAGCAAAATTGAATAATCCTGTTTTTGCTTTGTTGCAGGCTAGTTTCCTCTATAACTGATATATTTTATACATATACATATATGTATATATATATATAATGGATAGGGAAACTGAAGGAAGAAAGGGAATATTGAAATTTATCATACCGTTCTGTGTATTCAGTGTTTTATTCATCTACTTTTTTGTGATTGGAATGGCTATGTATAGTCAGTAAGTATATAATTTTTAATACATTGTTATAAATAATTTATTCTTTGCTCGCATCAATTTATTCCCCTCCATATATTAACAGAGGAGTTTCTCTTTATGGAATTTGTATTGCCTTCTCTCTTTCATGCTATTCTTTTGGATTTTTTTATTTTATTCTTAGAAAATACACGTATCAATTGTTCTCATGGTGCAAATTGACAAATCGACGCAGGAGAATTGATAATCAATCGTCGCCTTCATCTGAATCATATACTAACTTACAAGTAACAAGATTACCATTTACTGTATGTAATATAAAAGAATCTTAATTTTTAGACAAGAAATTCTATATTTTCTTTTAAAAGACAGTTTCAAAAATACCAAATGAGCAAGCGAGAGGGAATTGTGGAATGGCAATGCCACCTATTGTGAGTACAGTGAATTAAATAAAAAATTTCATTTATATACTTGTACGTCCTTGATTCTTCTTTACTAGTATTCTTCAACTGTTGATCTCTCTGAACAACCTCCAGAATATTCATCAATACCTCCAAGCTACAATGCAGTTGTTAGACATATCTAAGAAGAGTTTACCGCCTTCAAGATAAAAAAACAAAGATGAAATATAGTGATTTTTCATAATCTGTCCAACAATTTATCATTCTGTTAAATGACTAGCTCTAAATCTATTTAACTAAAATATAAACCTTAAATATCAATATGATCTTTCAGCATGTGTATTTTAAAGAATAGTCATAGAGTCAGTTTCTTCCAAAATTTTATGAAAAAGGTAGTCTACTTTCAAATTTGAATTTACTTTTCTGTCTGTCTATTAGTGAGATACTTTTAATAGAAATTAAAATGATCATAACTTATCCATCTTTAGTTGAGAATTATAAAATCTTTTTCTTATGTAGTTTGTAATAAATAAAGATTTTATTATAAGAATACTCCTTTTGGCTTATTAGTATGGTATATACTGTATATAAATTTATATATAAATAATATCTGCTTAATAAATATAGGATAAGAATGTAACAACATAGTTATTAAACTTTGAAAAGAGCCAATTATAAAAGGTAATAGAAAACTTTCTTACCACGAAAATAAATTCATAATATCGATTATTAAATCTTTATACTATACAGTATATATACTTTTATATAAACAGTATATATTTATATTTAAAATAATCGTTTTTAATGGTTGTTAGTGTAATATTATAGTAGAGAAGTATAATATTATGATTTTATTTCTTGTTTCTCTGCCGTACATTATAATTAGTTTCGTTATTAATTACTATAATTTACTATTAACAATGTAACTAGTTAAATGATGATTCGTCTATTATTAATGTGCAAATTTCATAATACATTGATAAATGAAACTATTTTTGTATATTTGGATCTGATTTATAAGTGACAAAGATATATTATATGTTGTATTTGTATGAATGACATTTAGACAAGGATTTTATCCTAAAACTGCCTGAAAAATTTACAATTATTGCTGTACAAACGATATAATTCATTATGTTAACATTCTTTGTATAATTTTTTCAACTGCTATTAACGTAGGTTGAACTTCCGGGATATTAAATCTAATATTTTATGGTATCGATCATTTAGGAGAGCCGAACTGTATCTATACCTAACAAACATTTATTTAGTAGCTAAGGATAGGAGGCTTATATTGGACAAGGCCAGGGAATGGGCCAAAACTATATTGCATTATATTTTTCTAATCAGCCTATCATCTCTTTACAATTGAAACACCAAGAAGGACATTAATCACACAGGAAGTTCTCAGAGCAATCTATGTAAAGGTCTTAACGAACAGAAGATTTATTTTGAAATTATTTACATATATTTTATAGAGAGAAACTAAAATCATTTAATTTAACTCTTGGGAATAGTTGAGAATAAGTTGGAATTTTATTCTACTTCTTGTTTATATAGCATTTTAGAAATATGAAATGGTCTTCCGTATTAATATTTGGAATAGTTTCAATATTTTTCGGTCTTTTTCTACTATCTACACCAATATCATCAATCATTATTTGGTTGGGGAGCAACTTCGATGTTGAGATTATTCAATTACACAATACAACCGGAAATGTAACAAATAGTAAACATATTTCAGTGTCTTCTTTGAAAAATATTACAGCAGAGAATGACTTCAATTTCAGATTTTTGATAACTTCAAATGTTGCGGGGTAAATTTTAGACGATAATATTTGTTTATAGTACTTCCTTCATGTTTAATTTTATTCGATTAGATTGTATGGTCCATTCGTAATCTCCTTAGGAGTATTCACCATCCTAAGTCTTTTTTGTGTTCTAAAAACTGGTGCCCGAGACTATGATATGACTGGTTTTTGGATAGTTTTTATCATATTAAACTTACCGTGTATTAGTAATATCATTTATATTTTGGAAATATTAAAATATGACTCTGGAGATATGAATTTTACAAGTATTAATGTAACGGTCATTGAAAAGTTCTCGTAAGTTTGAACATAATTATAATTTTCTAAATATAATATATTATATACTGTATATATTTCCATTACATGTTTAATATATCTTGAAAAGTTCGGTGTCAATTGTAATAATAGTTTATAACTTCATTTTTGGACTGGGATCGGGAATTTTGTTATGCATTTTGGTACTTTCCGTTGTCTGTTGTTCGATAGCAGATATCTTTTGTAATGGTAAGGAAAAATATAATCTAATGAGCTAAATTGAAATAAATGAACTTTTACTTCAGGTTGTAACTATTTAGAGGAGTATAGATTATTTATTTCGATGCGATTTATTAAAGTAAACACTGTTAATTGGGTAAAATCAATTAAATTTCGTAATAGAAAATCAAGTCAAGAATATCCTGTTAGTTTTAATAAAATAAACAATATATTAGTAATATTTATATAGTAATTTCTATAAACCTAAATGTTAAACAGGCAATAGAAATGAAGTATTTTTCTCAAAACTTTAAAAATCCATCCGAATTTGTAATGTTAAGAACCGAAAACGAAACTATGATTAATGTTGGTTTAAAGTCCCAAAATCTTCCAAATAGTTAAATCAAGAAAATATCTGCTTAATTGAAAAAAAGCTGACCAAGAGTCTTTCTTATTTATTAGAGAAAAATGCAAAGAAGAGATGGGATGAGAAGGATGAATAATAAGTATTATATAAAAATTATGAAGTAGAAGATTGTTTTTCTGTTGTTACCTTTCCAACAAAATTCTCTAAAGTGACTTTCTAATATTATAGAGCTAGTATACACTGTACATTGTACATACATTTATGTATAAGTGTCTGTATGTATGTATACATACATACATTCATTAATTTACGTTCATGAAAAATATTGAATAAATGAAATTTAGATAAACATCTGTTGCGCATAACTCAAATCAATAAAGCCACCCAACATATAGATATATACATATAATTGTATCAAGAAACAAACCAAATAACTTATATTTTATAATTCAATGTTAACAAGTGGTCAATCAATTATTTTCCGATATTCAATTAAAACATATCAACAAGTTTAGCTTATAAGGATTAAAAAAATGGACAAATTTAGAAATAAATACGAGTTTTTATTGTTTTTAATATTGTTAATAACTCAGATATTTTCAATTGGCTTTTTAACAACTTTCGTCTGGATTGAAGCAAATAAAATTAACTATTTTGGATTAAATAAAGGGTAAATTATCAATTTTTACTTTAATCTAAATGATTTACTGTTCTTTTTCAATGTATACTATATATATATATAGTTTGATATTTTCAACATATTCTTACAGGAGATCTAGTTCTGCAATATTAATTTTTGAACTTTATATTATGATGAGCTATCCTTATTTGATATATTTCTTTGGTAGTCGATTAAAGAGAATATTCTTCTTTGTATATTGTTATACATTATCTATTGTTCTAATGCCGTTCTTTTCTCAATTCATCAAATATTATCAAGTAAACTTTGAAATTATGGATAATACTATACAACGTAACGATACTACTGAATCGTATGTATTATTTGTATTCATTTTTACAACATCAAGTAGCTATAACTCTATTTTCAGGAATTTTTCTATTAACAACACAATATTAGCCTTTGGTATAATGATGATGCTTGAATTAAACACTATTACGTTATTTTTACCGTGTTTCTGTTGGGTTTTGTGCTTGGATAATAAAACTTTGCACAATCATAGAATTAAGGTTGGAGGTTAACATATATATTGTCTTTTTTGGGGGAGTAGTTTTTTTATATTTCATAATAGTAATATCCTATAATTTTTCGTTGAAGACTGATTCTTCTAGCGATGAGGAGCCTGACGGTGATCGTAATGACGAATTTAATATTCAAGAGGAGGCGGAGGAGGAAGAGACGCCTGAAATATATGTTAGAGAGAGATCTCATTCTCTTGGTCATTATCGTGTTTCTGTATGTGTACATTTTAAAATAGTATAAATATAAGTGAAATATAAATATTATCATCCTAAAACAGACTATTCAGGATCAAATAGGATTTTTGGAAGGATGTGATATCGAAGTTAGAAATCAAGCAGCAAGTCCACCTAGTTATAGATCAAGAGCGCCAAGTTATTCATCACAACCACCTTCATATTCGGATACGATTTTCAACGATGACGACACATCAGCTATCAGTCGAGAAGAGATAATCTTAGGAATAACAAATGGATCGGGATTGACTGAATATCCAATATGAAAATTTTTAGTGTTCAATAGACGTCTTTTTTACAATTTATAAAACATGTAGATAGATTAAACTTTTTATTAATAAATCTGAAGTCATAAAGTATAAATTTTATATCTATGAGTTGTATAAGTGCAGTAAATCCTTTCATGAGACACTTCTAAATAATGTTTAAGTAGATTTATAATTGATGAATCTCAATCGATGTTCTATTGTTTTATCAGTTTATGGTATTGGCTGCATACAGCGCTTGGAATTCATTTGACTTTCAGTAATTTTCATGCAATATCAAGAAAGCTTTTTAAATGTTCAAATGCTGTGGAATATTATCCTAATTTTTTCACTTATCCTTTCTTCTGGTAGTTATACTTTTCGGAGTATTCTGACGAGAATTTTTTAATTTTTTAATCAACAGCCTGCTCCCAAAATAGTTGCCAAGCTGGTTTTCAACTTAAAGGAAAGGGTTGTTATAAGATCTACACAAATTTGGCTTCTGGTGATCAAGCTAAACAGATATGTGAAACTGACGGATATTCATTAGCAAGTTTATATCTTAAAGAGAGTTACGAGGCTGTTAATGAATGGTTAAATTCTGGAGGTATATTTTGGTTTAATTTTTGAACAAGATAAAATGAATATTCTGTTAATTTAGTCATAACGGACTCCTGCTTATTAAACGGCGCCTATGATACAGCTAAGAAACGTTGGTACTGGAATACAAAATTTGGTCCTGTTGAATTTGATTTTAATTGGGTCCAGTTTGCTGTAGGTGAACCGAATAATGTGAGTTACTTTTAATGAATACTATTATCATAGCTGATTTGGAAGTTAAATACCCTTTTTCAAAATTTCCTCTTCAGTTAAAAATTGTTAAATTTTAATTATTATAATGTAGAGCAGAAAATTATTGATGTTTTTGCAAAATGGCTACTGAATTGGCTGATCATTTAACAGTTGTATCCAATGATAATGTGGGAAAATTTTATTATTTTATCCCGCAGTTAAATATCTCCTCTATGTCTTTAATAGTTTATTATATTCGAAATGCCAATAATAGGCATTTCTATCGGAATGTTGGACATAAGAAAGATATTGAATAAAACGTAAAATTACTAGGCTTGAAAATATTCAGATAATCTGTTCAAAGTATATAGAAAAAACATATCAAACAACGGAACAGTGGTATATACAGTATATCAAAAATATCAACTCCCAACATTTCAAAAGTTAAGGATGAAAAAATTCTTTGAAAGGTTTTACGAATAAAAATGGAGCAGTATCTAAATGGGGCTGCTTAAAGTCAGATAGAATCAAAGAAATTAAACTGTGTAATGGATACATCGATATCATTAAATACCAAAGATATTAAAAGGAAACCTTTCCGTTTTATTTGAAAGACATAATACACCGATACAGGATGGAACGAAGTCCAATACAAAGACTGACCAGCCAACAGTCCTGAGCTCAATATAACCGAAAACTTATTGGCGTACATAAAAAAAACCGTATGCCAAAGCATGAAATGAGCAATTACGATGATTTATGGATAAACAGGGAAATTTCACAAAGTACCTAAAGTTTTCACAAAAGACTTAGACTGTATAAAAAAATCTTTGTTATAGTATAAAATATTACAAATGAAAATATACATTACTTCGTCATACAGTATATGAAATATACTAAAACATTGTCAAAATGTAAAAATAGAACACTTTTTATCTGTAATAGAGAATTATTCTCAAATATTTATCACCTTCCGATATTAGATGATCAGTCAAGTTAGTAGCCTTTTCGATATTGTATAGTATATATTCGTTACATTTTAGATTAATTCACCACACAATGCAGCTTTTTTAAAAAAAGCACCTAGTACAGAGTTCCATCTGGATGATTGGACAAAACCTTCAAAAGCCGATCACTTTCTTTGCGAAGATGGTATGTTAAAAACATTTAAAGATCTTGAAATACATTCAAATTGCATCAAGAGTTACAATAATTTATATATTTAAAATATCAACTACATTTTCAAACATAAACATAATGGGATAATAGTAACATATACAAAAGGAATTTACATTAAATTGGCTATAGGCTAGATTTTGTGGTGATGTATATATTGAAAGTTTTTACTTAACGTTATATAATCTGTTCGCTGGGAAATTTTCTTATGCAAATATATAAAGAATAATATAAATATATTCACAAATCTTTAAAAGCTGAATATTTTCATCCTTCGCAGCTTTGGAAATAATTGTTAAGATTTTCTGGTGTAAAGTCCACTATTTTCATGATTCATAATATATATTGTATTTTCTGAGCAATATACAATATATATACTGTATACACAATAAATCAAATTATGGAAGAGTCTATTGAAGATATCTCTACAAATTTTTTATAAATTATTCATTATATTTGTAGAAATTCTATTATGAATTTCATTGCTTCGTGGTTATGTCTATTTTAAGATGGTTGTGTTTTGCAATGTGCTTTCGTTTTACGGCGTGTAATTTTTTTATACATGTCAATTTTCAATAGAAGTTCTCAGGAAACAGAGAGAGAGAGAGAGAAGTAAGGTAAGATAATAAATATTTACGTATATTCTTCTATTTGTATAGGCATCTAAGATCAAATAATATTGAATATTAAAGAAAAGAGTCGAAATTGATTTTTATCCTACATTCGTTTCTTATTAAAATGTTATAAATTAACTACAGTCTGTTACACTTAATTTTATATTTAATAGGATGAAATTAGTACTGTTTCATACATTTTGCGCTAGATGTGCAACTACTATATAGTCTTAATGAATATTTACAAATTAAATTAATACTATCTATAAAAATACTTCTTTAGTTACCTTTTCTTGATAAATAGTTCAGCTGTAACAATCATCCTTGTAAAACGATTTAGAAATAGCAACACTCTATAACTTACAAGGATATAAATTATTTTTATCAGAGCAGAAAATGAAAAAACAATCAATCACAGTCAACAAGACGTTCACCATTCTCTACTCTGGAAATATCTTCCTCTCAATGACTTTTGTCGGGTTCTCACTTCTAATGCCCACTATTCAAAAGACTATGAAAAATTACTGCAGAAATACTAATTCAAATTGCTTGGTTGATGGAAATAAATTCAACTCAAACTTTGAAATCTTGTAATAATCTTTTTTTGAATCACAACAACCATTATAGCTTTTTTCGTTTTATAACAGTCAAATTATTATTGGAGCCACATTCATTTTACTAGCATTTATTCTTACTCCTGTAGTTATTTATTATCTAAAGAGGAAGATAGATCTGGAATTACCATTATTCATGGTTCGTTTAGGTATATTCTTGGCAATTATGAGTATTATGTTCTGTATATTCTGTATCCTTTTTTATGAATTGTCCATTGGCAATTTACATAGAATTAAAAATATGTAAGTATTCTATTAAGATGATATTAAATATATCTAATTTTTTAAATGAACACAGCGTAATCATCCCAAGTTCCATTTGTTTGGGCTGGTCGTCGTTTGCCTTAGTCTATTTTGTTTCCTATCTCGATTTATCAACAATTTCTTTAATTTTAAAAAGATTTTTTCTGAAAGCCAATCATTCTTTAGATTATGCTTCTAGTGGAGATAAATATCTAAAACTACTAGCAATATCAACAAAGACAATAACACCAGAGACTCGGATATTTTGAAAGAATATGACTTCAACTTGAAACTTTTTAATAGTACAAAAGATTGCTATTCAATGAATAATCAATTTATACTTTGGTATTTAAATTCAATGTATTTCTTACTGATTAAAAGTTAGTCAAGTTACGTGGAAAGGTTACAGGATGCGATTAATTATTTCCTGTGAACAAAATAGACCAATACAGATAATTCATAATAAATGTGATAAATATACATTATTAGTCCAGTTGTTTGTTCCAGAATAAGGAGCTGAAACTGTAATTTCTTTAGATACTTTTATACAAAATAATTAATCATTTCTATATTTAGAGATTGTTTCTAGATACTTATTAAACTAAAGAAGGACAATATAAAATATATAAGAGTACGTATATATTTTATATATACTATATATATAGTAAGAATATATATTAGCATCTTTATGTATACTATATCCAGTTCAAGTGCATGTAGCTTATCTTATTTTAGTGGCAAAGGGGAATTAAATTAATTAAGAAATTTATTATCTGCTAGTCTCGAATGCATTTAGTGCAAATTTATTGAAACGTCATCAAGTGGTGAAAAAATAGAACACTAAAGATAATTTTGTATGTCTCCAAAACAACTCAATACTTCTAGCTGTAAAAACACTTGACAACACTACCATTACATCCTACTTCCTGATTACTTTTAACTCTTCTTAATCGTAGAATATTAAAATTAAAATAGATATCGTCGCGAATTTTTACGAATATATAATAAAAGTTCGTTCTCCCTATACTGATAGGAATGCAAAAGGAAATAATAATATAAATTAATATTAAGCTCTTTTTTTTTAGATGAACAGTTGATTATAGCACAGTAAGACAAGCTGACCAAAGCCGTCTAGCTGACCAAAACGTATTACTAAAGATATTTAAAAAAGATGGAAAAAGACAGCGGGGATGGCGGAACTATAATTAATCCGCAATTAATTTCTTCTAAATTCATTGTATTTTATATTGAAAGTATTGTTCTCAAGAGAGGATTGAGAAGAGTCACTAAAAATATATTATATCTCTCATTGACAATGAAAAATATTTAATTTCATACTTTACTAATTAAACAAAGTTTTTAATATAATAGTTTAATGTGTATACAACGAATAATTTTTCTGATAAAAAATGATTTGTCACGTGATCCTAATTAAATTAGCTATCAACTAAAATAGTAATACAATAAGAAAGCGTTAGAATTGGCTTGTCTATATTCTGGTTATATTTTACACAATCAATCTATTAACGTCTTATTCGACTTCAAGCGTTTCTTGTATTTTTTTTAAATCTTCGTATTAATTGTTATTTTAATAGTTCTATTTTCAATATAAATGTAGACAGAAAACTTTAAGAAATAAATATAAATACTACGAAAGATGAATATACTTTGAGAACTATTAATAAAGTCAATAAAATAATTACAGTTGATGAAAGATAGTACTAAATTACAAAAAATACAAATAGAGTTCTTCGAAACGCAAACTGCAAAAATGACTGAGAAAAATATACCTTGAACTGTAGCAAAGAATTAAAAAAATTAGTACACTATTACTCCTATATCATTCATTGTTAAATCATGAACCGATAAAAGATAATAGCATCTTCTCATATAAAATTTGTATAGTTTCTAAAAAATAATAAAAGAAATAAATAATATATTGTTTTCCTTTTATGGAAAAAAATCAATAGTTGACTGCATAATTTAATTTTCGCGTGGGTTTATAAACTGCTTACAAGCTTCGTCACATCTCACTTTGTAATGATTAAGGTAACAATTGTGTAATTTCATTACTGTCATGTTTCTTCTTTTTTGTTCATTTTAACACTAACCTATTTTTTTGTTATGTTTTAGTATATTCCATTTGATTTAAAAACTTGAATTATTTAATCATTATGGGAAAGCTTATTAATAACTGGTTTTCGGCAATTGGTATCTTTATCATTGTATTTATCGTTTTCCCGTCAGTCTATATACTGATGTTGAAAGATAATATTTACAAAGCCTACGAAATTATGCCAAAGGAAAGTCGAACGGCCGCTGAGGATGTTATCAAGGCCAATGTTGATTCGAATATGGAAATTTCAACAAATAATTTTTCATTGCTGAAAAATTATCTAAGTTCTCATAAAAGACATGAAAATGTAAAAATTGAACAATCTAACGTTTCAACTGTTAAACAAAAGATTCAAGCAGATGTAAAGTGGTTTATTGCTGGGTAATTGTAATTTTGAATTTGATATAGTTTCATTTAGAATTTAGTATAGTACTTATACTCCATTATTTTTCAGTGAATACGGACCTTTTGTTCTATTTTTAACTTTATTTGGCTTTTCTGCATTCTTTTGTCTACCGACAAGTTTCTTCTATATTTACAAAAGATGCTCAATAGATAATCCTCAGGACATGCATTATAAGACGAGAAAACAATTGTACTGCCTACTAATTTTGCTTATTGTTTGCTTACCAATGGCAACAATTTCAATGTATACATTTTTCTTTAAAGCTCTAAGGAGTAGAGAAGATATACAATCAAAAGTTATTATTGAATCTTTTCGTCATCAGATTGGGTAAATGACCATTTAATTATAATATCTTATGATTTTGTATTTCAAACAACATTTTACAAATAATTCAGATATTACGAAATTGCCTTATATGCACTATTTATGATGGGAGCTGGGTTTTCTTTAATGATTCCTTGCGCTTCTATTTATCTTTTACGCCAATTAAATCAAGAACAATACTCATTCGATGATTATTTCGGTGATGATGACGTATTTAACACTACTGTTGTGGTACCAGCTTCATCTCCTGATCCTGAATCTCCAAAAGTTACAAGTCCCAAATTTCTAATTTCGGTAAAGATATGAAAGCTAAAACATTTATCACACTTTTCATTATATTTGCAGTTTCCAGGTTTAAATATTAATAAGAAAAAAATAATAGCTCCTCCAAGCTACAAGCTAAGGCCTCCAAACTATGAAGAAGCTGTACTTACTCATTATACCTTTGAGCAAATAGATTGAAAACAAAAAGTATTTCCGCTTATCTTTCACCCGGTTGTCCATCATCACAGAAGCTTTTATCTCCTTTTAAGCCTATTTTATCCAAGAAACAAAGACTTTTTTCAATTAAAGATAAATGTTAATTTGATTTATCAGCTTCTTAATGTATAAATTGTATTGAATGAATGTTTCTCCTTTTAAATAACTTCACGAGATTGACAAAAAGGTTAATGACCGTTCATTAAATATTCGTTTATTATAGTAACGAATTATATCTCTTCATGTTTGATATATAAATACTTTTCAGTAATAAAATACATATATAAAGATAGAAAGTAAAGTAAAACGCAATTAATAACACAATTAATAGAATATCTCATTAATTTAAAAAAAAAATTGCTTAATTATGATTATAGATGAGTATTATGAAGATTGAAGAAAGGACTTAAAACAGATATGAATATAAAAATTTTTAGACAATTAGAATATGGTTAAAAGTGAAAATACACATCAGTTAAATTATCCGGAAAGTGTCATCTTGCAGAGAATAATTACTTATTGGTTCTATTTATATTAACGAAAACTTACTTGTCAACTATACAGTATTACTGTATAAACTAAAGATATAAAATATACTCTGTAACACATTATTCTCATTTTCCAGTATTTTCTAATTATATTTAAATGTATATCTACAATATTCTTTTGCTATATATAATAATGATATAATTAAGTGATGATATTTCTCTTCCTTTCATGCGTTCTTCCCTCTTAAACGCCTACACAATATCCACTAATATAGAGATTGTTATCATTGCTTTTATTCTCAATTAAACAGACATTTTACTTTTTAATTATTCAAATGATTTATCTTCTTTTAGAGGATATTGTCTATCATGGACTAAACTGGAAATAATATTTTTGTTTCTATGTGTGTTTCACAAATGCTTATTATGCTAAATATGAAAAGAGAGAAGAAAAGAAATAAATTAATCTTATAATATCAACATTCTTCCCGAATCGTCCAACATCAAACAGATTTTGAAAATCTTTTGTGTCTTTAATCTATGTGAAACTAAATTTAGATATATCTGTATTAGTAAAACAGGAACACAAAAATATTCTTTGTTTCTGGTAAAAGAATGGAAACAGTGTTAAAAACGTAATAGAATGACATGTTAAGGTTTTACACTAAATAGTGTTTCCATTGCGTTTTTCTCCATCTCTGATAGTGTTATCAGAATTTTTGATGCATCATCAATATATTTAACATCTTCAGTTTCAGCAACTTCCTCGAAAAGTTGGGCAACTTGTGTCCAAAGTTTACTGATTTCTTTAAAATCAATGTAGGCATCATGATATTCCTCTGTACCAAGCAATTCGTAAGACTCGAGTAAGAAATCGCGATACATATTGCGGAATACAGCACCACCCGTTCCAGCTCTCTCCATAAGCATTGCTAAAGTTCCAAAATCCTTTTTGACATCTTTGCTTTCTTTAAACCACTTTTTAATTTCTGTGCTACTCTTAAGAATTCCTTTGTAGCCCATGTTCGATATTGGAGGGTTTAAATAGCTTTTTGCATTATTATAAATGGCATTTTTAATAACAGCCTTTAAATCATAGGGTTCTGATCCTTTCTCTATAATAAAACTCTTATTTTTAGATGACATTGGAGCTTTTTCACTTCTTGCTAGTTCTAAATTCTTTAATTTGGTTTTTAATTCCTTTTGTTCCGCTGTATCAATCATATATGCGTCCGTTTCGTCATATCCAAATATTGTTGCATAATGGGCTCCAAAGTGAATCTTTTCAGGCATATAATCCATATAATCCAAATGGTAACAATCTAATTTTAGACCAACTGGAATGTCTTGATTCTTTAACATTTGTCCAAGCCTTTTTAATTGAAGCAGTTTCTTTTAATTCAACCTTTAGGTTTAAATTTTCGCAAATTTTTTGTAATAATCCATCCGGTTTAGGCCGTCCACCAAAAAATGGTGTATCCATAGATTTCATTCTCCAACCCATATAATTTAGCCCTTCACCAATACCGAACAACATCGGTTCGGAGAGATCAATACCTAGATGTTTCAGCAAACATCCAACAGCTGTTGTCTCGCAATGTTGACCAAAAAAAGGTTTAAAGTTGTGTACTTTTTTCAAACTCATGCTGTTAACTGTAATTGTTGATTCCAAACGCAATTTACCTGCTAAATGGAGATTAAAAGAAGTGCACTCAAACAAGCAGACTACAAATTTTGATAATTCAAGTTTATTTTTAGAATATTATTGCTATTACTCTCTCAGGTAAATTTTATCTTATTAATCGGCAAGAGATACGGAAGAGGATAATCAACTTTAGAAATTAAGCAATTATAACACATAAATAAGAAAAATATCGAAACCGGAAAGGGAAATAGTTTTCAATTCGTTACGTTTTTAAATTTCGTTTAAAACTATTCTTCTGTTCTGTTGAAATCAACTAATAATATTACCGAATTTATTGAAAAATTAATACTTCAAAAATCGTGTCAGTAGAGTAGAGTAGTTTGGTTAATCTCTGACTGTAAAACGCAAATGATTCTCTATAGCTATATCTTACAAAACAAGTAGAAAGTAAATTTAGATTGTATTGAAGGAAAGTATATATATATATGTTGGATCGACAAACTACAAACGTCGATAATGGACTTTACATAGGGGAAGATTAGTCATGTTCTTAATGAATTGAATTTGAAGATAACATAGTTCAAATAATAGTCAAGATTCAAGGACGATTTTAAATGTTTCAGGTCTTCTTAAACATTTATGGAAGAGTTAAATATAAGAAAAAAAGATATAATATATACGTAAATAACATTGTATATAACGATCTATGTTGATATACAGCAAATATTTATGAAGCTTTTGTTTTTCTTAATTGCCATATAGTCTTTCCTTTTAGACTCTGTAAATACGAAAGAAGATAAGATTGAACAGGTAATCCGTATTTTCTGATATTTTGTCTAATGATAAAGTTACTTTAAATGGCTAATAATGTTTATTTCTTATGTACAATTGAACTATAGGAAGGAGGAGGAGTCATATCATTATCCTTGTTTATGTTTCTTCAAGTACAAAAACAAAAAATTGAAGAATATTAATTAGAAATTGAATATTTGAACAATAAATTGTTTACCTTGTTGGGTTAACGTTGGTAGTCCTATATAAATAAGTAGCAGTATCCCTTTTTCTTGATATGTTGTTTATTTCTGAAGGATCTCTTTCCTGGTAAAAATATAGATATGTTATTTAGATATACTATAGATACTCTATTAGATATAGCATATAGTTTACGAAAGTTTGCTTGAAATAGATTGATTTGAAATATTTAATATAAATTGACTTACAATCTCTTCTTCGTTTCGGATATCACTTGAAATTTTTGCTGCTGCTTCTGCAATAATATATTTACAGTATATTATAATCAAATTTACTTATATTAATTAAAATAAAGCTTTACTCTTTTTTTCCATAAAGTATATCAATATTAATGCTGAACGCCAAACAAAAAGTGGGACTGCTACTACTAATCCATAGATCATTCGTATTCCATATTTATAATATTTACTATTATGTGGATTATTGTAGTCTCCGCATACTTTCAAGCTATTAACTGATGGATCATATATGACTAAGTAAAACATGTTCAAGCATATTATATACGCATAGTTAATATTCATTAAACCAGCAATTCCAATTTTAAAATTTAAACTTCCATAATCTAAATACTTTAGACCAAATGGTAATCCAAAACCCCCAAGTAAGACAGCAACGACCGTCGTAGCTATCATATAGCATTGATATTTTCTAAAAGTGATCATATTTTCCATTTATTTAAATAATGTATAAATAATAATAAAGTTTAACACTTACGGTACTATGAATGATGTTACAATACAAACTTTCGTATTTATAGTTGGGACCTCAGTTTTATTGATTTCGTAGGGTTTTAGTGATACATCTTCAGGTATGGCTTTATATGAAATTATCTCACCAAAATTTTCCCTCCAAATGATAATGTGGTAAATAGGGCCAATAGTAACGCTTGCCAATATGCCTAAGAATGTGATATTCGCACACAACAGCAAAATTCCTTCTTTAGCAACCATATTTCTTAGTAATGTTTATCACAAATTTACTGGTATAACCAAATAAATTTCTTGATCAACACATTCGCGTCTACAAGTTTTTCTGTTAAATATACTTCAACGAAGACTTGTTGACGAACGAATGTATCTTTTATTAATTATTTTCACTATTTATACCATTTTCTTCAGTTAGCACTACTCAATCATAAGCAAAAACTGATAATTAGGCCTGAGTGAATAAATGTTTTCAATATGACATTTTTTTTAGTCTCAGTCTAAATTAGGTTGGAAAGGTTGTGTTATATATATACAGTATATATGTTTTACAATGCTATATATATATATAAAAGATCATCTATAACAATATTAAAGCTACATGGTGTTTTTCAACTTTCTCTAAAGCGTTACAATTTCAAATGTAATTAATTAATCTTTTTGCCTCTTTGATATTTTAATTAAAACAACTTAAAATACTAGTTAAACATTACAAACAATTATTTTTATTGATTATTTATAGAAGTTTTTATTTGAAAAAATATTAATTTGCTAAAATAGAAAAAAAGGAACAATTAAAATGTTTTTTGTTGAAAAACGTTGAAAATGATAAAAAGTCCCCTAATCGGTAAATATATATCTATATATCTATATATATATCTATATATCTATATATATATATATATATATATGTATATATATATCGTATAAAAGATAAAAATAGGTTACAAGCTTTTTAAATATCAATGACAATTAATAAAAGAAAAAAATATTTATAATATAAAAATGGTACTTTTGTTCAATTCTTTAAATTTTCTCTATCTTTACTTAGCCAATTAAAGATTGTTACTTACTGATTTATTTCTTTGAAATAAAATCCATTTCTGTAAATTCCTTGTTATAAAGGAAAAAGAATAATACGGTTATGTAAAATAAGGAAAATGATATCATTCAACTTACTAAATTGGAGTGATTTTGAATATCATTTGAGATTTCGTCAATATTTTCTAAATTTAAAAAAACAAATGGAAAATATTTTATAAGAAACAAGCAAGGAAATAAATTTTTACCAGCGCATTCTTTACTATACATCCATAAAAGTATTGACCTCCAAATGAGTAGTGGTATAGCAACGACTGACCCATAAATTATTCTTATTCCATATTGGTAGTATTTATAATGATGATAATAACCGTGTTCTCCGCATATTTTAAAATTATCAACAGTTGGATTAAATATAAAGAGATAGTAGATATTTAAACATATCACATAGACATAGTTAACTATCATTAAACCAGTTACTACAATTCTCAACTTTGAACTTTGAATTTCTATATAATTAATTCCAAAAGGAAGTGCTAGGGTACCAAATAACACCATGATTGCAGTGTAAGATATCATTAGTTCTTGATAGTGCCTAGAATTCACAAATATTTTGAATAAACTGTTCAATAGTAACAATATATCTTACGGTTTTATAAAAGAAGTCACTATGCATATTTTCATATTTGAATTCATAGCCTGAGTTTTATTAATGCTGATAGATATTAATGATCTATTTTCTATGATAGCCTTGTATTCGAGCACATCCGTAAAATTCTCTCTCCACGAAAGAAGATGATAAAATGGACCAATAGTTACGCTAGTTACTATTCCTAAAATTATTCCACAGGAACACATAATCAATAATCTTGTTTTAACAATCATTCTATCAATCTATCTATTTCCTTTATTTTATCCCGTTAAACATGAAAGAGTCTTTTATTTGTTAATTTTTTATTAATTCAATCAATTCTCTTTTAAGGAAATAACTTGTCAGCTTCAAATATTTAGCTTACTTCATAGATATTCTATTAAAGATAGTTTACATATTAAAAACAACCTTCAAAGTAATTTCTTATAATGTACAGTGTCCGTAAATACTTTCCCATATTTGTTTTTTTTTTGTCTAATTTTGAATACAACTCTTTAGCTTTGCTATATTGAACTTTCTGTAATATAATTGATATATATTAGTATATATATACATATAAATTTATATATAAAAGGAATAAAAAGTGGCATTTTATCAAAATTCTACAATTAAAATAGGATGTATATATAGAAATAAACTATTTCTTTTTCCTCTTTAAAATATTCTTTAAAAGTTATATATTTTTAAAATTCGCTTCTGTTTGAAGAATTTTCATCTTTATTTACTTCCGGTTGCGATAGCCAGTAGGAAAGTGAAAATACACTTGAAAACATAGTATGAAAACTATTTAAAAACGTCTCATTTGAGGTTGGATTATCGATGTTGGCATGAGATGACGGTGATGAGTTTAAATTTGATTTTGATATATTCGGTGATTGATGCATAGTATTAAATTGTTCAGGAGATGACGTCTCATTAAAAAGATATCTAAAAAAATTAAGAGAATAATATGGAAACTTGATAAATTAAAAATAATCTTACCCTTTATTTATAGAGCCGGATGGCAAATTTTCAGTAGCTAATGTTTGAAACGCTATTGCTTCTGTAATACGAGGCTGAGTAAGTGATTAATCATTAAGTTTAAATAGACAATTACACTTGATGTATACTTACTGAATTATTTTGTTTAGGCGTAGTCACAAAATCTTTATTAACTTGATCAGGGATACTCCTATCGCCAATTAAATTTAAGCAGATAACTAAATAAGATTGAAATGAGATAATTTTAAAGGAATACGAAAGAAAACTTACAAAGCATAGCCAAGTAAATAAATTCGGGCAGTGAAGCAATTGATAGTAAAACGTATGAGACTAGAAATTTTGGCGCTTCGACACTTTCATCACAGTTTAGAGAATGATCAAAAGAAGCTCTCTTTTCGTAAAGGATACTTATACATATCACATAAAAGTTGTTGAGTATTACCAATACAATAAAGAATATATTAAAATTTGAACAACAGCTGTACAAGATACAAGGCAAAAGGACGAAGGAAGTAAACACTGATATAAAAATTGGATAGCCCTCGATTACTGAAGCAAATCGTCTGTAAATAACTACTAATTATGAATTATATAAGAGATATAATAAATTAACAAACAGGTTCTTATATTGTATATTCGTACAATTTCTATATTCTTCTTGAACTATTTCAGAGGTTCTTTCAAAATTTTCCTGAGAGTATAAAACATGGCAAACGGGTCCCAAAGTTAAATTTGGAAGGGTAAAGATTGTTACAAGCAGAATCGGTAAAAATAATTGTTTAGAGTTTTCATTCATTGTAAAACTGGTTTATTATATAATTTAAAATAGTTTATAGACTAGAAATATACCGAAATGAAAGGAAAATAAAATTAAGAGTATTGAAATAAATAAAATAGACATATAAAAGTATCGCAAATTATTCCAATCCGTTAAGGTGTCCACATTTAAAAATATCTATTATTTTGAATGAGCAGTTAAGCTATCTATAACTGTAATTATACATGTAAAAGTTGATATTTTTAAAAAGAAAATGAGTAAAATTTCAATCAAAGTGTCCGATACAAACGATTACGTGATTATATAGTAATAATATTTTGATTTTATTAATATACTATTTATTGTACAATTTAGACAATTGAAAAGATTTATTTGCTGATAACTCTTATCAGGCTACTTCTTAATTATAATAACCTTACTATCTAATTTACGTGAAATACACATTATAATTTTGTTTTTATAGACTTATCTTCACTTTCCTCTGAAATATTTAAAGTTGTGACTGAACTTGATAATTCTTGAGAGCTATCTCCTTCTCCAAGAGATTCAGTGTGATCTTTATTGAATGATGATTCAGTTGTTGAACAACTTGAACAATTTGTTAAAGTAACTGTTGAAGGTTCACTTTGGTCAGAAGGTTGCAGCCTTTCGTTAATTTCTAATGCTCTGAAAGTTCTAATGGATTAGTATTTAACAGAAATATTCTATTACTCATTATAACTTGCCTGTTATCATAGGAAGCGGTTGCAACATTACTTTCTGTACTATTTCGCACATACATTTCATTATTATGCAGTTTACATCGATTAGCGTTATTGGTAGAATCGTAAGTAAAGTGCTCTTTTAGTTTCAGAACTATAAATGGGACAAAAGTATTAAAAAAAAGACTAATCTGTTGTTTAAAGTTTATTTGAAAAATCTAACTTAAGATTAGAAAGGCAACATGACCTAGTATTCCAATTGCCAAGAGTGTATAATCAGTTGTAAAAGATGTCGCTTCAAAGTCATGTTGTTGACACATTGAATATTTTTTCAAGGTAGTTCTCATCGTTCTCTCACATAGAGAAATTATGCAAAAAGCGTAAACGATACTATAAATAATTAACAGTTCAATTACTATGAGTGCTCCAAAAATGCCTTTACTCAATTTCGAACCGTTGCAAAAATATAAACAAGTAATAAAAGATAATCCATTAAAAATAACAAGTAAAAAGTCATAGGATTTCACTATCTCAATATGTTGTCTATGGAACAAAGATGACTGCATGATACTATTCCAGTATCTCAACTACTGAAAAATATTTTACTTACATTTCAAACTTGTGCACTGTACAGTTTTTTGTTAAGTTACCAGTATATCTTATAGAGCGATAGAAATCAGTTTCATAATAGAAAATATTCCAAGAAGCTCCCACAAATAAACAAGAGAAGGTAAATAAGATAAAGATGATAGAAGTAAAAATTCGCCATATTTTCTTCATATTAAACGTAATATCCTGTTCAACAAATCTTAGGGACAATGTCAAAAAAAAACGTTAAATTCATAATAAAATATTAATATATTTAGAATAATATTACCTTAAAAAAATATATCTATAAAAAAGAAAATGATGATAATGAAAACTTGAAAAGTTCTACTATTTTTAAAGAAAATTTACATCTCTGTTCCATTTGAGAGAAAGTACTGGTTTAAAAGTTCTAATGTAACAATTTTCCTACAGGATTACTAGGAAAAAATATTGATTTTGTTTGTGTAACATATTGGAATTATTTGAAAATAATCAGAGTTTTAGTTGTTGTAACTATTGTATAAAAAAAATGGAACATTGTTTTTAAAAACTAGGTGTTTTTGTTAAGTTTTCAATAACAATTAATCGATATTTAAATATATAGAAAAAGTATTAGTATATTATTTTATTTAATTAATTATTATATTAATTAAGACTTTGGTTCAAGTAATACATTGATTTAAATCTTTTATTTCAATAAATAGTTGAAATTGTAAAATAAAGTAGTAAATCCTCTTGAAACTGGACTTCTAAAGCTATATTGAAATATTATACTTAACTATAGAGCAGAAGAAAATTTCGCTCTGATTTTATTGACGATAGAAAGTATTCTTTTGAATAGATATTCGTATCTTTTGAAATTCATTTCTGAATTCTTTTCGTAGACTAGCTAAGGTTTGCTCTCCCTTCTTCGCTACAATAGTTTTTACATACAGAGAAACTACTGAACAAGGTCATTCAATGAGATTTACAGGAATTTGGTATAATCTTCATAATATATCAATTGTAATGAAAATATTAAAATGAGATTACTGTATTCACCTAATAAAATATGAAATGCCATTTGTTAAATTCATTATAATTGAAAAATCTGAGTTAGGACATTGAGTATATTGAGAATATGTTAAATTATTGAAGTATTTATGCATTACTATCATAGAATAAAGAAAACTTATAATTTCTGTGCTTATAACAAAAACGTTAGGGGTCATAGATGCCAATAAGCAAATTTGTACAAGAACAGACCCAAATACTACAGTTGCCGGATAGTATTTAACAAATGAAAGATAATTTCTAAAAGAAAAGGATTTCATTATACAACTATTTCATTCGCAATAAAGGTTACTTACAAACTATTTTCGTAAACCATTATACAGCGTTTTCCTTGATATTCAGTTAGTTTAACTGCACCTTCGAAATTTTCTAGATAATATATAAAGTGGCAAAGTGGCCCTAGGAGAACACTAACAAAAATCGTTGTTTTGTAAATTGCATTTTTAGCTAGATAACATTTATCCTGCGTCATTCCTAAACACCTGAAAATTTCAAAATTAGAATAGATACACCATCTTAATATAAAATATTATGATACTTTAAAATAAGAGCAACGGCAAAATGAGGATTGAACAGAATAATCCGCAATAATTGGTTCCAGAAACGCAGTAACTTCTCACAAAAAATTATATCATATTGAGTCTATAAGTATTCTAGTATGAATCGTTGTTCACCCGTTAAAAGGAATTTATATAGGCCTTTTTCATACGTTTCTATTGTGGAATTTCGACATTGTCTACTCGACAAATGGTCATAGGTATTGAAAAATCAAGTGATGTGATTCCAATAAACAACCTGTTCTTTAAATATTCTAAAGCAATGGCAGTTTAAGATATTATTTGGCTATTAGAATTGGATTAGTTAATTATTCTAATTAACAATTAAAGCTAAATAATTATTATATTATCCTCCTATTTTTTCCTTTTGCAGTATTTTCACTTAAAGTTATTTGAATGTTTTTAAATTTGATGAAGACTTGTAGCAATTAATTTACTATTATTTCATCAACCTTAAGTCCATAAATTAAGGATAGTATGCCATATTTTGCATAATTTTGAACAATGTTTATGCCAATCACTTCTTTGTTAGGATAAGGGATTTAGTATATATTGTATATTGAAAGGTTATTATTAATGTCCTAGAAAACTATTGATCAGTCACTTTAAAGAAGTCACATGCAATCTAATATTGTTTAAAGCATCAAATTAGTGTTTTTTTTAAATTTCTCTTAATGTGAATATGGTATCAACAGAAGAGAAAGTTACTGAAAATAATAAGGATAGATATCAGACTATTGGACTCATTGTTTATGTTTGTATTTTAGCTTCTATCAATTTTGCTTGTGTGGCGATCCTACAAATTCTTATCTCAAAAGTGGATTTTCATCAAATTCTTGAATTTAAGAGACTTTATAATCATTCGTTAGGAAATTATGAAATAAATAGGGATTTGTCTATGACTCAGAATTTAAGAATTATCGAACAGAAAAAAGATTCTGAAAATGAAGTCTGTTTGATTACACTTTATCACAGGCCGTAAGATATATTACACTTCTTATATATGTTAAAATAATAGCCATTTTGTTTATGATAATAGGCCTTTTGACGTTTGGCTAGTTGGCTTTGTACCCTTTATAGCATCATCAATTGTTGGACTTTTAATAATAGTCTTATCTTTGCTACCCTATTATACATTTAGTTGTAAAGCAAAAGCAATTGGTATTTTCATGGGCAGTGCAATAGTAAATCTCTTATCATCTGGTATTTATGGTACTGTCCGTCTGTCTTTGTTAAATAAAACTGTTGGAAAATTGAAATTTTGTCCCGATTACATAGTGACGAGGTTGGAGGATCTTTTCTAAAATCAGTGAATTTTATATTTTCGTCTTGCCATCTATTTTTTTTTGTATTTCTTTTAGATATGAAACCAAAGATGCTGAAGATCTGTTCAAGCTATTAGCAGGCGTGGGTTTCTGTGGTATATTTGTTTTTCCAGCCTTCTATTCAATATGCTTGAACGGTCGCCATAAGGACGACTATGGAGAAGACTCGGAGAGCCAATTTTCAGATTCAGTTGAAGCTTTGAATTAGTGATTTCTACTTCTTTGTTTTTTTTTACTTGAAATGGTCCTACGTTCAGCATTGCAAAATATCTACAAATTATAAAAAGTTCTTGAGCAGTTTTAATAAAAAAAAATCCATATATGTTCTTTTCAATGTGCCATTTTCTATAGAATCTGATTTCTGTAACAACTGAACGCGAAGGTAAATACATTGAAACTATCTTTTTCTCTATATATATACCAAAAAACCATTAAATACCATTGGCAGTGGCAAGCATATCTCTTGTTGCTTTGTAGTAAGAGATAGCTCTTAATCTGTATAAAATTTTTTTCATCTGTCTATAAAATCATTAAATACTCCTTGGTATATTTTTTAAATCCGCTTAACAACATAGGTTTTTCTCGCTTTCCCTTATTTGCTTAATTCAAATTTATTGTTAACTTCAGAATTATTGGAAAATACACTAAGATTTCCGAAAAACATGGTATATTAAATTGTGTGTAAACTAACTATCTTTCATTTGAACATTTGCAAATGAGAGATATACTGAGTATGTTGAGTACAATTGTTATCATCTTATTCTTCAATGTTATAGTTTCTACCGCCTTTTGAGCTTCATTTACCAAGAGCTCTGATAAGTTTAGTTTATAAAGATCAGGATCTTCATGAGCAATTTTCAACTGATTGAAACTCAACCTGTCAATTCTATTCTACTGTAAGTATTGATTTTGGCAAATTATGAATTTTGAAAGAATACGCATCCGCAATAAATGCAATTACTTTTAACAATGAAAAAATTGACCAAACTGTAAGGACTTGTCATTAATTTATTATATGTTAATCTTAAAATTGAGGTAATAAAATAATAAATTTATATTCATAGCAAGTGTGAAACTTTTCCAAATAAAATATACCTTTGACCTAAGATATTTAATCTTGTTGTTATTGATTTAAGATTCCTTTTTTTTCGTATTTTAGTCATTTAAAAGACTTGAATTACTATTATTAACATAAGTGTTAATATTTAAATAATTTTCTCTTATTTCTAATAATAAAAAACAATACTATTTTCCAGAAATATTTTAATGGAAACCCTGTATCGTGGTATTAGCATAAATATTATTGACACCATTGAAATACAGTACTTGTGTTTATTTTTGCCAAAATAGAAAAAGGCCTTCACTGAAGACCGGACAAGGATATACATCGGATTAACTTCTTTCTTGTCCACAATAAATTCAAATTCTTTTCATTTTGTTTGATTATTTCTGTCTTGCTGTTAATTTTTTTTCTGATTAATTAATAAAATGTTCTATTGTAATGTATTACACAACTGTAAAACTATTTTATTTCATATAATTCATATTATTAGCATGCAGCTTGTTTTTAATATTGGTATTATTTATTATCTAATAACATATCATTTAAATACGCAGTATAGACATTTTCCTGAGTTAATTAGTGATCATAAAATACTGTTAGAAAATAATAGAGAAGTAGGATTGAAATTATTAAGAAATATCTGCTTTGAGATAGAAGTTAACGAATGGTAAGTGAACGACATTTTTATCTATTTGTATTCTAACTAACTGATTTCTTTCTTTTTTGTAAATCTTTTATATATATATGAATAGGTTTGGAATAATTTTAATATATATTTTGGTCTTAAGCAGTCTAATGTTTACGAATCTATCAAATATGTTTATAACCTTTGGCTATGGATATCATCTTTCGATTACCCGGATGCAAAAGAAAATATTTATTATCTATGGACTAATTAACTACTGCTTTACAATTTTTGACCATATTCGATATATTTCGCAAACACCAGCTAATAATCTTGCAATTTGTCATTTGACTACCTTTGAAGGGATCAGAGCTTTTCAATATATATTAATATATATAATAGGATTGACTTGTCATATCTTTGGACAAATAATATTTTTTAATTGTGCAGGTAATGTAACTAAAAATAAAGTATTGTTTATTTTATTAAGTTTTTCTCTTCTTTTAAGCGAAAGAAACTAAAAGTCAAGAATATCTTTATAAAAAATCACAATTAGATTTCTATTGGATAAATATATTCAAAGCAAATGAAACTAATTCGGAAATTATTAAAAAAGAAGAAGAAATTCCTGTATAATCTTATTATTTCTATAACAACTAAAAGAAAAGTTATCAGGGAAGAAGAATTAAGTATACCGATTAATTAGTCTGACAGTTATATTCAATATTTGTTTATTGCAACATACTATACAATTAAAGTATGGAAATTAGTTTTTTTAAATAAAGAATTTCTACTTGTTTAAGTAAAACGATACAAGTAAGAAAGTTTTTCTTGTATTTCCAACTTAGAGATAACTATGCTAAGGAAATTTCGTATAAACGAAAATACGTTCTAATAATCTTATCAACAACATATTCATTGGAATTATCAAAGTTATTATAGATATCAGTATTTTAGGATTGTTTTTGCGTAATTTTATAAATTTTCATACAAAAATAAGATGGATATATCGTTGGAGTGTATTAAAAAATAATACCAAAAATACATATAATCACAAACTCGAAAGCTCATTCGTTGAATTCGATTGCTGGTTTAGTATTAATAGCTTTAATAATTTATTAAAGTTTAATTACAAAGAGAGTATTTAACTTAGCTTACGAATACTACAAAAATGACTTTTGGCATAATTGAAACTTCTACTTTTGTCACCTGCTTACTATTTTCAAGTGTTCTTTGTGCTCCTTTATGGAAAGACGCTTGCCTTCAACTGGATCCTCCTAATTTACAAGACACTTTGGCCGAATATCGAGCTCAATATGACGTTCAACCAACATCAATGAATTCCTACTTTAGTAAGTCGTTCGGTGATTATTTAGTAAGTGAAAACGAGAATGTTACGTGCCCTAAATCCCTAACTGATCTTCAAATTGAACTCAATAAGAAGAAGATTACAACTAAACCATCCACTTGTCCAACATATTCAGTTATCAGCTATAATGAAGACCGCTATCCAAGATCTATTAAGGAAAGTCTATGTAGGTGTACACAAACTGAAAATAATGGGTGTTTAACACGAACAAGTCAAACTGACCGTAGATACGAATGTGAAGCAGTATACGCAGAAATAGTTGTTTTATACAAAGAGAGAGGCACTTGCGAAGGAGAATTTTCAAAATACGTTCCCTCCTTGTATAGGCAGTCAATGGGGTGTACATGTTCCTATAAAATGTATTTGAGAGCAAACATAAGCTTTTAACAACAGAATACAAAGAATACTGGCAATTTTATGTTGACAAGCATAGTATTATTATTATATTATTAATATATAACTACATGATGTGTTGAGGGAAAATACTGTATAATTTAATTTATGTATAGTATGTTTCATAATAATGCAAAAATTATTGAATTGAATCTATTTTTTGATCTCATAAAACAAATATATTATTTTTATGAAGAGAAGCTAATTGAAGTTAATTAAACTCCATTTTCCTTTGTATTTGAGTTGTCGTTATATACGATAAATATAAGATTTAAGAATAAGTAAACGAAATCTTTAAGAAATAGTTATTTCTAGTTTTTCTCTGAGAGTACATACTTCTCAAGAGTAATTGTTAATACAAGACTCAATAATTCATTGAAATACGTTGATTTTTATAAAGAACTTTAAGGGAAATTTCTTAAAAGTACGAAAAAACATTTTAGAACTGATTGTTCCTACGACGATCATGATAACGAAAATTTTTAGATGTAAAATGATGAAATTTTGACTATTAAAGCTTTTTCTATAATTCATATTAGACAGTTATATTAGTCACAATCTAGAATATTTTTAAATTGAAGGAAACTACACTGTATTATTTGATTAAAGATTGTTAAACAGTTGATAAAAAAAGTTTTATCGTGACAAGATATTTGTTATATTAAGCTATCTAATCTTTAGTTGTGTTGTACATGCTTGGAATCAATTAACAATTAATCTCATATTTTACAAGTGTCCCTTATTGGCGTAATTAACATAAATGTCGTTGATGGGCGATAACGTTCATTTAGAGAGAATAATATTTGAAAATCGAAGGACTTAATAACTTTGTTCTTGTATTATTTAACTTTCACAATTAGGGGACAATAGAGAGAAAGCATTGAACGTTAAATATCAATTCTAGCAATTAATATTTAATATATTTTATATTCAATAAATTACTATAAAAACAATGTTTTATACAATTAAAACATCTATCTTCATTCTTTTATTCTTAGTTTAAATTCTTTGTTTCCTTTTGCATAGAACGATGCTTTCCTCCAATAGAGGCGGCAGAGCGCTTTTGCAAGAATATCGAGTTAATACATAGCAACGAGCTGCATATATCAATCTTGTAGTATTTGATAAATATCAATTTCCTAATACATTTTATAAATTTTAAATTCTAGTACAAATTATCAATAATATATAGGTTGGTTTAATTGATTTAAATGGCGTATACTATGGCAGTTACTCGATTTAATCGGGTTTGAAATATGTACTGGTTTTTATTGACAGAATAATTCTGGTTTACATTTGTGTATATTTTACTCAACTACGTTTGAACAAGGAAATAATATACTTTTGTTTCCTAATATTCTTTAATATGGCTAAGCAAAGCGCTTTTGAAAAAATACACAGATCTTTTTCAACATCATTGGTTATAATTGTATTATTGTTTAACTTATCCTATGGGCCAATATATCATATAATTATGTCTCAAATAAGCATTGTTAATAGAGTCAGATACATCACATATACAGAAAATAACACAAAGGCTTTGTATATTACAAGGAATAATGCTTTGAATATAAAAGATAAAGTTTGCATGGACGTAACCGTTTATAGTTGGTAAGTAAGAGAATAATTTAAAAACGATAACTCATATATAGTTTTTTCAAAAATTCTTTAAGGTTTGACATGATGACACTATACGTTTTGGTTCTAGTCAACTTTTTTAGCTTTTTCTTAATAGCTCAATTAATAAAGAATACATCGTATCGTTTTCTTCCTGAACTATGGACGAATATAATTACTGTTCTTGGAATAATGAATTATATTTATGCAGCTATTTTACATTTTATTTTATTGAAATATAAGAAGGAACAAGCTGACATTTTTAAAATATGCGAAAAATACAATGTTGATGGTTTTACATACTTTTGTTTATGTTTGGTAGGACTTTTCTTTCATCTATTGGTTATTGGTGGGAGTTTATTTCAAATAGGTTTGTTTGATAATTGATAAATTAAAACTGTTATGTTTTTTTTTATTTTCTAATTTTAATCTTTGTTTTGTTTGTAGCTAAGCATAAAAAAGGTTTAATAAAAATTCTGGGTATACGCTGTCATGAACTGTCTGAAAATGATCTCGTCAGTGATACCAGCTCTGATATCTATCAAATTCGAACTTTAAATACCTCCAACGAAGAAATATCATGGGATGACAGTAATGAAAGTTTAAAAGTAATTTTTTGTAATTTTCAATAACGACTAACAATATTAGATAACTTTTTTTAGATAAGTAATTTTGCTGCTTATTACCTTGTTAAAACCTCTTCATTGGCTGAATACGAGATTAATTCAATTAGATCATATATATCTAGTTGATCAATCTTACATTGACTATTAGATTGGACTATTTGGCTTCTTGGTCTTTTCTTTATTTTTTTTTAATATACTATGTTTTGATATAAAACGTTTCTCTTCAGCACAAGCTGTTCTTCTTAAGTATACAGAAATTTATGTTACGTAATCATATTATTAAATAAATAAATTTAAATTGAAAAATGAAGAAAGTATCAATTTGAAAAATTTAAGCGACTAAAATATGATAAAACTATAAAAAAGTAGCTTGATGAATAACTGGTATTCAAAGATCAATAATAGACATCTAAAGTGTAGGATATGCGGAGATATTTTTAGGAATCGTCAATCATATATAACCAATCATAAACTGATTCACTGTAGAAAAGGTAGTGGAAATTTTTCAATAACTATTACTAATAGATAGAATAATTATTCTCTTCTTCTTCCTGCTTTTCAAATTATAATTAAGCAAATATAAATGAATGTTTAATTAGCAAAGTTGAAAGTTCTAGTCATTTTGAAGATGATCGATCCATTTCACCAATGGATATAAGTACTGAAGTTGATGTAGAACATATGGAACTTTAGATATACAGTATACAGTGTGTATATATATATATATTAGAATGTCATTTAGTAATTAACGGTTTCACTCACAAAGTTCAACTACATAATTTAATTTTAATATTTCTGGCTAAATATCAAACAATATCTTTTCTATTTAATAACCGTTTTCAATATTTATTTTAATATCTAGAATGATCTATTGGTGGAATAGATATTCTTTTATCTTAAAAAAAATTAAAGCACTTGAGAAAATATTTACACTTGAAAACTTAGTAGCCAATGAAACTTAAAAATCTTCTCTTCCTTCTTGATGCTTGTTATTTTCTTTTCCAAATTAAATTTTACAATAATTACTGCTATTATGTAATTGGTATTGATTGACTTTTGCATAAAGTAAATGCTGTACACGTGTAAGAATATATATAATACACGGGCAGCGGTTGCAGTCATTTTAGTAAATAGATAGAGCACTACATGATAATTAATTTCGCCTTATATTATTAGTACTATCAATATATGAGAAAGAGCTAAATTGAATATCCTATTGGATATCAGAGTTAAAAAATAGCAGTAGCAATTTTATGAAATAGAACAAATGTTTTGAATTATTTGAACGGAAAGCACCAATATTTACGAGATAGTTAAATATATAGGTAAGTCGAATTAAAAATTCATGTCAATTATATACTTTACAAAATATTAAAGACACTGTTATCTATCGCTTTATCTTATCTTTCAAATTTCTGAGGGAACTTTGTATAAAACATATTATATCCTAAGCACTTCTTAGAGTTTACGCAGTTATTCAGTACTTAGTCATTTGGTATTACAATGGAATTTTTCGCGTTCTGATATGTAAGTTTCCAAGACATATTCGAAGACCTTATGGTTAAATTAGACATAATTTAGAATATTTAAGGATTGACTTTGCGTCTTCAACATCAGTCGCAGCAAATTAATTAACAAAGAATACTAAACAATCTTTGAAAATTATTTGAAAGATATCCTATTGAATATTACGAAAATGATTTTTAGCATAATTGAAACTTCTACTTTTGTCACCTGCGTACTATTTTCAAGTGTTCTTTGTGCTCCTTTATGGAAAGACGCTTGCCTTCAACTGGATCCTCCTAATTTACAAGACACTTTGGCCGAATATCGAGTTCAATATGACGTTCAACCAACATCAATGAATTCCTACTTTAGTAAGTCGTTCGGTGATTATTTAGTAAATGAAAACGAGAATGTTACGTGCCCTAAATCCCTAACTGATCTTCAAATTGAACTCGATAAGAAGAAGATTACAACTAAACCATCCACTTGTCCAACATATTCAGTTATCAGCTATAATGAAGACCGCTATCCAAGATCTATTAAGGAAAGTCTATGTAGGTGTACACAAACTGAAAATAATGGGTGTTTAACACGAACGAGTCAAACTGACCTTGAATTCGAATGTGAAGCAATATACGCAGAAATAGTTGTTTTATACAAAGAGAGAGGCACTTGCGAAGGAGAATTTTCAAAATACGTTCCTGCCTTATACAAACAACAAGTTGGCTGCGGTTGTGTTCATAAGACTATCTATGCATGATCTTCAAAATTTTGTTTTGTGTATTAGAATTCTTTTAAATGAAAGAATTCATCAATTAGCACTAAGAAATGCGTTTAATAATTTCATGCATTAAGATCTTATAAATGATTCTGATAATTTAAATGAAAAGTGATTTTGTTATAAAGTGCTTTTTTTGTTATTTTGTTAGAACCCGTTGTATGTTTTATTTAAGTTTGATGTTTTAAGTTTAATAAATTGCTTATATCAATCTCTGACTTTTTCTTATACGAATTGGAATGATAGTAGTAAAATTTTTAGGAGAAACGTAAAACGAATCGATAGCATAGTTTCTTAATTAAAAATTTAAGACGGGAATAGGTTGTTTGATCTATTGAAACTTCAGAAAAGTCTGCAACAATATGTTAAAACTATATTTATCACTAAAAAGCTATTGTTTTTCTTTAGAGATATTACAAAAGATATTATTTTTAGTTTCTTTTTCATTTATAGCTGTTAGGTAGAAACCTAGTGACATTATGTTTATCACGTTCTTTTCAATTTTAAACAACATATACGGAATACATTTATTCCGTTAACTAACCTTAGCATTTTCGGAAGTAATAGAAAAGAGAAATAGAGAAAGAGAGTAAGATAACGACGTTGGGGCTAGAGGAAACTGGGGAAGAAAAAAAGAAAACTCCTATAATAAAAGTTATAAAAATTTATAGGTCAAAAGTTAAATTTACTGATAATTTTTTCCAATTTCTTCTTTGTCTTTTTTGCGATGCAATATAAATTAAAAGTATTCAGACTGTTCTATTAAAACTTATACATAAATAGGAACATTTATTTACAGTATACTAACAACGATCCACAACAACGTGTTCTATTTACTAAAAAAATCATTTATGACAATAGTTTGATCATTTTTCACTAATAAATGTCTCAACAGTGTTATTATTTTGAGAGTTTACCCCCGTAATATTCATAATTGACTCGTAAGACGGGGGTAGTAAATCATCGTGTTGTCCAAATAATGGAGGATTTCCATCTCCATTCGATAGCGAATACGAAGGAGGAGATCTAGAATCCGATAATTGCGAGGAATTCATGTACCTAATAAAATGAATTATCTATTAATTTTAATAGAAAATTTTATAGCGAAAATACCTTATATTTTGTGATATTGTATTAAGAATTTCCAAGTGGTTTTGGGGGCCTATCTGTAAGTTATCGGATGTAGCAGGCCTTTGATTTTCGTGATCCGATTTAGGAGATAAGACTAAATAAAAAGAGATTATAAACAAACACATATATATTGTGATATAAAAAAACTAACGTATACTCATTAAAAAGCATACATTAAAGAACATTGTAATTCCTATAATAATAAAGTATTTCTTAAATGTTGGTCTTTCACAGTCTAATTTGCAGAATTTATACAAATTAAGAGATGTTTCCATTGTTGTTATGTATCTAAGGATGATACAAAGAGCATAAATATGGCTAAGAAATTCAAAAAATCCCAGAAGAAATGCAACAGATAATGAGCATTTGCTTATTCTTGCGCAAGAACATATGCATATACCAGGGAAAATAGAACATATGGATAGAATTAGAATTACTATAGACCAACTTTCTGCTATTCCAGCATATCTCCTTTTAAAAGAATAAAAGAGATAATTTATATTTTACATACTTAACAATATACATGCTTACAATTGATATTTAGTTATGATACAACTTTTTTCCAACACTCCTTCATATTCGATTCCTTTAATAAAGTCTTCTCTAGAATATTGAATATGCCATATTGGACCCAACAGTAGAATAGGAAATGATAAAAATATAAGAATAACAAATACTATTAGAGTAAAAATATCCATTTCTCAAAAAATCGTATATTTTTAAATACTGTCGATAGATATGAATATTAATATTTCTAATAAAGAAGAGTTGAAAATTTTCTTTTATTCATTAAATACAACGTTTAAAATATTGAAAATCATTACATAATTATTAAAAGTCTTAATCCAAGTAGTCAATAGTATCGCCTTGATGCTTTACCGATTACCAAGAAGCTTCTTTTAAAAATATTATTCCAACATTGAATGATGTCCACAAAAGTATTATATTAGTCTAATGTATTGAAGAGTTTATGTAATATTTTTGGTTTTGGTGGGAGACGCCTGAAACTACAAAAAAAAAAAACTCTAAATGAACTAAATTAATTAATGAGGCAGAAAAAGATGAGAAAATCAGGCATGTTACTTTTCATCCAAATAACCTAAATTATACATTTCTAAAGAATGGTACACTTTGAGTAACTAATCAACTGTTAGTTTTGTTACTAAAATAAACCAAATATAATAATAAAAAACTATTGATTAACAGGTGGTACTAAGACAAAAGTGGCTACAAACATCACACTATAGCTGTAATATATTTTACGATAAACAGCTTGTAATACTGTGAATATTTTTAAAAATCAATTTAAACTAATAAGTTTAAATAATGGCTAAGATTGGAAGAGACAAGTCACATGATATCTTCAAAAGATTTATATATGGAAATGGTTTTGCATAACATGTACCTTTAAATTATTCAATTCTAAAATTGATAGAATTGTATTCATATGTATATGAATATAAAGGGATAATAGTGAAAACTTTTCAATTTTTAAATAGTAGTTTCCGCAATTTTTAAAAGTGGAGATAAAAATTTACTTGTAACATAGTGTACGAGTATCATGACTTGTTATCTTAATATCTTAATCTTCCCTAGTAATAGAAAGTTACTGCAAAAAGGTTAGATATAAGTGTGAATCTAAATGGCAAGAAAAAGAACCATAAGGTTGCAATATGCCAACATATAAGATCTAGGAGAGAAAGAGGGAGAGAGATATTCTATACTGAATACACTTACCTTTCATCGACAAGTCAACAATCAGTGTTGAAATAGAATTCCATTAGATTTTAAAGAGCATAGGATAAAATTTAACAATTAGGGAATTTCTTTTTATTTCCTACATAGACTTGCCCTTGTCAAGAATTATCTATCATGACTTAATTAAAGGATTATAAATAATTAGTCAAGTGGCAAAGCAGAATGCAAAGTTATAATATAAGGTCGAACAGTTGTCAGGGTCAAATAGATTTAATTTTACTTTCGCTTCGTATCATTGTTCAGAATGTAAAAACATCAACTTTAATTGAACATTTTAACTTCTTTTCAACAATAAAAATTGAAATAGTTTTTAAAGTTTTGCTTGAAAAATGGCTTGAAAAATGTTTTTACGTTTTCAATTATAGAAAATGGAAGGAAGAGAAAAAGCGCTGCGTTGACAAAAAGAAATATCTTCAATGTCCTTTCCGAAAAAGGCAAGCCGTTGATATATATGAAGGTTAAATTCAGTATCACCATATGATGGCATTCATTTAATTGGACTAATCAATACATTTGTAAGAGTCTAGAGGTGAGAGCCTCTAAACAGTCTAGGCAATTTTCGTTTAATTACTTTACATAAAAATGAGCAACCAAATCAATTCGATAGCCTTGAACGACTAAAATAAATTTATAAAATATCTATTCATTTACAGGTCACAAAACGCACATATGCCATTATATATCAAAAACATTCAAGCAATTAAATGACTGTCTGGACTATTAGAATTGATTAAACTAGGTTAAATAAAAAATAACAAAATTACATTACTAATAAGTGTACTAGTTAAAGAAATATAACGTGTTGTTTATGTAATTTTTAAAAGATCAAATTGAAAGACTAATGAAAAAATATGTTCAATTAGATATATATTTATTTAATATCATTCAAAAAATAGTAAGAATTTGTCTATTTTCTAAATATTTAAAATCATTATTAAAAATTTTATGACATTCTTTTGATTCACAGCACACTATGACAAAATACAATTTAAAGTGATGTATATATATATATACAGCTATTAAATTTAAAAAAAGAATGCTTTAATCAGAAGAGATTTCATTATTAATTTCCATCGTTGTTTACAAGACTGTAAGGAGGAGGTGGACCAAATTTTTCTTTTTCAATATCCTTAAATAAAAATACAAATAATAAAAATTTGAATTATTTTTAATAATTTTAATTTCTTACATTTTCAAATAGTAGAACATCAACTGATGAAAAGTCTTTAGTTTTTCCTTCCTCCGTGTCTATTATATTGGTAATTTTTTTAGAATCTCTTTTATCTATTTAGAAAATAATGTAAAAATTAGAAAATAATTTAATAAAGTTATTGAAAACAATTACTTACAATAAATTTTAAAATAAAGTAAAGATGTGACCAATAGGGCTATAGTTACAGCTAAAAGTGCGATTACATAATCCCTGTTCAATAATAAAAAAAGTTAATTATATATATATATGTATATATATAGATACTGTATAATAAAAATATGTAAAACCTTAAGTTGTATCTGCCGAATAAACAAAGCTGCCAGTCACCAAAGTATTTACAAGCTAAAAGACTCAGTATAATACCAATGAACAATACTGCTGAAACCATGGTATAGCAAAGACATATTCTGCCAAACGGTTTTTGCCTTGTTTTAGACAAATAGATAACAAATACGACATCAATTGGAATGAGAAAGAAAATCGCATATTTAATATAAACTGAAATAGTTCTGTAAATAAAAACAAAAAAGAAAGTATATTAATTCAATTTCGCAATATTTAGATTTTATATAACTATATTACCTGTCATGAATTTTTTTCCCCATAATACAGAATTTATTTGATTTTAAAATATTATTCATACAAGAACTGATTGTTGAATTAACTGTATCAGTTTGTCTTTGTAGCAAAAATTCCTCCACATTATTATAATCTGTTATTTTTATTTCATAGAAAAATGGCGATAGCAAAACTACACAAATTAACAGGGAACAGATGACAAAGCCATTCTTAATTCGACTATCAGATTTGGACATGTTTAATAAAAATATCTTTCTTCTAAAATATTGAAATCTTTATAAAATTTCACTTGTGCTGATCTGATGTCAAGTGAATTAAATGAAATGCTGTAATGTAATGACGTCAGAGAATATTAGCTATTGAAATGAGTTCTTGTTGAAACAGTGTCCATAACTCACAGAGTACATAGTCCTCTACAGTTTATTTCTACATAAAACACGTGGACTACAGTTTTGCATATCGTATAAGAAATTTATTTTATTGATTAAATTCTTTCAACAGTCTGTAATAGCAAATAATAATAAAACGAATAAAAATGAAGAAAAACCCTTTATTATATATTTATGCACAACTCTACTATCCGTTAACATAATTATAAACTTTCACCCAAAATAATTAATATGTTATTAAAAATATTATATATTAATAAGTATAGTAACCTAATTAGGAGTGTATTACATTACTTAAGACTATTTGATTCCTACGAAGATGATAACTTTCGTATCTTCTACCTAATTTAAAAAAAATGTTTTTCATTCAGTTTTCTTATAATTAATTAAGTAATTAATTACCATAATATTTAGAACAAATAGTAATATTAATAACAAGAGATGCTATACCAACCAGACAACCTAGTAGATATCGTCTAAAAGATATTTTATATGATATTTATAGAGTTTTCAAAAAGTTTAAAAAGTTCAACCTTTCTGGTTTTCCATCAAGGAAACATGGTTTCCAAAACGTTTCAAATAAATTGGAAGATATAACTAACCAGAAAATGAATATTATCGAATGAAATATAAATAAAAGTATAAAATTAATAGTTTGTAGCAATTGAAACTTCTTTGCCTTTAATAACAAACATAAAAGATTGATATCTAGCATTATGCAAATGATGATTGTCAGAAAGTTAGCTTTAAGAGATAATTGCCTAAAATATTTTATATTAATAAATATTATTAATATACAGTTTATATTCGAATATTACCTTTGAAAATCTTTTTTAATTATGCAAATTTTATACCCAATAAGAAAATTTGTTACGTAATTTTGAAATCCTTGCTTTTGTAGAGATGTATCATTGTTATATCCTTGGAGTTTGTTGTTTTCATCAAAATCATACAAAAATGGTAATGGTAACGTAGTAAATGTAATTATAATTACTGATAATAAAACGAATTTTATTCGAAAAACTAATGCAGATACGTGAACTGATCCAAACATTTCTATCCTAAAATTGAATATCATATGATTAGAACTTTTTCATTTAGAAATTTATTCAACAATAAAATCTTTATTCTTAATCTTTTGAATTCAATTAAATGTTAAAAGAGAGAGAGAGAAAGAAAAATGATCAACAATTAATCAGTTGAACAGAGAGTTCATTATCTTTTTTAATATAGCATGTAGTCGTTTATTTTTATACAACATACTTCTTGTTCACTTGTTAAATAAGTCTATCTGTTTATTTATTATGAGCGACAAATCAGAATAGGCTCATACCTAG